TCGCTGAGAGCAGACACGTCACCTTTTTGTAACTTGCTTTGGTTGTCACCATACTTCTCACGGATGAGCGAATGGATCTGATCGTTAACACGCTGGCCCGGACATAGAAACAGAACAATAGCGAGCAGCGCTATCGCCTTTTCTGTCAGCTTATGTAGCTGTTCGTAATCGGCAAAACGCGAGTAGTAGTTCCGATTGCGGTTCACTTGCAAGATGATGGTCGAAAAGGACCGGATCGCCGCGGAAAAGTCCTCGAGCATGAGCTGCACAAAGCCCATGTGGTAGAACACCGAGACGTGGCAGCCCGGCGACTTTTCATGGATCTGCGCTGTTGTCTTGGCCTCGCCGCGTGCACTCTTGTTGAACAGATCAATAGGTTCCAGCAGCTTGAGTGACGTATAGTAGTCTCCAAACAGCACGTGGGCACGGGCCAGCATGATAAGGCTAAAGTACCCCAGCTCCTTGACAACAGTCGAAGGCCCTTGCACGTCTGGCCCGTCCTTTAAAATCTCCACAATCTTTGAGTGACGAACGAGAGCGTGCAAGTAACCAAGCACTTTTCTCGTGTCCCAGATGAAGAGATTCTCCTGGTACGAAGCGATCTCGGCCTCGCCCTTTGTGGCAACTTTAGCCCGGAATTGGCTGTACGACTGATATTGATAGACAAACTCGCCCACAATGTCAAAGATCCACTGGGAGGGAAGTGCTTTGAGCTCCAAGGAGCCGTCCAGGATGCCTTCGAAAATGGCCACGTACGTCTCCCAAGACGCTACTTTCATGTCCATCCCTGGCTGCAGGCGAGAAAAGAGATGGCGGAAGTAAATTTGCTTGTACAGCAGCAGGAACGTCGGATCTTCGTGTACGAGCAGCTTGATCGCGCTCGCCTCTGGCCAAGACGCTTGCTTGAAGTAGTTGTTCGTCAGGTTGGGGAACTCGCGGTCGTACAGACGCGCCATCTCCGCCACGTTGCCGCCCATCAAGTGCGTGTGCATGTGGGAGAACCAGCTCTTGACGGTCTCGGGGAGCAGAAAGTCCGCGGGTTTGTCGTCGCGACGGTCCGCCATAGTTGCGGCGGCTTTGACGTGTCGCTCGACTCGATGCAGCGTCAAAAAAGCCTTTAGCGATATGGTGGCCCGTCAACAGCACATTCCTGCTGTGCGCTCGTACATCAATGGAGCGGTAGAGCTTGATATACGAGCGCACAGCAGGAATGTGCTGTTGACGGGCCACCATATCGCTAAAGGCTTTTTGCTGCCGCTGCAAAGCCTCGGCGCTACAATGAACAACGGCTTCACCCTCGACGGCCACAGCGGGCAAGATAAACTTGGGACAAGAGAAGCCAAACAGTTCGCTGAGAGCAGACACGTCACCTTTTTGTAACTTGCTTTGGTTGTCACCATACTTCTCACGGATGAGCGAATGGATCTGATCGTTAACACGCTGGCCCGGACATAGAAACAGAACAATAGCGAGCAGCGCTATCGCCTTTTCTGTCAGCTTATGTAGCTGTTCGTAATCGGCAAAACGCGAGTAGTAGTTCCGATTGCGGTTCACTTGCAAGATGATGGTCGAAAAGGACCGGATCGCCGCGGAAAAGTCCTCGAGCATGAGCTGCGCAAAGCCCATGTGGTAGAACACCGAGACGTGGCAGCCCGGCGACTTTTCATGGATCTGCGCTGTTGTCTTGGCCTCGCCGCGTGCACTCTTGTTGAACAGACCAACAAGTGCTACCATGTAAGAAGTAGGAGTTAAGTAAAGTAAATGACTTGTATATTACCGCGCACCAGACGCGTTTCGGCCCCCCCGCCGGGTGCCTCATCAGTGGTTTGTCAATCTACAAGTGAGAACTATCCATACGTCTAGCTGCCGTACGACCTATAATAATGCATAGAACCCTAAAGAACATTCTAGACATACCCTATCATGGGTCGAATCTCTGGAGTCGAATCCAGTGCATCATGCACTTACAACACTCCCCCTCGACGACATGAGATGCAGACCACTTTGGTATCGACCCGCCTGTAATCCTCACTGCTGCATCCGTGCACCATGGGAATCTTGATTGAGTCTTGCCCCTGCGCTCCAGCCAACCTCGATGATACCGAGCGTTCCAGGTATTCCAGCTCCCCCATCGTCCAGCACCATGTCACATCTTGACATCTCGTAGTCGTCGTTCGCCTTGCATGTAGTTTCCACTTCTTCTTGACCACAAATACACTTGTCACCACTTGACTTGACTCTTCCTTCGATAGCACTCGCGCATTCAGACCATCTCGCGTCACCACCCTTGCACAAACCCTTTTCGACTGCACGCGCACCGTCAACGATCCCTGTCGATGAATTCTTCGGCGCCTTACTCGTGCATCGAGCGCCTTCTCTGACGGGGTGTCCCTCGCACAAGTTGGTCCTTGGTGAGATGTCTGCAGCGAGCACTTGGGCTCATAACCTGTAAGAAGTAGGAGTTAAGTAAAGTAAATGACTTGTATATTACCGCGCACCAGACGCGTTTCGGCCCCCCGCCGGGGGCCTCATCAGTGGTTTGTCAATCTACAAGTGAGAACTATCCATACGTCTAGCTGCCGTACGACCTATAATAATGCATAGAACCCTAAAGAACATTCTAGACATACCCTATCATGGGTCGAATCTCTGGAGTCGAATCCAGTGCATCATGCACTTACAACAACGCTTCACATGATTTATATGTACACCACATATAAATCATGTAGTAAGTAGTAAGCCCCGATAATCAATCACTTTCGAATCTTCCAACTATTGGGCAAGTGTTTTCTGCTCTACTCTCTTCGGTCTCTCCGCTCCGTTTGCTCCGCTTTCCTCGCTCCGATCTACAATGCAACAGGTTATGAGCCCAAGCGCCATGTCGTCCACCAGCAACGCCTCCATTGACAAGTTCAACGGAGACAATTACGCAACGTGGAGCCGGTACATGCGCGGTGTGTTTTTGACGAAGTCCGTCTGGCACGTCGTCAACCGTGAAGTGACTCCTGACTTTCACCGACCCGCGAGCGTCCGATGACTACGTCAAGGCAAGCAACGTCGCGTTTGGTATGATGCTGCTGCACATGAACGCGGACTACCATCATGTGCTGGACAACTGCGAGGAAGCCTGGGTTGCGTGGACAAGTCTGAAGACGCTGTACGGTGGGTCGCAGAAGGCAGGACGCATCTACCTCAAGCGACAACTTTTCAGTATCAAGATGGCTGAAGGCGCGAACGTCATGCATCACTGCAACGAGGTCCTCAACATCTCCGCCAAGCTTAGCGGCATCGGTGCGAAGATGGAAGACGAAGACGTTGCAATTTGTCTGCTACTCAGTCTTCCGAAGAGCTACGAAAATGTGGTGCTCAACATGGAAATGAGCAGCACCGAGCTTCGCACTCAAGATGTGGTGAGAGTCCTGACGAATGAGCATGCCAAGCGTCAAGGAGAAAAAGGGACAACGACAGCGACTACGGTGAAGGCTGAAGATGCAAGCAAGGCATTCAGCGCCGAGCGTGAGCCCTACCAATGCACGTATTGTGGCAAGGTGGGACACACGGTGGATCGTTGCTGGACAAAGCAGAAGAACGAAGGTCGGGGAGCCCGACGCGGCGGCAATGGTCGTGGACGCGGGGCTAACAATGTCCAGTGGGGACATCATGATGAAGGCAATGGCTACGATCGAGTGGCGTTTGCAGTCTCGTTCGAATGTGGAGTTTCGACGAGCAAGGACGTGTCTGGAATGTGGGCCGTCGACAGTGGTGCAACGCACCACATTTGCCACGACAAGACCAAGTTCGCAAGTTTGGCAGAGCGCAATGAGGGCGAACTCTTGGTGGCTGATGGCAACAAGGTGGCCATCAAGGGTGTGGGAACCATCATGGAAAAGGTGGTTCTGCCCAACGGTGAAGAGCGTGAGATCGAAATCAAGAACGCGCTATATGTTCCAAGTATGAGCAAGAACCTGCTCTCGGTGCCACAGATTAACAGCCATGGCAAGTTTCAAGTCGTGTTTGACGGGTCCAAGATGTATGTGACTCTCAAGAACTCACAGCAAGTGGTGGCGACAGCGGATCTCGTGGATGGACTCTACTGGCTTCGGACGACTCAACGATCAGCGAATGTGACAACAAGTGGAACCAGTTGTGCCGATCTACATGCGAGAATGGGTCATGCTCCAGTCGATGTACTTCGCAAGATGATCGCGACCAACATGATCAAGGATGTGCGAGTCCCTCCTCAAGTCGGGTGGAGCAACTACATGTCGAGGATGTCAACAAGGGAAAATGGTCCAAAAACCATTTCCAAGCAACCGAGACAAGCGCAGCTACGATACGTTTGAGCTACTTCATCTGGACATCTGCGGGCCCATGGAAAAGGATTCGCTCGGTGGCAGCAAATATTTGCTGCTGATCATCGACGAAGCCAGTGGATGCATGAAGGGCTTTTGTCTACGAGTGAAGTCCGAGAGTGAAGACTACATCCGGAAATATATCACCATGGTACAGACGCAATTCTGTAAGAAGGTCAAGTTCGTGCGACACGACGGAGCTCGCGAGTTTGCAACCAGCTCGCTTCAACTGTTCTACGAGGACGAAGGCATTGAACAGCAGACAACGGTACCGTATGCACATCAAACAAACGGAACAGCAGAGCGTGCCATTAGGGACTATCGTCACGATCGGCCGCAGCATGCTTCACCATGCCAAGTTGGACAAGTGCTTCTGGGCTGAAGCAGCAATGACGGCCATCTACGTCAAGAATTGCCTACCGTCACCCAAAGTTGTGCACAAGATCCCGTTTGAGATCGTGTACAACTCCAAGCCAAGTGTCAAGCACATGCGAGTATTCGGCTGTCAGACATTTATACTGACTCCGAAGGAGAAGCGACTCAAGTGGGATCCAAAGGCTCGCGCTGGCATATTCGTGGGCTACGAAGAAGTTTCGAAGGCATATCGTGTTTATGACATCGAGGCGGGGCAGGTGGTTATCAGCCGCGATGTCAACTTCGACGAGTCCACCTTTTGGACTTCAACTGCCGATCACTGATGAAGATGTCGATGACCTGGACTTCGAATTGCTGGATCTTGATGACGAAGAGCTGCGTCAAATGGAGTACAAGCAAACAGGCAAGCGCAAGAACCGACTCAATGATGAAGATACAGCAGCTCCACGACCGCGTGCAGTGCGTCAACGACCAGGACTAGAAGAGTCAAGCGCGCCGGAAAACAACTCGTCACGACAAGAAGAAGACGAAGAAACGAAGGATTCTGGTGATTCAACACCGCCTGTGTTTTGGCGTGCGAGTGCAAATGCCGTTGAAGCAGCAGTGGACTTATCAGAACCCTCAACATTTGAAGCAGCAGTAAGCGGCCCTGACCGAGTGCACTGGAGAAAAGCAATTCATGCAGAGCTCGAGTCAATGCGACTTCGCGGTGTGTTTCGTGCAGCCAAGCTGCCCAACGGACAACGCGCCATTGGCACAAAATGGGTGTTCAAGATCAAGCGCAAGGCGGATGGGTCAATCGAGAAGTACAAGGCACGCCTTGTGGCCAAGGGTTTCTGCCAAAAGTATGGAATCGACTACACGGAGACGTTTTCGCCCGTGGTCAAGTATGTGACGCTGCGAATGGTGATCGCAATTTCCAAGCATTTTGGATGGCCCATCGACCAGCTTGATGTGGTGACAGCTTTCCTGTATGGCGTCATGAAGGAACAAGTGTTCTGCGTGATTCCTGAAGGCGTCGAACTTGACAGTACGTTCGACTGCCTGGAATTGGTGAAGTCAATTTACGGCCTCAAGCAAGCGTCGCGAGTGTGGAACGAGACGTTCGACGAGTATGTGTGCTCCATCGGATTTCAAGTATCGGACTTCGACCCATGTCTCTACATCAAGACTTCGGACGGCCATTGCGTGTTTATACTGGTCTACGTGGACGACGTCTTGGTGACTGGAAGCTCGCTCGAGCTGATTGTACAAACCAAGAACGACCTGAAGACGCGGTTCGAAATGACGGACAGCGGCAAGTGTGCGTTTGTTCTTGGGATCGAGCTTTTGGACGGTGAAGATGGCAGTGTGACACTATGTCAGCGTCGGTATGTCGATGATATCCTCAAGCGCTTTGGCATGGATGATTGCAAGGCAGTCGCAAGTCCAGTCGACATGAGCTCTCGACTTGTTTCAAGTGATGCAACTACCAAGGTCGATGCTCCTTTTCGCGAAGCTGTTGGTGCGTTGATGCACCTGACCACTGCAACGCGTCCGGACATTGCGTTTGCTGTGGGCTATGTGTCGCGGTTCATGGAAAATCCCCAAGAAGAACACTGGGTTGCAGTTAAGCGTATCTTTCGCTACCTACAAGGCACCAAGACGCATGGAATTTGCTACAAGCCAAGTGCAAGGATCGACTTCCGTGGATATTCGGATGCGGATTGGGCTGGTGATCTTACCGACCGCAAGCCAACATCGGGGTACACGTTCATGCTACTCGGTGCGCCAGTCAGTTGGGGCAGCAAGAAGCAGCCAAGTGTTTCGTTGTCCACGAGTGAAGCCGAATACATCGCACTCAGCTTGGCGATTCAAGAGGGCAAGTGGATTCATCGTCTGCTTTGTGAGATCGTGATGGCTGCCAATGAAGAAGGACCGGAACTCATGATCCATGAAGACAATCAGTCGTGTATCAAGATGACGAAGAACCCAGTCAACCATGGCCGTGCCAAGCACATCGACATTAAGTACCATCACATTCGTGATGAGGTCAAGCGCGGCAAAGTCAAGCTCAAGTACTGTGAGACTGCGGTGATGTTAGCAGATATCATAACCAAGGCACTTCATGGACCACGCCACAAGGAGATGACGACGGCTCTCGGGATTCGTGAGCATTCGGATTGAGGGGGCGTGTTGACGGTCATCGGTTTTCTACCAGTATTGGTAACCGTGACCGATCCAATCCGAACCGCCTGTTCAGCTTAGTATTTACGACGTAGTTCTTACGGTAATTACCATAGTTGATTAGACGCGTAGGATGATGAGACGCTTCACATGATTTATATGTACACCACATATAAATCATGTAGTAAGTAGTAAGCCCCGATAATCAATCACTTTCGAATCTTCCAACTATTGGGCAAGTGTTTTCTGCTCTACTCTCTTCGGTCTCTCCGCTCCGTTTGCTCCGCTTTCCTCGCTCCGATCTACAATGCAACACAGTGTTCTTCTTGGGGATTTTCCATGAACCGCGACACATAGCCCACAGAAAACGCAATGTCCGGACGCGTTGCAGTGGTCAGGTGCATCAACGCACCAACAGCTTCGCGAAAAGGAGCATCGACCTTGGTAGTTGCATCACTTGAAACAAGTCGAGAGCTCATGTCGACTGGACTTGCGACTGCCTTGCAATCATCCATGCCAAAGCGCTTGAGGATATCATCGACATACCGACGCTGACATAGTGTCACACTGCCATCTTCACCGTCCAAAAGCTCGATCCCAAGAACAAACGCACACTTGCCGCTGTCCGTCATTTCGAACCGCGTCTTCAGGTCGTTCTTGGTTTGTGCAATCAGCTCGAGCGAGCTTCCAGTCACCAAGACGTCGTCCACGTAGACCAGTATAAACACGCAATGGCCGTCCGAAGTCTTGATGTAGAGACATGGGTCGAAGTCCGATACTTGAAATCCGATGGAGCACACATACTCGTCGAACGTCTCGTTCCACACTCGCGACGCTTGCTTGAGGCCGTAAATTGACTTCACCAATTCCAGGCAGTCGAACGTACTGTCAAGTTCGACGCCTTCAGGAATCACGCAGAACACTTGTTCCTTCATGACGCCATACAGGAAAGCTGTCACCACATCAAGCTGGTCGATGGGCCATCCAAAATGCTTGGAAATTGCGATCACCATTCGCAGCGTCACATACTTGACCACAGGCGAAAACGTCTCCGTGTAGTCGATGCCATACTTTTGGCGGAAACCCTTGGCCACAAGTCGTGCCTTGTACTTCTCGATTGACCCATCCGCCTTGCGCTTGATCTTGAACACCCATTTTGTGCCAATGGCGCGTTGTCCGTTGGGCAGCTTGGCTGCACGAAACACACCGCGAAGTCGCATTGACTCGAGCTCTGCATGAATTGCTTTTCTCCAGTGCACTTGGTCAGGGTCGCTTGCTGCTGCTTCAAATGTTGAGGGCTCTGATAAGTCCACTGCTGCTTCAACGGCATTTGCACTCGCACGCCAAAACACAGGCGGTGTTGAATCACCAGAATCCTTCGTTTCTTCGTCTTCTTCTTGTCGTGACGAGTTGTTTTCCGGCGCGCTTGACTCTTCTAGTCCTGGTCGTTGACGCACTGCACGCGGTCGTGGAGGTGCTGTATCTTCATCATTGAGTCGGTTCTTGCGCTTGCCTGTTTGCTTGTACTCCATTTGACGCAGCTCTTCGTCATCAAGATCCAGCAATTCGAAGTCCAGGTCATCGACATCTTCATCAGTGATCGGCAGTTGAAGTCCAAAGGTGGACTCTTCGAAGTTGACATCGCGGCTGATAACCACCTGCCCCGCCTTGATGTCATAAACACGATATGCCTTCGAAACTTCTTCGTAGCCCACGAATATGCCAGCGCGAGCCTTTGGATCCCACTTGAGTCGATTCTCTTTAGGCGTCAGTATGTATGTCTGACACCCGAATGTTCGCATGTGCTTGACGCTTGGTTTCAAGTTGTAGACGATCTCAAACGGGGTCTTGTGCACGACTTTAGGTGACGGCAGTCGATTCTTGACGTAGATGGCCGTCATCGCTGCTTCGGCCCAGAAACACTTGTCCAGTTTGGCATGATGAAGCATGCTGCGGCCGATCGTGACAATAGTCCTAATGGCACGCTCTGCTGTTCCGTTTGTTTGATGTGCATACGGCACCGTTGTCTGCTGTTCAATGCCTTCGTCTTCGTAGAACAGTTGAAGCGAGTTGGTTGCAAACTCGCGAGCTCCGTCGTGTCGCACGAACTTGACCTTCTTACAGAATTGCGTCTGTACCATGGTGATATATTTCCGGATGTAGTCTTCACTCTCGGACTTCACTCGTAGACAAAAGCCCTTCATGCATCCACTGGCTTCGTCGATGATCAGCAGCAAATATTTGCTACCACCGAGCGAATCCTTTTCCATGGGCCCGCAGATGTCCAGATGAAGTAGCTCAAACGTATCGTAGCTGCGCTTGTCTCGGTTGCTTGGAAATGGTTTTTGGACCATTTTCCCTTGTTGACATCCTCGACATGTAGTTGCTCCACCCGACTTGAGAGGGACTCGCACATCCTTGATCATGTTGGTCGCGATCATCTTGCGAAGTACATCGACTGGAGCATGACCCATTCTCGCATGTAGATCGGCACAACTGGTTCCACTTGTTGTCACATTCGCTGATCGTTGAGTCGTCCGAAGCCAGTAGAGTCCATCCACGAGATCCGCTGTCGCCACCACTTGCTGTGAGTTCTTGAGAGTCACATACATCTTGGACCCGTCAAACACGACTTGAAACTTGCCATGGCTGTTAATCTGTGGCACCGAGAGCAGGTTCTTGCTCATACTTGGAACATATAGCGCGTTCTTGATTTCGATCTCACGCTCTTCACCGTTGGGCAGAACCACCTTTTCCATGATGGTTCCCACACCCTTGATGGCCACCTTGTTGCCATCAGCCACCAAGAGTTCGCCCTCATTGCGCTCTGCCAAACTTGCGAACTTGGTCTTGTCGTGGCAAATGTGGTGCGTTGCACCACTGTCGACGGCCCACATTCCAGACACGTCCTTGCTCGTCGAAACTCCACATTCGAACGAGACTGCAAACGCCACTCGATCGTATCCATTGCCTTCATCATGATGTCCCCACTGGACATTGTTAGCCCCGCGTCCACGACCATTGCCGCCGCGTCGGGCTCCCCGACCTTCGTTCTTCTGCTTTGTCCAGCAACGATCCACCGTGTGTCCCACCTTGCCACAATACGTGCATTGGTAGGGCTCACGCTCGGCGCTGAATGCCTTGCTTGCATCTTCAGCCTTCACCGTAGTCGCTGTCGTTGTCCCTTTTTCTCCTTGACGCTTGGCATGCTCATTCGTCAGGACTCTCACCACATCTTGAGTGCGAAGCTCGGTGCTGCTCATTTCCATGTTGAGCACCACATTTTCGTAGCTCTTCGGAAGACTGAGTAGCAGACAAATTGCAACGTCTTCGTCTTCCATCTTCGCACCGATGCCGCTAAGCTTGGCGGAGATGTTGAGGACCTCGTTGCAGTGATGCATGACGTTCGCGCCTTCAGCCATCTTGATACTGAAAAGTTGTCGCTTGAGGTAGATGCGTCCTGCCTTCTGAGACCCACCGTACAGCGTCTTCAGACTTGTCCACGCAACCCAGGCTTCCTCGCAGTTGTCCAGCACATGATGGTAGTCCGCGTTCATGTGCAGCATGTTGAAAAGACAGCGGCTGTGAAGAAGACACCTCGTCAAGCTGCGTCAAGTGTTGAAGCAAGTGGAAGACCAAGCTTCGCTATACCGGTGGGTACCGGTATGTACCAGTAAGGGCGAAGTCAGGAAATGACGTCACTTGATGACGTCACTGCGAATAATAGGCTTAGAGGTAGCATTCAAAGTTGCGAACTAAGTACCTATTATAAATATATATTCACTTTGCGTTTTGCACTCGGACCAAGAAGTCTAAAGTTCATCAGGTTATGAGCCCAAGTTCGTCAGACTCTGAAACCGCCAACAATTCAAGCTTAGCTGCCATGGACGCCTCCTCCCTCCGCATCTCCAAGTTCGATGGAACTAACTTCCACGCCTGGAAGTTCAAGATGCAGATGGTGCTGGAGGAACGGGACCTATGGGAGGTCGTCAGCGGTGAGATCAAGGCGGAACAGTGCGAGACTCAGTTGGACCAAGCGACGTACAAGAGGAAGTCAAGAAAGGCGATGGCAGTGATCTGTCTAGCCATGGAAGATTCCCAGCTACCGTTGGTCCGGTCGGCAAGTGGTGCATGCGACGCATGGTCAAGGTTGGAAGACCACTTCGAGAAGAAGAGTCTTGCCAACAAGCTGTTCTTGCGCCGTCGCTTCTTCACGACAATGATGGAAGAAGGCGACGATGTGCTCGAACACATCAACAAGCTCAAGACGCTGGCGGAACAGCTAGAAGCGGTGGGGGATCCAGTCTGCGAGGACGATCTGGTGATCACACTCCTCGGCAGCCTGAGTGACTCGTATCAATTCTTGATCACAGCTTTGGAGTCGCGCTCAGACACTCTTAGCTGGGAGCTCGTGACGTCTCGACTGCTTCATGAAGAAATGAAGCGGAAGGAGCAAGGAAGTAAAGGTGATGAAGCTTCGCAAGGTCAAGCGTTCATCACAAGGGACAATCAGTGCAAAGGGCGACCAGTGAAGAAGTCCTGGCCGTGCCACAATTGCGGAAAGATTGGTCACTGGATGGCGGAGTGCCCCTCGCGCATCCAAGAAAACACGGAGAGACACCGGCCACAGCGTGCTCAAGACAGCGGCGACCGCTATCGATCACAACGTGCAAACGTCGCTCAAGAAGAAGACTCGGGCGACTACCTCTTTTCGATCGGTGAAACGACATCTGCGAAATCGAGCGACATCTGGCTGGTCGACTCCGGGGCGACGCAGCACATGACGTGCTCCAAGAAGTTCATGCGGAACTACAAGGGGTTTGACGCTGTGGATGTCCATCTCGCGGATGATGGAATCGTCCAAGCAATCGGCAGTGGGGACATTGTCATGTCGATGAAGACACCCCAAGGGATGAAGAAAGGTGTGCTCACAAACGTGTGGCACATCCCAAAGTTATCCAGAAACCTGTTCTCGGTCGGCCGCTTCACCAAGGATGTCAGCCCAGTGACGTTCACGAAGGATGGGTGCTATGGAGAAGCGAAAGGGACCAAGTGGAAAATTGGTGCCCGTGAAGGTAAAGGACTGTTCAAGCTGCAAATGACTCCAGTGGCGCCGGAACAAGCAAATGCAGCCAAGTCGTCGGGATGTCAAGGGGGCACCAAGTCGTACCTCTGGCACCTTCGGCTTGGCCACATAGGTCACGATGGACTCAATTGCATCGTGACGAAGAACATTGGAATTGGCATCGACATATCTTCGGTGAAGAAGTGGGACGTGTGTGAAGGTTGTGCTCTGGGAAAACAGACTCGAGTGCGCTTCCAATCAAACACTACAGCTCGCACCTCCAAACTCCTCGAAGTGATTCACAGCGACGTATGCGGACCGATGTCGATGGCAACTTTCAGTGGAAAACGGTACTTCGTGACATTCATTGATGACAAGTCAAGATACTGTGTCGTCTATCTGCTCAAGAGCAAATCTGAAGTTGCGGCGAAGTTCATGGAATACGCTGCGATGGCCGAAACGCAAACCGGAAAGCGCGTGAAGTACCTTCAAAGCGACAATGGGGGTGAATACAAGTCCGACAAGCTGGCACGATTCTGCGCGGAACGGGGAATACAACAAAGGTTCACACCCCCATATACTCCTCAGCTAAACGGAGTAGCTGAGAGAATGAATCGCACGCTGGTCGAGTGTGCGCGTTGCATGATGGAACACGCTGGACTGGGAAAGAGCTACTGGGGTGAAGCAGTGATGACGGCGATGTTTCTTCGAAACCGCTGTCCAACACGTGCCATTCACCAAGACAAGTCTCCATATCAAGTGTGGACGATGAAGAAACCGATTCTGACCAACCTTAAAGTGTTTGGATGCCACGCGTATGTTCAAGTGCCTCAAGACAAACGCGCGAAGTTCGACTCCAAGTCATCACTCTGTCGTTTCCTGGGATACGCCGAACACCAGAAGTCATATCGATTTGAGGAAGTGTCAACAGGAGCGATCAAGATCAGTCGCGATGCCACATTCATGGAAGACAAGTTTGATGAAGGTCCGCGCAACTACAACGATGAGTCAAGTGTCGTTGAGTTTGATGATCATGATGAGGACGAAGAAAAAGAAGAAGGTAAAACTGACGACGACATGGACTCGAGCGACGATGACAACGAAGACACCAGGTCTTCGAAGAGCAACATCAAGAGACACACGCGCACTCAATCACTTGAGAAAGCTACCGTCATTCCAAGTCCCAAGCGAAGAACATACAGAGGTCCGTCGCTTGAGCATGTGTCAGCGGCTGCAATGGATTTTGAAGCAGCCTACATCGTTGATTCAGTGGGGGAAACGCCGACTACATTCAAGTCGGCGATGGAATCAAGCGACTCCGGCAAGTGGAAAGAAGCGTGTGACTCGGAGTTCGACTCGCTTCAGAGAAACGACACGTAGGAAATCGTGCCTCTTCCGAAAGGTCGCAAGGCCATCGGGTGCCGATGGGTTTTTCGTGTAAAGGATAATCAAGATGGCGAAGTTGAACGCTTCAAGGCAAGACTTGTGGCCAAAGGATTCTCACAGAAATTCGGAGTTGACTATGAAGAAACTTTCGCACCGGTGGCCAAGTTCACATCGATTCGTGTGGTGCTCAGTATGGCGGCTAAGTACGGCCTAATGCTACATCAGATGGACGTCAAGACAGCGTTTCTTAACGGCTCCCTCAACGAAGACATCTACATGGACCAGCCGGACGGATACCTGGATGCAACACAGCCGGACTATGTGTGCAAGCTAAAGAGATCACTCTACGGCTTGAAGCAATCGCCTCGCATGTGGAACCAAACAATCGATGGGTTCATGATCAAGATGGGATTCAAGAAGTGCGAATCGGACCACTGCATCTACATCAAGCGAGACGACCAAGACATGATTCTCGTGGTGCTCTACGTCGATGATCTCATCCTGGCCAGCAGCAACAACGAACTCCTCAAGTCAACCAAGATGGCGCTGAGCAAACGCTTCGAAATGACGGATCTCGGTGAGCTCGATTACTTTCTCGGCATGGAGATCAAGAACGACCGTAAGACGGGAATGGTGACTGTACAACAAACCAAGTTTCTCAAGTCCGTGTTAACCAAGTTCGGAATGGATAACAGCAAGCCAGTGAAGACGCCTCAAGATCCCGGCCTGAAGCTAACCAAGAACATGTGTGAACAAGAATGCAAGCACGAAGACACCATGTGCAACGTGCCATATCGAAGTGCTGTCGGAGGCATCATGTATCTCATGGTCGCCACACGTCCGGATCTAGCTGCTGCAGTGGGATCATTATCCCAGTTCTCGTCCGACCCATGCCCGACTCACTGGCAAGCTTTGAAGCGTGTGCTGAGATACCTGCAAGCAACGCCCAATCATGGTCTTGAGTTTACACGTGAAGAAGGAAGCCGTATCTGCGGGTACACCGACGCAGACTGGGCCGGCGACATTGAGTCAAGACGAAGTACAAGCGGCTATGTGTTCATGATGAGCGGAGGATGCATCAGCTGGAAAAGCCAGAAACAACGGACGGTCGCGCTATCTTCAACAGAAGCAGAATACATGGCGCTTTCCGAAGCAACCAAAGAAGCAGTATGGCTCAAAGTGCTTTTGGGGGAACTTGGTGAGATGACAAGTGACGAAGCGATCAAGATGTATGAAGACAACCAAGGATCAATCGCTCTCGCCAAGAACCCGGAGTTCCATAAGAGAACAAAACACATCGACATACGCTACCATTTTGTGCGTGAGAAGGTGGAATCAGGTGAAGTCGTTTTGGAGTATTGCCCGACTCAAGATATGCTGGCAGACATGATGACCAAGCCGATCGCCGCTGTACAATTTGAAAACATTCGCGATCGACTTGGGATCCAAGGTGCCGCAGCTAACGAGTCGAGAGGGAGTGTTGAAAAGACAGCGGCTGTGAAGAAGACACCTCGTCAAGCTGCGTCAAGTGCTAAATCAAGTGGAAGACCAAGCTTCGCTATACCGGTGGGTACCGGTATGTACCAGTAAGGGCGAAGTCAGGAAATGACGTCATTGGATGACGTCAGTGGGTGACGTCACTGGATGACGTCAGTGGGTGACGTCACTGGATGACGTCACTGCGAATAATAGGCTTAGAGGTAGTATTCAAAGTTGCGAACTAAGTACCTATTATAAATATATATTCACTTTGCGTTTTGCACTCGGACCAAGTAGTCTAAAGTTCATCACAGCAGCATCATACCAAACGCGACGTTGCTTGCCTTGACGTAGTCATCGGACGCTCGCGGGTCGGTGAAAGTCGGAGTCACTTCACGGTTGACAACGTGCCAGACGGACTTCGTCAAAAACACACCGCGCATGTACCGGCTCCACGTTGCGTAATTGTCTCCGTTGAACTTGTCAATGGAGGCGTTGCTGGTGGACGACATGGCGCTTGGGCTCATAACCTGTTGCATTGTAGATCGGAGCGAGGAAAGCGGAGCAAACGGAGCGGAGAGACCGAAGAGAGTAGAGCAGAAAACACTTGCCCAATAGTTGGAAGATTCGAAAGTGATTGATTATCGGGGCTTACTACTTACTACATGATTTATATGTGGTGCACATATAAATCATGTGAAGCGTCTCATCATCCTACGCGTCTAATCAACTATGGTAATTACCGTAAGAACTACGTCGTAAATACTAAGCTGAACAGGCGGTTCGGATTGGATCGGTCACGGTTACCAATACTGGTAGAAAACCGATGACCGTCAACAATAACGAGGATGCTACACCTCAAGTCTTTTGGAGAGCGAGTGCCAACACAGTCGAATTTACTGACATTTCCGAGCCGACAACGTTTGAAGATGCTGTTGGTGGACCAGATCAAGTGCATTGGCGTAAAGCAATCTGTGCCGAGCTGGACTCGATGAAACTTCGTGGCGTGTTTTGAGCGACCAAACTGCCAGATGGACAGCATACCATTGGCATCAACCCTGGGTATTCAAGATAAAAAGGAAAGCTGATGGATCCATCGAGAAATGCAAGGCGCGTCTCGTGGCAAAAGGGTTCAAGCAGAAATATGGCATCGACTACACGGAGACGTTTTCGCCGGTGGTCAAGTACGTGACGCTGCGCATGGTGGTTGCAATCACGAAGTACTTTGACTGGACACTGGACCAACTGGACGTGGTGACAGCTTTCCTATACGGAGAAATGAAGAGCAGGTATTCTGCGTGATCCCAGAAGGGGTCGAAGTTGATGAAGACTTTGACTGCTCTGAACTGGTCAAGGCGATCTACGGACTAAAACAAGCATCGCGTGTATGGAACGAGACTTTCCATGAGGGTTCATCTACTCCACTGGATTTCCAGTATTTGATTTTGACCCGTGTCTTTATCTCAAGATTACAAGTGGCGAGTGCGGGCTTTTGCTGGTATACGTCAATGATGTGCTGGTGACTGGCAGCTCGACCGAACTGATTATGCGCACCAAGAGTGACTTAAAGGCGCGTTTCGAAATGACCGACAGCGGCAAGTGCGCATTCGTGTTGGGCTTCGAGCTGGTGGACAACGACAACGGTAGCGTGACGATGTGCCGGCGACGCTACGTGGAAGATGTCCTCAAACGTTTTGGCATGAGCGACTGCAAAGCCGTCACCAGCCCAACAGACATCAGTTCTCGACTCATACCAAGCACAGCAGCAATGAAGTTCTCCACATCAGCGCGAGGGTCAGCATTATCGGTGCCAAGATGGAGGATGAGGACGCGGCGATCTGCTTGTTGTGCAGTCTCCCCAAGAGCTACGAGAATGTCGTGCTGAACTTGGAGATGAGCAGCGTAGAACTGCGGACGCAAGACGCCGTGAAAGAGCTGACGAGTGAGCACATCAAGAGACAAGGAAACAAGGAAACAAGACGACGTCGGTGAAAACTGAAGAAGCGACCAAGGCCTTCAGTACCGAGCGTGAGGTTCGTCAGTGTACGTTCTGCGGAAAATTGGGGCACACGGTCGAAAAGTGCTGGACCAAGCAGAAAGAAGACAATCGGGGAGCTCGACGCGGCGGCAATGCTGGTGGACGCGGAGCGAATCAAGTTCAGTGGAAAAGCTACAACGGCAACAACAACTATGACCATGATTGAGTGGCGTTTTCTGTTTTGCCGGAATGCGGACTTTCAACGACCAGGAGCATGTCTGGAATGTGGGCGATTGACAGCGGTACAACACATCACATCTGCTATGACAAGTCCAAGTTCAAAATTATGGACGAGCGCAATGAAGGTGAAGTGTTGGTTGCAGAGGCGAGCAAGGCTGCGATCAACGGTGTTGGGACGATCGTCGAAAAGGTGGTCCTGTCCAATGGTGAAGAGCGCGAAGTCTAGATCAAGAACGCGCTTTACGTCCCAAGCATGAACAAGAACTTGCTGTCGATACCACAAATCAACAAAAGCGGCAAGTTTCAAGTGGTGTTTGATGTTGACGAGATGAAGATTTCGCACAAAGGCTCCAAGCAAGTAATGGCGATGGCCGATCTTGTGGATGGCCTCCACTGGCTTCGTACATGTTGACGGTAATCGGGATCCTACCAGTGTTGGTAACCGTGACCGGTCCAATCCGAACCGCCTGTTCAGCTTAGTATTTACGACGTAGTTCTTACGGTAATTACCATAGTTGATTAGACACGTAGAATGATGAGACGCTTCACATGATTTATATGTACACCACATATAAATCATGTAGTAAGTAGTAAGTCCCGATAATCAATCACTTTTCAATCTTCCATCTACCCCCAAGTGTCTTCTCCGGTCTTCCGAGTGGATCCCAGCATCCCTCCCAGTTTCGGTCGTCAAGCTTTTCACCATTCAACACAGAAGGAAGACAATCGGGGAGCTCGACGCGGCGGCAATGCTCGTGTACGCGGAGCGAATCAAGTTCAGTGGCAAGGCTACAACGGCAACAACAACTATGACCGTGATTGAGTGGCGTTTTCTGTTTTGCTGGAATGCGGACTTTCAACGACCAGGAGCATGTCTGGAATGTGGGCGATTGACAGCGGTACAACACATCACATCTGCTATGACAAGTCCAAGTTCGAAGTTATGGACGAGCGCAATGAAGGTGAAGTGTTGGTTGCAGAGGCGAGCAAGGCTGCGATCAACGGTGTTGGGACGATCATCGAAAAGGTGGTCCTGTCAAATGGTGAAGAGCGCGAAGTCAAGATCAAGAACGCGCTTTACGTCCCAAGCATGAACAAGAACTTGCTGTCGATACCACAAATCAACAAAAGCGGCAAGTTTCAAGTGGTGTTTGATGTTGACGAGATGAAGATTTCGCACAAAGGCTCCAAGCAAGTAATGGCGATGGCCGATCTTGTGGATTGTTGACGGTCATCGGTTTTCTACCAGTATTGGTAACAGTGACCGGTCCAATCCGAACCGCCTGTTCAGCTTAGTATTTACGACGTAGTTCTTACGGTAATTACCATAGTTGATTAGACGCGTAGGATGATGAGACGCTTCACATGATTTATATGTACACCACATATAAATCATGTAGTAAGTAGTAAGCCCCGATAATCAATCACTTTCGAATCTTCCAACTATTGGGCAAGTGTTTTCTGCTCTACTCTCTTCGGTCTCTCCGCTCCGTTTGCTCCGCTTTCCTCGCTCCGATCTACAATGCAACAGGTTATGAGCCCAAGCGCCATGTCGTCCACCAGCAACGCCTCCATTGACAAGTTCAACGGAGACAATTACGCAACGTGGAGCCGGTACATGCGCGGTGTGTTTTTGACGAAGTCCGTCTGGCACGTGGTCAACCGTGAAGTGACTCCGACTTTCACCGACCCGCGAGCGTCCGATGACTACGTCAAGGCAAGCAACGTCGCGTTTGGTATGATGCTGCTGCACATGAACGCGGACTACCATCATGTGCTGGACAACTGCGAGGAAGCCTGGGTTGCGTGGACAAGTCTGAAGACGCTGTACGGTGGGTCTCAGAAGGCAGGACGCATCTACCTCAAGCGACAACTTTTCAGTATCAAGATGGATGAAGGCGCGAACGTCATGCATCACTGCAACGAGGTCCTCAACATCTCCGCCAAGCTTAGCGGCATCGGTGCGAAGATGGAAGACGAAGACGTTGCAATTTGTCTGCTACTCAGTCTTCCGAAGAGCTACGAAAATGTGGTGCTCAACATGGAAATGAGCAGCACCGAGCTTCGCACTCAAGATGTGGTGAGAGTCCTGACGAATGAGCATGCCAAGCGTCAAGGAGCAAAAGGGACAACGACAGCGACTACGGTGAAGGCTGAAGATGCAAGCAAGGCATTCAGCGCCGAGCGTGAGCCCTACCAATGCACGTATTGTGGCAAGGTGGGACACACGGTGGATCGTTGCTGGACAAAGCAGAAGAACGAAGGTCGGGGAGCCCGACGCGGCGGCAATGGTCGTGGACGCGGGGCTAACAATGTCCAGTGGGAACATCATGATGAAGGCAATGGCTACGATCGAGTGGCGTTTGCAGTCTCGTTCGAATGTGGAGTTTCGACGAGCAAGGACGTGTCTGGAATGTGGGCCGTCGACAGTGGTGCAACGCACCGCATTTGCCACGACAAGACCAACTTCGCAAGTTTGGCAGAGCGCAATGAGGGCGAACTCTTGGTGGCTGATGGCAACAAGGTGGCCATCAAGGGTGTGGGAACCATCATGGAAAAGGTGGTTCTGCCCAACGGTGAAGAGCGTGAGATCGAAATCAAGAACGTGCTATATGTTCCAAGTATGAGCAAGAACCTGCTCTCGGTACCACAGATTAACAGCCATGGCAAGTTTCAAGTCGTGTTTGACGGGTCCAAGATGTATGTGACTCTCAAGAACTCACAGCAAGTGGTGGCGACAGCGGATTTCGTGGATGGACTCTACTGGCTTCGGACGACTCAACTATCAGCGAATGTGACAACAAGTGGAACCAGTTGTGCCGATCTACATGCGAGAATGGGTCATGCTCCAGTCGATGTACTTCGCAAGATGATCGCGACCAACATGATCAAGGATGTGCGAGTCCCTCTCAAGTCGGGTGGAGCAACTACATGTCGAGGATGTCAACAAGGGAAAATGGTCCAAAAACCATTTCCAAGCAACCGAGACAAGCGCAGCTACGATACGTTTGAGCTACTTCATCTGGACATCTGCAGGCCCATGGAAAAGGATTCGCTCGGTGGCAGCAAATATTTGCTGCTGATCATCGACGAAGCCAGTGGATGCATGAAGGGCTTTTGTCTACGAGTGAAGTCCGAGAGTGAAGACTACATCCGGAAATATATCACCATGGTACAGACGCAATTCTGTAAGAAGGTCAAGTTCGTGCGACACGACGGAGCTCGCGAGTTTGCAACCAACTCGCTTCAACTGTTCTACGAAGACGAAGGCATTGAACAGCAGACAACGGTGCCGTATGCACATCAAACAAACGGAACAGCAGAGCGTGCCATTAGGACTATTGTCACGATCGGCCGCAGCATGCTTCATCATGCCAAACTGGACAAGTGTTTCTGGGCCGAAGCAGCGATGACGGCCATCTACGTCAAGAATCGACTGCCGTCACCTAAAGTCGTGCACAAGACCCCGTTTGAGATCGTCTACAACTTGAAACCAAGCGTCAAGCACATGCGAACATTCAAATGTCAGACATACATACTGACGCCTAAAGAGAATCGACTCAAGTGGGATCCAAAGGCTCGCGCTGGCATATTCGTGGGCTACGAAGAAGTTTCGAAGGCATATCGTGTTTATGACATCAAGGCGGGGCAGGTGGTTATCAGCCGCGATGTCAACTTCGAAGAGTCCACCTTTGGACTTCAACTGCCGATCACTGATGAAGATGTCGATGACCTGGACTTCGAATTGCTGGATCTTGATGACGAAGAGCTGCTTCAAATGGAGTACAAGCAAACAGGCAAGCGCAAGAACTGACTCAATGATGAAGATACAGTAGCTCCACGACCGCGTGCAGTGCGTCAACGACCAGGACTAGAAGAGTCAAGCGCGCCGGAAAACAACTCGTCACGCCAAGAAGAAGACGAAGAAACGAAGGATTCTGGTGATTCAACACCGCCTGTGTTTTGGCGTGCGAGTGCAAATGCCGTTGAAGCAGCAGTAGACTTATCAGAGCCCTCAACATTTGAAGCAGCAGTAAGCTGTTGACGGTCATCGGTTTTCTACCAGTATTGGTAACCGTGACCGATCCAATCCGAACCGCCTGTTCAGCTTAGTATTTACGACGTAGTTCTTACGGTAATTACCATAGTTGATTAGACGCGTAGGATGATGAGACGCTTCACATGATTTATATGTACACCACATATAAATCATGTAGTAAGTAGTAAGCCCCGATAATCAATCACTTTCGAATCTTCCAACTATTGGGCAAGTGTTTTCTGCTCTACTCTCTTCGGTCTCTCCGCTCCGTTTGCTCCGCTTCCCTCGCTCCGATCTACAATGCAACAGGTTATGAGCCCAAGCGCCATGTCGTCCACCAGCAACGCCTCCATTGACAAGTTCAACGGAGACAATTACGCAACGTGGAGCCGGTACATGCGCGGTGTGTTTTTGACGAAGTCCGTCTGGCACGTTGTCAACCGTGAAGTGACTCCGACTTTCACCGACCCGCGAGCGTCCGATGACTACGTCAAGGCAAGCAACGTCGCGTTTGGTATGATGCTGCTGCACATGAACGCGGACTACCATCATGTGCTGGACAACTGCGAGGAAGCCTGGGTTGCGTGGACAAGTCTGAAGACGCTGTACGGTGGGTCGCAGAAGGCAGGACGCATCTACCTCAAGCGACAACTTTTCAGTATCAAGATGGCTGAAGGCGCGAACGTCATGCATCACTGCAACGAGGTCCTCAACATCTCCGCCAAGCTTAGCGGCATCGGTGCGAAGATGGAAGACGAAGACGTTGCAATTTGTCTGCTACTCAGTCTTCCGAAGAGCTACGAAAATGTGGTGCTCAACATGGAAATGAGCAGCACCGAGCTTCGCACTCAAGATGTGGTGAGAGTCCTGACGAATGAGCATGCCAAGCGTCAAGGAGAAAAAGGGACAACGACAGCGACTACGGTGAAGGCTGAAGATGCAAGCAAGGCATTCAGCGCCGAGCGTGAGCCCTACCAATGCACGTATTGTGGCAAGGTGGGACACACGGTGGATCGTTGCTGGACAAAGCAGAAGAACGAAGGTCGGGGAGCCCGACGCGGCGGCAATGGTCGTGGACGCGGGGCTAACAATGTCCAGTGGGGACATCATGATGAAGGTAATGGCTACGATCGAGTGGCGTTTGCAGTCTCGTTCGAATGTGGAGTTTCGACGAGCATGGACGTGTCTGGAATGTGGGCCGTCGACAGTGGTGCAACGCACCACATTTGCCACGACAAGACCAAGTTCGCAAGTTTGGCAGAGCGCAATGAGGGCGAACTCTTGGTGGCTGATGGCAACAAGGTGGCCATCAAGGGTGTGGGAACCATCATGGAAAAGGTGGTTCTGCCCAACGGTGAAGAGCGTGAGATCGAAATCAAGAACGCGCTATATGTTCCAAGTATGAGCAAGAACCTGCTCTCGGTACCACAGATTAACAGCCATGGCAAGTTTCAAGTCGTGTTTGACGGGTCCAAGATGTATGTGACTCTCAAGAACTCACAGCAAGTGGTGGTAACAGCCGATCTTGTCGATGGACTCTACTGGCTTCGGACGACTCAACGATCAGCGAATGTGACAACAAGTGGAACTAGTTGTGCCGATCTACATGCGAGAATGGGTCATGCTCCAGTCGATGTACTTCGCAAGATGATCGCGACCAACATGATCAAGGATGTGCGAGTCCCTCTCAAGTCGGGTGGAGCAACTACATGTCGAGGATGTCAACAAGGGAAAATGGTCCAAAAACCATTTCCAAGCAACCGAGACAAGCGCAGCTACGATACGTTTGAGCTACTTCATCTGGACATCTGCGGGCCCATGGAAAAGGATTCGCTCGGTGGCAGCAAATATTTGCTGCTGATCATCGACGAAGCCAGTGGATGCATGAAGGGCTTTTGTCTACGAGTGTGTTGCATTGTAGATCGGAGCGAGGAAAGCGGAGCAAACGGAGCGGAGACACCGAAGAGAGTAGAGCAGAAAACACTTGCCCAATAGTTGGAAGTTTCGAAAGTGATTGATTATCGGGGCTTACTACTTACTACATGATTTATATGTGGTGTACATATAAATCATGTGAAGCGTCTCATCATCCTACGCGTCTAATCAACTATGGTAATTACCGTAAGAACTACGTCGTAAATACTAAGCTGAACAGGCGGTTCGGATTGGATCGGTCACGGTTACCAATACTGGTAGAAAACCGATGACCGTCAACACGCCCCCTCAATCCGAATGCTCACGAATCCCGAGAGCCGTCGTAATCTCCTTGTGGCGTGGTCCATGAAGTCCCTTCGTCATGATGTCCGCTAACATCACCGCAGTTTCACAGTACTTGAGCTTCACTTCACCGCGCTTGACCTCATCACGGATGTGATGGTACTTGATATCAATGTGCTTGGCACGGCCGTGGTTGACTGGGTTCTTCGTCATCTTGATACACGACTGATTGTCTTCATGGATCATGAGTTCCGGTCCTTCTTCATTGGCAGCCATCACGATCTCACAAAGCAGACGATGAATCCACTTGCCCTCTTGAATCGCCAAGCTGAGTGCGATGTATTCGGCTTCACTCGTGGACAACGAAACACTTGGCTGCTTCTTGCTGCCCCAACTGACTGGCGCACCGAGTAGCATGAACGTGTACCCCGATGTTGACTTGCGGTCGGTAAGATCACCAGCCCAATCCGCATCCGAATATCCACGGAAGTCGATCCTTGCACTTGGCTTGTAGCAAATTCCATGCGTCTTGGTGCCTTGTAGGTAGCGAAAGATACGCTTAACTGCAACCCAGTGTTCTTCTTGGGGATTTTCCATGAACCGCGACACATAGCCCACAGCAAACGCAATGTCCGGACGCGTTGCAGTGGTCAGGTGCATCAACGCACCAACAGCTTCGCGAAAAGGAGCATCGACCTTGGTAGTTGCATCACTTGAAACAAGTCGAGAGCTCATGTCGACTGGACTTGCGACTGCCTTGCAATCATCCATGCCAAAGCGCTTGAGGATATCATCGACATACCGACGCTGACATATTGTCACACTGCCATCTTCACCGTCCAAAAGCTCGATCCCAAGAACAAACGCACACTTGCCGCTGTCCGTCATTTCGAACCGCGTCTTCAGGTCGTTCTTGGTTTGTGCAATCAGCTCGAGCGAGCTTCCAGTCACCAAGACGTCGTCCACGTAGACCAGTATAAATACGCAATGGCCGTCCGAAGTCTTGATGTAGAGACATGGGTCGAAGTCCGATACTTGAAATCCGATGGAGCACACATACTCGTCGAACGTCTCGTTCCACACTCGCGACGCTTGCTTGAGGCCGTAAATTGACTTCACCAATTCCAGGCAGTCGAACGTACTGTCAAGTTCGACGCCTTCAGGAATCACGCAGAACACTTGTTCCTTCATGACGCCATACAGGAAAGCTGTCACCACATCAAGCTGGTCGATGGGCCATCCAAAATGCTTGGAAATTGCGATCACCATTCGCAGCGTCACATACTTGACCACAGGCGAAAACGTCTCCGTGTAGTCGATGCCATACTTTTGGCGGAAACCCTTGGCCACAAGTCGTGCCTTGTACTTCTCGATTGACCCATCCGCCTTGCGCTTGATCTTGAACACCCATTTTGTGCCAATGGCGCGTTGTCCGTTGGGCAGCTTGGCTGCACGAAACACACCGCGAAGTCGCATTGACTCGAGCTCTGCATGAATTGCTTTTCTCCAGTGCACTTGGTCAGGGCCGCTTACTGCTGCTTCAAATGTTGAGGGTTCTGATAAGTCTACTGCTGCTTCAACGGCATTTGCACTCGCACGCCAAAACACAGGCGGTGTTGAATCACCAGAATCCTTCGTTTCTTCGTCTTCTTCTTGTCGTGACGAGTTGTTTTCCGGCGCGCTTGACTCTTCTAGTCCTGGTCGTTGACGCACTGCACGCGGTCGTGGAGCTGCTGTATCTTCATCATTGAGTCGGTTCTTGCGCTTGCCAGTTTGCTGATACTCCATTTGACGCAGCTCTTCGTCATCAAGATCCAGCAATTCGAAGTCCAGGTCATCGACATCTTCATCAGTGATCGGCAGTTGAAGTCCAAAGGTGGACTCGTCGAAGTTGACATCGCGGCTGATAACCACCTGCCCCGCCTCAATGTCAAATACACGATATGCCTTGGACACTTCTTCGTAGCCCACGAATATGCCAGCGCGAGCCTTTGGATCCCACTTGAGTCGCTTCTCCTTCGGAGTCAGTATAAATGTCTGACATTTGAATGCTCGCATGTGCTTGACGCTTGGCTTCGAGTTGTACACGATCTCAAACGGGGTCTTATGCACAACTTTTGGTGACGGTAGGCAATTCTTGACGTAGATGACCGTCATTGCTAATTCAGCCCAGAAGCACTTGTCCAACTTGGCATGGTGAAGCATGCTGCGGCCGATCGTGACGATAGTCCCAATGGCGCGCTTGCTGTTCCGTTGGTCTGGTGTGCATACGGCACCGTCGTCTGCTGTTCAATGCCTTCATCCTCGTAGAAATCTTGAAGCGAGTTCGTAGCAAACTCGCGAGCTCCGTCTTGGCGCACAAACTTGACCTTCTTGCCGAACTGCGTCTGCACCATCGTGATATATTTCCGGATGTAGTCTTCACTCTCGGACTTCGCTCGTAGACAAAAGCCCTTCATGCATCCACTGGCTTCGTCGATGATCAGCAGCAAATATTTGCTGCCACCGAGCGAATCCTTTTCCATGGGCCCGCAGATGTCCAGATGAAGTAGCTCAAACGTATCGTAGCTGCGCTTGTCTCGGTTGCTTGGAAATGGTTTTTGGACCATTTTCCCTTGTTGACATCCTCGACATGTAGTTGCTCCACCCGACTTGAGAGGGACTCGCACATCCTTGATCATGTTGGTCGCGATCATCTTGCGAAGTACATCGACTGGAGCATGACCCATTCTCGCATGTAGATCGGCACAACTAGTTCCACTTGTTGTCACATTCGCTGATCGTTGAGTCGTCCGAAGCCAGTAGAGTCCATCCACGAGATCCGCTGTCGCCACCACTTGCTGTGAGTTCTTGAGAGTCACATACATCTTGGACCCGTCAAACACGACTTGAAACTTGCCATGGCTGTTAATCTGTGGCACCGAGAGCAGGTTCTTGCTCATACTTGGAACATATAGCGCGTTCTTGATTTCGATCTCACGCTCTCCACCGTTGGGCAGAACCACCTTTTCCATGATGGTTCCCACACCCTTGATGGCCACCTTGTTGCCATCAGCCACCAAGAGTTCGCCCTCATTGCGCTCTGCCAAACTTGCGAACTTGGTCTTGTCGTGGCAAATGTGGTGCGTTGCACCACTGTCGACGGCCCACATTCCAGACACGTCCTTGCTCGTCGAAACTCCACATTCGAACGAGACTGCAAACGCCACTCGATCGTAGCCATTGCCTTCATCATGATGTCCCCACTGGACATTGTTAGCCCCGCGTCCACGACCATTGCCGCCGCGTCGGGCTCCCCGACCTTCGTTCTTCTGCTTTGTCCAGCAACGATCCACCGTGTGTCCCACCTTGCCACAATACGTGCATTGGTAGGGCTCACGCTCGGCGCTGAATGCCTTGCTTGCATCTTCAGCCTTCACCGTAGTCGCTGTCGTTGTCCCTTTTTCTCCTTGACGCTTGGCATGCTCATTCGTCAGGACTCTCACCACATCTTGAGTGCGAAGCTCGGTGCTGCTCATTTCCATGTTGAGCACCACATTTTCGTAGCTCTTCGGAAGACTGAGTAGCAGACAAATTGCAACGTCTTCGTCTTCCATCTTCGCACCGATGCCGCTAAGCTTGGCGGAGATGTTAAGGACCTCGTTGCAGTGATGCATGACGTTCGCGCCTTCAGCCATCTTGATACTGAAAAGTTGTCGCTTGAGGTAGATGCGTCCTGCCTTCTGCGACCCACCGTACAGCGTCTTCAGACTTGTCCACGCAACCCAGGCTTCCTCGCAGTTGTCCAGCACATGATGGTAGTCCGCGTTCATGTGCAGCAGCATCATACCAAACGCGACGTTGCTTGCCTTGACGTAGTCATCGGACGCTCGCGGGTCGGTGAAAGTCGGAGTCACTTCACGGTTGACCACGTGCCAGACGGACTTCGTCAAAAACACACCGCGCATGTACCGGCTCCACGTTGCGTAATTGTCTCCGTTGAACTTGTCAATGGAGGCGCTGCTGGTGGACGACATGGCGCTTGGGCTCATAACCTGTTGCATTGTAGATCGGAGCGAGGAAAGCGGAGCAAACGGAGCGGAGAGACCGAAGAGAGTAGAGCAGAAAACACTTGCCCAATAGTTGGAAGATTCGAAAGTGATTGATTATCGGGGCTTACTACTTACTACATGATTTATATGTGGTGTACATATAAATCATGTGAAGCGTCTCATCATCCTACGCGTCTAATCAACTATGGTAATTACCGTAAGAACTACGTCGTAAATACTAAGCTGAACAGGCGGTTCAGATTGGATCGGTCACGGTTACCAATACTGGTAGAAAACCGATGACCGTCAACAGAGTGAAGTCCGAGAGTGAAGACTACATCCGGAAATATATCACCATGGTACAGACGCAATTCTGTAAGAAGGTCAAGTTCGTGCGACACGACGGAGCTCGCGAGTTTGCAACCAACTCGCTTCAACTGTTCTACGAAGACGAAGGCATTGAACAGCAGACAACGGTGCCGTATGCACACCAGAACAACGGAACAGCAATCGCGCCATCGGGACTATCGTCACGATCGGCCGTAGCATGCTTCATCATGCCAAACTGGACAAGTGTTTCTGGGCCGAAGCAGCGATGACGGTCATCTACGTCAAGAATTGCCTACCGTCACCAAAAATGTGCATAAGACCCCGTTTGAGATCGTGTACAACTTGAAACCAAGCGTCAAGCACATGCGAACATTCAAGTGTCAGACATACATACTGACGCCTAAAGAGAATCGACTCAAGTGGGATCCAAAGGCTCGCGCTGGCATATTCGTGGGCTACGAAGAAGTTTCGAAGGCATATCGTGTTTATGACATCAAGGCGGGGCAGGTGGTTATCAGCCGCGATGTCAACTTCGAAGAGTCCACCTTTGGACTTCAACTGCCGATCACTGATGAAGATGTCGATGACCTGGACTTCGAATTGCTGGATCTTGATGACGAAGAGCTGCGTCAAATGGAGTACAAGCAAACAGGCAAGCGCAAGAACCGACTCAATGATGAAGATACAGCACCTCCACGACCGCGTGCAGTGCGTCAACGACCAGGACTAGAAGAATCAAGCGCGCCGGAAAACAACTCGTCACGCCAAGAAGAAGACGAAGAAACGAAGGATTCTGGTGATTCAACACCGCCTGTGTTTTGGCGTGCGAGTGCAAATGCCGTTGAAGCAGCAGTGGACTTATCAGAACCCTCAACATTTGAAGCAGCAGTAAGCGGCCCTGACCAAGTGCACTGGAGAAAAGCAATTCATGCAGAGCTCGAGTCAATGCGACTTCGCGGTGTGTTTCGTGCAGCCAAGCTGCCCAACGGACAACGCGCCATTGGCACAAAATGGGTGTTCAAGATCAAGCGCAAGGCGGATGGGTCAATCGAGAAGTACAAGGCACGACTTGTGGCCAAGGGTTTCCGCCAAAAGTATGGCATCGACTACACGGAGACGTTTTCGCCTGTGGTCAAGTATGTGACGCTGCGAATGGTGATCGCAATTTCCAAGCATTTTGGATGGCCCATCGACCAGCTTGATGTGGTGACAGCTTTCCTGTATGGCGTCATGAAGGAACAAGTGTTCTGCGTGATTCCTGAAGGCGTCGAACTTGACAGTACGTTCGACTGCCTGGAATTGGTGAAGTCAATTTACGGCCTCAAGCAAGCGTCGCGAGTGTGGAACGAGACGTTCGACGAGTATGTGTGCTCCATCGGATTTCAAGTATCGGACTTCGACCCATGTCTCTACATCAAGACTTCGGACGGCCATTGCGTGTTTATACTGGTCTACGTGGACGACGTCTTGGTGACTGGAAGCTCGCTCGAGCTGATTGCACAAACCAAGAACGACCTGAAGACGCGGTTCGAAATGACGGACAGCGGCAAGTGTGCGTTTGTTCTTGGGATCGAGCTTTTGGACGGTGAAGATGGCAGTGTGACAATATGTCAGCGTCGGTATGTCGATGATATCCTCAAGCGCTTTGGCATGGATGATTGCAAGGCAGTCGCAAGTCCAGTCGACATGAGCTCTCGACTTGTTTCAAGTGATGCAACTACCAAGGTCGATGCTCCTTTTCGCGAAGCTGTTGGTGCGTTGATGCACCTGACCACTGCAACGCGTCCGGACATTGCGTTTGCTGTGGGCTATGTGTCGCGGTTCATGGAAAATCCCCAAGAAGAACACTGGGTTGCAGTTAAGCGTATCTTTCGCTACCTACAAGGCACCAAGACGCATGGAATTTGCTACAAGCCAAGTGCAAGGATCGACTTCCGTGGATATTCGGATGCGGATTGGGCTGGTGATCTTACCGACCGCAAGTCAACATCGGGGTACACGTTCATGCTACTCGGTGCGCCAGTCAGTTGGGGCAGCAAGAAGCAGCCAAGTGTTTCGTTGTCCACGACTGAAGCCGAATACATCGCACTCAGCTTGGCGATTCAAGAGGGCAAGTGGATTCATCGTCTGCTTTGTGAGATTGTGATGGCTGCCAATGAAGAAGGACCGGAACTCATGATCCATGAAGACAATCAGTCGTGTATCAAGATGACGAAGAACCCAGTCAACCACGGCCGTGCCAAGCACATTGATATCAAGTACCATCACATCCGTGATGAGGTCAAGCGCGGTGAAGTGAAGCTCAAGTACTGTGAAACTGCGGTGATGTTAGCGGACATCATGACGAAGGGACTTCACGGGCCACGCCACAAGGAGATGACGGCGACTCCGGATTCGTGAGCATTCGATTGAGGGGGCGTGTTGACGGTCATCGGTTTTCTACCAGTATTGGTAACCGTGACCGATCCAATCCGAAACCGCCTGTTCAGCTTAGTATTTACGACGTAGTTCTTACGGTAATTACCATAGTTGATTAGACGCGTAGGATGATGAGACGCTTCACATGATTTATATGTACACCACATATAAATCATGTAGTAAGTCCCGATAATCAATCACTTTCGAATCTTCCAACTATTGGGCAAGTGTTTTCTGCTCTACTCTCTTCGGTCTCTCCGCTCCGTTTGCTCCGCTTTCCTCGCTCCGATCTACAATGCAACATAAGCGGCCCTGACCAAGTGCACTGGAGAAAATCAATTCATGCAGAGCTCGAGTCAATGCGACTTCGCGGTGTGTTTCGTGCAGCCAAGCTGCCCAACGGACAACGCGCCATTGGCACAAAATGGGTGTTCAAGATCAAGCGCAAGGCGGATGGGTCAATCGAGAAGTACAAGGCACGACTTGTGGCCAAGGGTTTCCGCCAAAAGTATGGCATCGACTACACGGAGACGTTTTCGCCCGTGGTCAAGCATGTGACGCTGCGAATGGTGATCGCAATTTCCAAGCATTTTGGATGGCCCGTCGACCAGCTTGATGTGGTGACAGCTTTCCTGTATGGCGTCATGAAGGAACAAGTGTTCTGCGTGATTCCTGAAGGCGTCGAACTTGACAGTACGTTCGACTGCCTGGAATTGGTGAAGTCAATTTACGGCCTCAAGCAAGCGTCGCGAGTGTGGAACGAGACGTTCGACGAGTATGTGTGCTCCATCGGATTTCAAGTATCGGACTTCGACCCATGTCTCTACATCAAGACTTCGGACGGCCATTGCGTGTTTATACTGGTCTACGTGGACGACGTCTTGGTGACTGGAAGCTCGCTCGAGCTGATTGCACAAACCAAGAACGACCTGAAGACGCGGTTCGAGATGACGGACAGCGGCAAGTGTGCGTTTGTTTTTGGGATCGAGCTTTTGGACGGTGAAAATGGCAGTGTGACACTATGTCAGCATCGGTATGTCGATGATATCCTCAAGCGCTTTGGCATGGATGATTGCAAGGCAGTCGCAAGTCCAGTCGACATGAGCTCTCGACTTGTTTCAAGTGATGCAACTACCAAGGTCGATGCTCCTTTTCGCGAAGCTGTTGGTGCGTTGATCCACCTGACCACTGCAACGCGTCCGGACATTGCGTTTGCTGTGGGCTATGTGTCGGGGTTCATGGAAAATCCCCAAGAAGAACACTGGGTTGCAGTTAAGCGTATCTTTCGCTACCTACAAGGCACCAAGACGCATGGAATTTGCTACAAGCCAAGTGCAAGGATCGACTTCCGTGGATATTCGGATGCGGATTGGGCTGGTGATCTTACCGACCGCAAGTCAACATCGGGGTACACGTTCATGCTACTCGGTGCGCCAGTGAGTTGGGGCAGCAAGAAGCAGCCAAGTGTTTCGTTGTCCACGACTGAAGCTGAATACATCGCACTCAGCTTGGCGATTCAAGAGGGCAAGTGGATTCATCGTCTGCTTTGTGAGATCGTGATGGCTGCCAATGAAGAAGGACCGGAACTCATGATTCATGAAGACAATCAGTCATGTATCAAGATGACGAAGAACCCAGTCAACCACGGCCGTGCCAAGCACATTGACATCAAGTACCATCACATCCGTGATGAGGTCAAGCGCGGTGAAGTGAAGCTCAAGTACTGTGAAACTGCGGTGATGTTAGCGGACATCATGACGAAGGGACTTCATGGACCACGCCACAACGAGATGACGGCGACTCTCGGGATTCGTGCGTGTTCGCATTGAGGGGGCGTGTTGACGGTCATCGGTTTCCTACCAGTATTGGTAACCGTGACCGGTCCAATCTGAACCGCCTGTTCAGCTTAGTATTTACGACGTAGTTCTTACGGTAATTACCATAGTTGATTAGACACGTAGGATGATGAGACGCTTCACATGATTTATATGTGCACCACATATAAATCATGTAGTAAGTAGTAAGCCCCGATAATCAATCACTTTTCAATCTTCCATCTACCCCCAAGTGTCTTCTCCGGTCTTCCGAGTGGATCCCAGCATCCCTCCCAGTTTCGGTCGTCAAGCTTTTCACCATTCAACACAGAAGGAAGACAATCGGGGAGCTCGACGCGGCGGCAATGCTCGTGGACGCGGAGCGAATCAAGTTCAGTGGCAAGGCTACAACGGCAACAACAACTATGACCGTGATTGAGTGGCGTTTTCTGTTTTGCTGGAATGCGGACTTTCAACGACCAGGAGCATGTCTGGAATGTGGGCGATTGACAGCGGTACAACACATCACATCTGCTATGACAAGTCCAAGTTCGAAGTTATGGACGAGCGCAATGAAGGTGAAGTGTTGGTTGCAGAGGCGAGCAAGGCTGCGATCAACGGTGTTGGGACGATCGTCGAAAAGGTGGTCCTTTCCAATGGTGAAGAGCGCGAAGTCTAGATCAAGAACGCGCTTTACGTCCCAAGCATGAACAAGAACTTGCTGTCGATACCACAAATCAACAAAAGCGGCAAGTTTCAAGTGGTGTTTGATGTTGACGAGATGAAGATTTCGCACAAAGGCTCCAAGCAAGTAATGGCGATGGCCGATCTTGTGGATGGCCTCCACTGGCTTTGTACATGTTGACGGTTATCGGTTTCCTACCAGTGTTGGTAACCGTGACCGGTCCAATCCGAACCGCCTGTTCAGCTTAGTATTTACGACGTAGTTCTTACGGTAATTACCATAGTTGATTAGACGCGTAGGATGATGAGACGCTTCACATGATTTGTATGTACACCACATATAAATCATGTAGTAAGTAGTAAGCCCCGATAATCAATCACTTTCGAATCTTCCAACTATTGGGCAAGTGTTTTCTGCTCTACTCTCTTCGGTCTCTCCGCTCCGTTCGCTCCGCTCTCCTCGCTCCGATCTACAATGCAACAGGTTATGAGCCCAAGCGCCATGTCTTCCACCAGCAACGCCTCCATTGACAAGTTCAACGGAGACAATTACGCAACGTGGAGCCGGTACATGCGCGGTGTGTTTTTGACGAAGTCCGTCTGGCACGTGGTCAACCGTGAAGTGACTCCGACTTTCACCGACCCGCGAGCGTCCGATGACTACGTCAAGGCAAGCAACGTCGCGTTTGGTATGATGCTGCTGCACATGAACGCGGACTACCATCATGTGCTGGACAACTGCGAGGAAGCCTGGGTTGCGTGGACAAGTCTGAAGACGCTGTACGGTGGGTCTCAGAAGGCAGGACGCATCTACCTCAAGCGACAACTTTTCAGTATCAAGATGGATGAAGGCGCGAACGTCATGCATCACTGCAACGAGGTCCTCAACATCTCCGCCAAGATTAGCGGCATCGGTGCGAAGATGGAAGACGAAGACGTTGCAATTTGTCTGCTACTCAGTCTTCCGAAGAGCTACGAAAACGTGGTGCTCAACATGGAAATGAGCAGCACCGAGCTTCGCACTCAAGATGTGGTGAGAGTCCTGACGAATGAGCATGCCAAGCGTCAAGGAGCAAAAGGGACAACGACAGCGACTACGGTGAAGGCTGAAGATGCAAGCAAGGCATTCAGCGCCGAGCGTGAGCCCTACCAATGCACGTATTGTGGCAAGGTGGGACACACGGTGGATCGTTGCTGGACAAAGCAGAAGAACGAAGGTCGGGGAACCCGACGCGGCGGCAATGGTCGTGGACGCGGGGCTAACAATGTCCAGTGGGAACATCATGATGAAGGCAATGGCTACGATCGAGTGGCGTTTGCAGTCTCGTTCGAATGTGGAGTTTCGACGAGCAAGGACGTGTCTGGAATGGGGGCCGTCGACAGTGGTGCAACGCACCACATTTGCCACGACAAGACCAAGTTCGCAAGTTTGGCAGAGCGCAATGAGGGCGAACTCTTGGTGGCTGATGGCAACAAGGTGGCCATCAAGGGTGTGGGAACCATCATGGAAAAGGTGGTTCTGCCCAACGGTGAAGAGCGTGAGATCGAAATCTAGAACGCGCTATATGTTCCAAGTATGAGCAAGAACCTGCTCTCGGTGCCACAGATTAACAGCCATGGCAAGTTTTAAGTCGTGTTTGACGGGTCCAAGATGTATGTGACTCTCAAGAACTCACATCAAGTGGTGGCGACAGCGGATCTCGTGGATGGACTCTACTGGCTTCGGACGACTCAACTATCAGCGAATGTGACAACAAGTGGAACCAGTTGTGCCGACCTACATGCGAGAATGGGTCATGCTCCAGTCGATGTACTTCGCAAGATGATCGCGACCAACATGATCAAGGATGTGCGAGTCCCTCTCAAGTCGGGTGGAGCAACTACATGTCGAGGATGTCAACAAGGGAAAATGGTCCAAAAACCATTTCCAAGCAACCGAGACAAGCGCAGCTACGATACGTTTGAGCTACTTCATCTGGACATCTGCAAGCCCATGGAAAAGGATTCGCTCGGTGGCAGCAAATATTTGCTGCTGATCATCGACGAAGCCAGTGGATGCATGAAGGGCTTTTGTCTACGAGTGAAGTCCGAGAGTGAAGACTACATCCGGAAATATATCACCATGGTACAGACGCAATTCTGTAAGAAGGTCAAGTTCGTGCGACACGACGGAGCTCGCGAGTTTGCAACCAACTCGCTTCAACTGTTCTACGAAGACGAAGGCATTGAACAGCAGACGACGGTGCCGTATGCACACCAGAACAACAGAACAGCAATCGCGCCATCGGGACTATCGTCACGATCGGCCGCAGCATGCTTCACCATGCCAAGTTGGACAAGTGCTTCTGGGCCGAAGCAGCGATGACGGCCATCTACGTCAAGAATTGACTGCCGTCACCTAAAGTCGTGCACAAGACCCCGTTTGAGGTCGCCTACAACTTGAAACCAAGCGTCAAGCACATGCGAACATTCAAATGTCAGACATACATACTGACGCCTAAAGAGAATCGACTCAAGTGGGATCCAAAGGCTCGCGCTGGCATATTCGTGGGCTACGAAGAAGTTTCGAAGGCATATCGTGTTTATGACATCGAGGCGGGGCAGGTGGTTATCAGCCGCGATGTCAACTTCGAAGAGTCCACCTTTGGACTTCAACTGCCGATCACTGATGAAGATGTCAATGACCTGGACTTCGAAATTCTGGATCTTGATGACGAAGAGCTGCGTCAAATGGAGTACAAGCAAACAGGCAAGCGCAAGAACCGACTCAATGATGAAGATACAGCACCTCCACGACCGCGTGCAGTGCGTCAACGACCAGGACTAGAAGAATCAAGCGCGCCGGAAAACAACTCGTCACGCCAAGAAGAAGACGAAGAAACGAAGGATTCTGGTGATTCAACACCGCCTGTGTTTTGGCGTGCGAGTGCAAATGCCGTTGAAGCAGCAGTGGACTTATCAGAACCCTCAACATTTGAAGCAGCAGTAAGCGGCCCTGACCAAGTGCACTGGAGAAAAGCAATTCATGCAGAGCTCGAGTCAATGCGACTTCGCGGTGTGTTTCGTGCAGCCAAGCTGCCCAACGGACAACGCGGCATTGGCACAAAATGGGTGTTCAAGATCAAGCGCAAGGCGGATGGGTCAATCGAGAAGTACAAGGCACGACTTGTGGCCAAGGGTTTCCGCCAAAAGTATGGCATCGACTACACGGAGACGTTTTCGCCTGTGGTCAAGTATGTGACGCTGCGAATGGTGATCGCAATTTCCAAGCATTTTGGATGGCCCGTCGACCAGCTTAATGTGGTGACAGCTTTCCTGTATGGCGTCATGAAGGAACAAGTGTTCTGCGTGATTCCTGAAGGCGTCAAACTTGACAGTACGTTCGACTGCCTGGAATTGGTGAAGTCAATTTACGGCCTCAAGCAAGCTTCGCGATTGTGGAACGAGACGTTCGACGAGTATGTGTGCTCCATCGGATGTCAAGTATCGGACTTCGACCCATGTCTCTACATCAAGACTTCGGACGGCCATTGCGTGTTTATACTGGTCTACGTGGACGACGTCTTGGTGACTGGAAGCTCGCTCGAGCTGATTGCACAAACCAAGAACGACCTGAAGACGCGGTTCGAGATGACGGACAGCGGCAAGTGTGCGTTTGTTCTTGGGATCGAGCTTTTGGACGGTGAAAATGGCAGTGTGACACTATGTCAGCGTCGGTATGTCGATGATATCCTCAAGCGCTTTGGCATGGAGGATTGCAAGGCAGTCGCAAGTCCAGTCGACATGAGCTCTCGACTTGTTTCAAGTGATGCAACTACCAAGGTCGATGCTCCTTTTCGCGAAGCTGTTGGTGCGTTGATCCACCTGACCACTGCAACGCGTCCGGACATTGCGTTTGCTGTGGGCTATGTGTCGCGGTTCATGGAAAATCCCCAAGAAGAACACTGGGTTGCAGTTAAGCGTATCTTTCGCTACCTACAAGGCACCAAGACGCATGGAATTTGCTACAAGCCAAGTGCAAGGATCGACTTCCGTGGATATTCGGATGCGGATTGGGCTGGTGATCTTACCGACCGCAAGTCAACATCGGGGTACACGTTCATGCTACTCGGTGCGCCAGTGAGTTGGGGCAGCAAGAAGCAGCCAAGTGTTTCGTTGTCCACGACTGAAGCTGAATACATCGCACCCAGCTTGGCGATTCAAGAGGGCAAGTGGATTCATCGTCTGCTTTGTGAGATCGTGATGGCTGCCAATGAAGAAGGACCGGAACTCATGATTCATGAAGACAATCAGTCATGCATCAAGATGACGAAGAACCTGGTCAACCACGGCCGTGCCAAGCACATTGATATCAAGTACCATCACATCCGTGATGAGGTCAAGCGCGGTGAAGTGAAGCTCAAGTACTGTGAAACTGCGGTGATGTTAGCGGACATCATGACGAAGGGACTTCATGGACCACGCCACAAGGAGATGACGACGGCTCTCGGGATTCGTGAGCATTCGGATTGAGGGGGCGTGTTGACGGTCATCGGTTTTCTACCAGTGTTGGTAACCGTGACCGATCCAATCCGAACCGCCTGTTCAGCTTAGTATTTACGACGTAGTTCTTACGGTAATTACCATAGTTGATTAGACGCGTAGGATGATGAGACGCTTCACATGATTTGTATGTGCACCACATATAAATCATGTAGTAAGTAGTAAGCCCCGATAATCAATCACTTTTCAATCTTCCATCTACCCCCAAGTGTCTTCTCCGGTCTTCCGAGTGGACTCCCAGCATCCCTCCCAGTTTCAATCGTCAAGCTTTTCACCATTCAACAGGTTATGAGCCCAAGCACGATGTCCTCTGCTCATGATGCCACCACCAAGATCTCCATTGACAAGTTCGACGGCGACAACTACGCGACGTGGAGCCGCTACATGCGTGGCGTGTTCCTGACCAAGTCGGCGTGGCACGTGGTGAACCGGGAGACGTCGGCGACCTACGCGGACGATCGCGCCATGGACGACTACGTCAAGACGAACAACATTGTGTTCGGCTTGATGCTGCTGCACATGAGCGCGGATTATCATCACGTGGTTGATGACTGTGAAGAGGCGTGGGTCGCGTGGGCGCGTTTGAAGACGCTGTACGGCGGGTCGCAGAAGGCTGTACGCATCTACTTGAAGCGCCAGATGTTCAGCATGGAGATGGCGGAAGGCGGCAATGTGATGCATCATTGCAACGAAGTCCTCAACATCAGCGCGAAGCTCAGCAACATCGGCGCCAAGATGGAGGACGAGGACGTGGCGATCTGCTTGTTGCGCAGCCTCCCCAAGAGCTACGAGAACGTCGTTCTCAACTTGGGGATGAGCAGCGCGGAACTGCAATCGCGAGACGTCGTGAGAGTGCTCACGAATGAGCACATCAAGAGGCAAGGTGACAAGACGACATCGGTGAAGACTGAAGACGCGGCGAAGGCGTTCAGTACCGAGCGTGAACCTCGCCAGTGTACATACTGCGGAAAATTGGGGCACACGGCGGAGCGGTGCTGGACCAAGCAGAAGGACGAAAATCAAGGTGGAGCTCGACGCGGCGGCAACAATGCTCGTGGACGCGGAGCCAACAACGTTCAGTGGCGAACCAACAGCAACTACGATGACAACTACGATCGAGTTGCGTTCGCGGTTTCGCTGGAGGCTGGACTTTCGACGGGCAAGAATATGCCAGGGATGTGGGCAGTCGACAGCGGTGCGACGCATCACATCTGCAACGACAAGGCCAAGTTTGCAAGCCTGAATGAGCGAGAGGAAGGCGAACTATCAGTGGCTGATGGCAGCAAGGCTGCGATCAAGGGTGTGGGAACCATCATGGAACGGGTGGTTCTGCCCAATGGTGACGAACGCGACATCAAGATCAAGGACGCACTGTTCGTACCAAGTATGAGCAAGAATCTGCTTTCGGTGCCACAGATCAACAAGGGTGGCAGGTTCCAAGTCGTGTTCGATGGATCCAAGATGCAAGTGAAGCGCAAGAATTCCACACAAGTCGTGGCAACAACGGATCTCGTCGATGGACTTTACTGGCTGCGGACTCCTCAACGATCGGCGAATGCAGCAACACGCAATGGGACTATCGACTTGCATGCGCGCATGGGTCATGCACCCCTCGAAGTTCTGCGCAAGATGGTGGCCACCGGCATGATCAAGGACGCCAAGGCACCTCTCAACTCGACTGGTCCAAGTGTGTGTCGCGGTTGCCAGCAAGGAAAGATGGTCCAAAAACAATTCCCAACCAACCGTGACAAACGCCAATATGGTGTGTTCGAGTTGCTGCACTTCGACATCTGCGGGCCAATGGAACAAGTCTCGATCGGCGGCAGCAGATACTTACTGCTTGTGATTGACGAAGACAGCGGTTGCATGAAGGGCTTCTGTCTGCGGTCCAAGTCTGAGAGTGAAGACTGTATCAAGAACCACATCATCAAGATTCAGACTCAGTTTGGCACCAAGATCAAGTTTGTTCGGCACGATGGAGCGCATGAGTTTGCGACCAACTCCATCAAGACCTTCTACGAAGATCATGGTATCGAACAACAGATCACGGTGCCCTATGCACACCAGACCAACGGCACCGCAGAACGCGCGATAAGGACCATCGTCACGATCGGACGCAGCTTGTTGCATCATGCAAAGCTGGAGAAGTGTTTCTGGGCTGAAGCGGCAATGACGGCGATCTACATCAAGAACCGCCTGCCTTCACTCAAGATCGACCACAAGACTCCGTTCGAAATCGTGTACAAGTCGAAACCAAGTGTCAAGCACATGCGCGTGTTTGGATGTCGGGCGTTTATCCTGACACCAAGGGAGAAGCGATTGAAGTGGGACCCGAAGGCTCGTAAAGGGATGTTCATGGGCTACGAAGAAGCGTCAAAAGCTTATCGAGTGTACGACATTGAGGCGGACCAAGTAGTGATCAGTCGTGACATCACCTTCGACGAATCGACTTTTGACTTTTTGATGGACCGACCAAGTGACAATGATGAAGATGCGGAGTTGGACCTCGACCTCCTGGCGATCAACGAGGACGACGTGCGTCAAACCGTCTACAAGCAGACTGGCAAGCGCAAGAGTGAAGCAAGACCCGGCATGTCACATTCAGCTCGCCCTCGAACTGGGTTGGAACAAGCAAGTGCGCCGGAACACGTCTCCAACCGTCACCAGAAACGACGATCAAGTGCTCCAGAAACGATGTCTGATGACGAAGAAGATGCGAGCGTCTACGATCAAGATGACGACTCGACACCTCCAACATTTTGGCGTGCAAGTGCAAACGCAGTGGAAGCAATGGACCTAGCAGAACCTGTGACTTTTCAAGACGCGATCAATGGTCCTGATCAAGCTCACTGGCGAAATGCTGTGAAGGCGGAACTCAAGTCGATGCATCTTCGTGGAGTTTTCCGTGCGGCAAAACTGCCAAGAGGCCAAGGCGCGATCGGCACCAAGTGGCTGTTCAAGATCAAGCCCAAAGCGGATGGATCGGTCGAGAAATACAAGGCGCGTCTCGTTGCCAAGGGCTTCAAGCAGAAGTAAGGCATCGACTACACAGAGACGTTCTCGCCCGTGGTCAAGTACGTGACGCTGCGTATGGTGATCGCGATCACCAAGTATTTCGACTGACCACTGGACCAACTCGATGTGGTGACAGCCTTTCTCTACTGAGTGATGAAGGAGAAGGTGTACTGCGTGATACCAGAAGGCGTCGAGATGGATGGCGACTTCGACTGTCTCGAGTTGGTGAAGGCGATCTACGGTCTCAAGCAAGCTTCACGTATGTGGAACGAGACTTTCGACGAGTTCGTATGCTTTATGGGTTTCGAAGCGTCGGCGTTCGACCCATGTCTCTACATCAAGGTTGTCGACGGTCACTGTGTGCTCGTGCTGGTCTACGTGGATGACGTGTTGGTCACCGGCAGCTCGCTCGAGTTGATTGCGCAGACGAAGGCCGACATCAAGACGCGTTTCGAGATGACCGACAGTGGCAAGTGTACTTTTGTACTGGGCATCGAACTGGTGGACGAATCGGATGGCAGCGTGACGATGTGCCAGCGACGGTATGTCAACGACATCCTCAAGCGCTTCGGCATGGATGAGTGCAAGGCCACAGCAAGTCCGGTCGACTTAAGCACTCGGCTTGTCGCAAGCAGCGAAGCGGCCAATCGACGTTCCGTTTCGTGAAGCTGTGGGAGCTTTGATGCACTTGACGACTGCGACGCGCCCGGACATTGCGTATGCTGTGGGGTACGTCTCGCGCTTCATGGAGAATCCGCAGCAAGAACATTGGACGGCGGTGAAGCGCATCTTTCGTTACTTGCAAGGGACCAAGTCGCACGGACTCCGCTTCCAGCCAAGCGACAAGATCGACTTTCGTGGCTACTCGGACGCGGACTGGGCCGGCGACCACGCTGATCGCAAGTCGACTTCGGGTTACACTTTCATGCTGATGGGTGCTCCTGTGAGTTGGGGAAGCAAGAAACAGTCAAGTGTGTCGCTGTCGACGAGTGAAGCGGAATACATCGCACTGAGTCTGGCCATCCAGGAAGGCAAGTGGGTGCATCGCCTGCTATGCGAGATTTTGGCGGCCGCAAACGAACCAGGACCGGACCTCGTCATCCATGAAGACAACCAGTCGTGCATCAAGATGACGAAGAATCCGGTGAATCATGGCCGCGTCAAGCACATCGACATCAAGTACCATCACATCCGTGATGAGGTCAAGCGCGGTGAAGTGCAGCTCGAGTATTGCGAGACTTCCGTGATGATGGCGGACATCATGACCAAGGGACTTTCGGGACCTCGCCATAAGGACTTGACGACGGCTCTCGGCATTCGTGCGAGTTCGCATTGAGGGGGCGTGTTGACGGTCATCGGTTTCCTACCAGTGTTGGTAACCGTGACCGGTCCAATCCGAACCGCCTGTTCAGCTTAGTATTTACGACGTAGTTCTTACGGTAATTACCATAGTTGATTAGACGCATAGGATGATGAGACGCTTCACATGATTTATATGTGCACCACATATAAATCATGTAGTAAGTAGTAAGCCCCGATAAATAATCACTTTCCAATCTTCCATCTACCCCCCAAGTGTCTTCTCCGGTCTTCCGAGTGGACTCCCAGCATCACTCCCAGTTTCGGTCGTCAAGCTTTTCACCATTCAACACAGAAGGAAGACAATCGGGGAGCTCGACGCGGCGGCAATGCTGGTGGACGCGGAGCGAATCAAGTTCAGTGGCAACTACTATGACCATGATTGAGTGGCCTTTTCTGTTTTGCTGGAATGCGGACTTTCAACGACCAGGAGCATGTCTGGAATGTGGGCGATTGACAGCGGTACAACACATCACATCTGCTATGACAAGTCCAAGTTCGAAGTTATGGACGAGCGCAATGAAGGTGAAGTGTTGGTTGCAGAGGCGAGCAAGGCTGCGATCAACGGTGTTGGGACGATCATCGAAAAGGTGGTCCTGTCAAATGGTGAAGAGCGCGAAGTCAAGATCAAGAACGCGCTTTACGTCCCAAGCATGAACAAGAACTTGCTGTCGATACCACAAATCAACAAAAGCGGCAAGTTTCAAGTGGTGTTTGATGTTGACGAGATGAAGATTTCGCACAAAGGCTCCAAGCAAGTAATGGCGATGGCCGATCTTGTGGATGGCCTCCACTGGCTTTGTACATGTTGACGGTCATCGGTTTTCTACCAGTATTGGTAACAGTGACCGGTCCAATCCGAACCGCCTGTTCAGCTTAGTATTTACGACGTAGTTCTTACGGTAATTACCATAGTTGATTAGACGCGTAGGATGATGAGACGCTTCACATGATTTATATGTACACCACATATAAATCATGTAGTAAGTAGTAAGCCCCGATAATCAATCACTTTCGAATCTTCCAACTATTGGGCAAGTGTTTTCTGCTCTACTCTCTTCGGTCTCTCCGCTCCGTTCGCTCCGCTTTCCTCGCTCCGATCTACAATGCAACAGGTTATGAGCCCAAGCGCCATGTCGTCCACCAGCAACGCCTCCATTGACAAGTTCAACGGAGACAATTACGCAACGTGGAGCCGGTACATGCGCGGTGTGTTTTTGACGAAGTCCGTCTGGCACGTTGTCAACCGTGAAGTGACTCCGACTTTCACCGACCCGCGAGCGTCCGATGACTACGTCAAGGCAAGCAACGTCGCGTTTGGTATGATGCTGCTGCACATGAACGCGGACTACCATCATGTGCTGGACAACTGCGAGGAAGCCTGGGTTGCGTGGACAAGTCTGAAGACGCTGTACGGTGGGTCGCAGAAGGCAGGACGCATCTACCTCAAGCGACAACTTTTCAGTATCAAGATGGCTGAAGGCGCGAACGTCATGCATCACTGCAACGAGGTCCTTAACATCTCCGCCAAGCTTAGCGGCATCGGTGCGAAGATGGAAGACGAAGACGTTGCAATTTGTCTGCTACTCAGTCTTCCGAAGAGCTACGAAAATGTGGTGCTCAACATGGAAATGAGCAGCACCGAGCTTCGCACTCAAGATGTGGTGAGAGTCCTGACGAATGAGCATGCCAAGCGTCAAGGAGCAAAAGGGACAACGACAGCGACTACGGTGAAGGCTGAAGATGCAAGCAAGGCATTCAGCGCCGAGCGTGAGCCCTACCAATGCACGTATTGTGGCAAGGTGGGACACACGGTGGATCGTTGCTGGACAAAGCAGAAGAACGAAGGTCGGGGAGCCCGACGCGGCGGCAATGGTCGTGGACGCGGGGCTAACAATGTCCAGTGGGAACATCATGATGAAGGCAATGGCTACGATCGAGTGGCGTTTGCAGTCTCGTTCGAATGTGGAGTTTCGACGAGCAAGGACGTGTCTGGAATGGGGGCCGTCGACAGTGGTGCAACGCACCACATTTGCCACGACAAGACCAAGTTCGCAAGTTTGGCAGAGCGCAATGAGGGCGAACTCTTGGTGGCTGATGGCAACAAGGTGGCCATCAAGGGTGTGAGAACCATCATGGAAAAGGTGGTTCTGCCCAACGGTGAAGAGCGTGAGATCGAAATCTAGAACGCGCTATATGTTCCAAGTATGAGCAAGAACCTGCTCTCGGTGCCACAGATTAACAGCCATGGCAAGTTTTAAGTCGTGTTTGACGGGTCCAAGATGTATGTGACTCTCAAGAACTCACATCAAGTGGTGGCGACAGCGGATCTCGTGGATGGACTCTACTGGCTTCGGACGACTCAACGATCAGCGAATGTGACAACAAGTGGAACCAGTTGTGCCGACCTACATGCGAGAATGGGTCATGCTCCAGTCGATGTACTTCGCAAGATGATCGCGACCAACATGATCAAGGATGTGCGAGTCCCTCTCAAGTCGGGTGGAGCAACTACATGTCGAGGATGTCAACAAGGGAAAAAATGGTCCAAAAACCGTTCCCGAGCAACCGTGACAAGCGCAGCTACGATACGTTTGAGCTACTTCATCTGGACATCTGCGGGCCCATGGAAAAGGATTCGCTCGGTGGCAGCAAATATTTGCTGCTGATCATCGACGAAGCTAGTGGATGCATGAAGGGCTTTTGTCTACGAGTGAAGTCCGAGAGTGAAGACTACATCCGGAAATATATCACCATGGTACAGACGCAATTCTGTAAGAAGGTCAAGTTCGTGCGACACGACGGAGCTCGCGAGTTTGCAACCAACTCGCTTCAACTGTTCTACGAAGACGAAGGCATTGAACAGCAGACGACGGTGCCGTATGCACACCAGAACAACAGAACAGCAATCGCGCCATCGGGACTATCGTCACGATCGGCCGCAGCATGCTTCACCATGCCAAGTTGGACAAGTGCTTCTGGGCTGAAGCAGCAATGACGGCCATCTACGTCAAGAATTGCCTACCGTCACCAAAAGTGTGCACAAGACCCCGTTTGAGATCGTGTACAACTCGAAGCCAAGTGTCAAGCACATGCGAGCATTCGGCTGTCAGACATTTATACTGACTCCGAAGGAGAAGCGACTCAAGTGGGATCCAAAGGCTCGCGCTGGCATATTTGTGGGCTACGAAGAAGTGTCCAAGGCATATCGTGTATTTGACATCGAGGCGGGGCAGGTGGTTATCAGCCGCGATGTCAACTTCGAAGAGTCCACCTTTGGACTTCAACTGCCGATCACTGATGAAGATGTCAATGACCTGGACTTCGAAATTCTGGATCTTGATGACGAAGAGCTGCGTCAAATGGAGTACAAGCAAACAGGCAAGCGCAAGAACCGACTCAATGATGAAGATACAGCACCTCCACGACCGCGTGCAGTGCGTCAACGACCAGGACTAGAAGAATCAAGCGCGCCGGAAAACAACTCGTCACGCCAAGAAGAAGACGAAGAAACGAAGGATTCTGGTGATTCAACACCGCCTGTGTTTTGGCGTGCGAGTGCAAATGCCGTTGAAGCAGCAGTGGACTTATCAGAGCCCTCAACATTTGAAGCAGCAGTAAGCGGCCCTGACCAAGTACACTGGAGAAAAGCAATTCATGCAGAGCTCGAGTCAATGCGACTTCGCGGTGTGTTTCGTGCAGCCAAGCTGCCCAACGGACAACGCGCCATTGGCACAAAATGGGTGTTCAAGATCAAGCGCAAGGCGGATGGGTCAATCGAGAAGTACAAGGCACGACTTGTGGCCAAGGGTTTCCGCCAAAAGTATGGCATCGACTACACGGAGACGTTTTCGCCTGTGGTCAAGTATGTGACGCTGCGAATGGTGATCGCAATTTCCAAGCATTTTGGATGGCCCATCGACCAGCTTGATGTGGTGACAGCTTTCCTGTATGGCGTCATGAAGGAACAAGTGTTCTGCGTGATTCCTGAAGGCGTCGAACTTGACAGTACGTTCGACTGCCTGGAATTGGTGAAGTCAATTTACGGCCTCAAGCAAGCGTCGCGAGTGTGGAACGAGACGTTCGACGAGTATGTGTGCTCCATCGGATGTCAAGTATCGGACTTCGACCCATGTCTCTACATCAAGACTTCGGACGGCCATTGCGTGTTTATACTGGTCTACGTGGACGACGTCTTGGTGACTGGAAGCTCGCTCGAGCTGATTGCACAAACCAAGAACGACCTGAAGACGCGGTTCGAAATGACGGACAGCGGCAAGTGTGCGTTTGTTTTTGGGATCGAGCTTTTGGACGGTGAAAATGGCAGTGTGACACTATGTCAGCATCGGTATGTCGATGATATCCTCAAGCGCTTTGGCATGGAGGATTGCAAGGCAGTCGCAAGTCCAGTCGACATGAGCTCTCGACTTGTTTCAAGTGATGCAACTACCAAGGTCGATGCTCCTTTTCGCGAAGCTGTTGGTGCGTTGATGCACCTGACCACTGCAACGCGTCCGGACATTGCGTTTGCTGTGGGCTATGTGTCGCGGTTCATGGAAAATCCCCAAGAAGAACACTGGGTTGCAGTTAAGCGTATCTTTCGCTACCTACAAGGCACCAAGACGCATGGAATTTGCTACAGGCCAGGTGCAAGGATCGACTTCCGTGGATATTCGGATGCGGATTGGGCTGGTGATCTTACCGACCGCGAGTCAACATCGGGGTACACGTTCATGCTACTCGGTGCGCCAGTGAGTTGGGGCAGCAAGAAGCAGCCAAGTGTTTCGTTGTCCACGACTGAAGCCGAATACATCGCACTCAGCTTGGCGATTCAAGAGGGCAAGTGGATTCATCGTCTGCTTTGTGAGATCGTGGTGGCTGCCAATGAAGAAGGACCGGAACTCATGATTCATGAAGACAATCAGTCATGTATCAAGATGACGAAGAACCCGGTCAACCACGGCCGTGCCAAGCACATTGATATCAAGTACCATCACATCCGTGATGAGGTCAAGCGCGGTGAAGTGAAGCTCAAGTACTGTGAAACTGCGGTGATGTTAGCGGACATCATGACGAAGGGACTTCACGGGCCACGCCACAAGGAGATGACGGCGACTCTCGGGATTCGTGAGCATTCGGATCGAGGGGGCGTGTTGACGGTCATCGGTTTTCTACCAGTATTGGTAATCGTGACCGATCCAATCCGAACCGCCTGTTCAGCTTAGTATTTACGACGTAGTTCTTACGGTAATTACCATAGTTGATTAGACGCGTAGGATGATGAGACGCTTCACATGATTTATATGTACACCACATATAAATCATGTAGTAAGTAGTAAGCCCCGATAATCAATCACTTTCGAATCTTCCAACTATTGGGCAAGTGTTTTCTGCTCTACTCTCTTCGGTCTCTCCACTCCGTTCGCTCCGCTTTCCTCGCTCCGATCTACAATGCAACAGGTTATGAGCCCAAGCGCCATGTCTTCCACCAGCAACGCCTCCATTGACAAGTTCAACGGAGACAATTACGCAACGTGGAGCCGGTACATGCGCGGTGTGTTTTTGACGAAGTCCGTCTGGCACGTCGTCAACCGTGAAGTGACTCCGACTTTCACCGACCCGCGAGCGTCCGATGACTACGTCAAGGCAAGCAACGTCGCGTTTGGTATGATGCTGCTGCACATGAACGCGGACTACCATCATGTGCTGGACAACTGCGAGGAAGCCTGGGTTGCGTGGACAAGTCTGAAGACGCTGTACGGTGGGTCGCAGAAGGCAGGACGCATCTACCTCAAGCGACAACTTTTCAGTATCAAGATGGCTGAAGGCGCGAACGTCATGCATCACTGCAACGAGGTCCTTAACATCTCCGCCAAGCTTAGCGGCATCGGTGCGAAGATGGAAGACGAAGACGTTGCAATTTGTCTGCTACTCAGTCTTCCGAAGAGCTACGAAAATGTGGTGCTCAACATGGAAATGAGCAGCACCGAGCTTCGCACTCAAGATGTGGTGAGAGTCCTGACGAATGAGCATGCCAAGCGTCAAGGAGCAAAAGGGACAACGACAGCGACTACGGTGAAGGCTGAAGATGCAAGCAAGGCATTCAGCGCCGAGCGTGAGCCCTACCAATGCACGTATTGTGGCAAGGTGGGACACACGGTGGATCGTTGCTGGACAAAGCAGAAGAACGAAGGTCGGGGAGCCCGACGCGGCGGCAATGGTCGTGGACGCGGGGCTAACAATGTCCAGTGGGAACATCATGATGAAGGCAATGGCTACGATCGAGTGGCGTTTGCAGTCTCGTTCGAATGTGGAGTTTCGACGAGCAAGGACGTGTCTGGAATGTGGGCCGTCGACAGTGGTGCAACGCACCACATTTGCCACGACAAGACCAAGTTCGCAAGTTTGGCAGAGCGCAATGAGGGCGAACTCTTGGTGGCTGATGGCAACAAGGTGGCCATCAAGGGTGTGGGAACCATCATGGAAAAGGTGGTTCTGCCCAACGGTGAAGAGCGTGAGATCGAAATCAAGAACGCGCTATATGTTCCAAGTATGAGCAAGAACTGTTGAATGGTGAAAAGCTAGACGACCGAAACTGGGAGTGATGCTGGGAGTCCACTCGGAAGACCGGAGAAGACACTTGGGGGTAGATGGCAGATTGGAAAGTGATTGATTATCGGGGCTTACTACTTACTACATGATTTATATGTGGTGTGCATATAAATCATGTGTAGCGTCTCATCATCCTACGCGTCTAATCAACTATAGTAATTACCGTAAGAACTACGTCGTAAATACTAAGCTGAACAGGCGGTTCGGATTGGACCGGTCACGGTTACCAACACTGGTAGGAAACCGATGACCGTCAACACGCCCCCTCAATGCGAACTCGCACGAATGCCGAGAGCCGTCGTCAAGTCCTTATGGCGAGGTCCCGAAAGTCCCTTGGTCATGATGTCCGCCATCATCACGGAAGTCTCGCAATACTCGAGCTGCACTTCACCGCGCTTGACCTCATCACGGATGTGATGGTACTTGATGTCGATGTGCTTGGCGCGGCCATGATTCACCGGACTCTTCGTCATCTTGATGCACGACTGGTTGTCTTCACGGATGACGAGGTCCGGTCCTGGTTCGTTTGCGGCCGCCAAAATCTCGCATAGCAGGCGATGCACCCACTTGCCTTCCTGGATGGCCAGACTCAGTGCGATGTATTCCGCTGTCCAATGTTCTTGCTGCGGATTCTCCATAAAGCGCGAGACGTACCCCACAGCATACGCAATGTCCGGGCGCGTCGCAGTCGTCAAGTGAATCAAAGCTCCCACAGCTTCACGAAACGGAACGTCGATCTTGGCCGCTTCGGTGCTTGCGACAAGCCGAGTGCTCAAGTCGACCGGACTTGCTGTGGCCTTGCACTCATCCATGCCGAAGCGCTTGAGGATGTCGCTGGCATACCGTCGCTGGCACATCGTCACGCTGCCATCCGATTCGTCCACCAGTTCGATGCCCAGTACAAAAGTACACTTGCCACTGTCGGTCATCTCGAAACGCGTCTTGATGTCGGCCTTCGTCTGCGCAATCAACTCGAGCGAGCTGCCGGTGACCAACACGTCATCCACGTAGACCAGCACGAGCACACAGTGACCGTCGACAACCTTGATGTAGAGACATGGGTCGAACGCCGACGCTTCGAAACCCATAAAGCATACGAACTCGTCGAAAGTCTCGTTTCACACACGTGAAGCTTGCTTGAGACCGTAGATCGCCTTCACCAACTCGAGACAGTCGAAGTCGCCATCCATCTCGACGCCTTCTGGTATCACGCAGTACACAACTCTTTTCAGCTTAGATACAGGAAACCGTGACAAAGGCATCGATAAGCCTCGACCAGTCACGATTGCCGACCGGTAAACTGTAACGAATGCAGGTATCTGTTCGATACGTTTCGTGTTGGTTTGTCCGGACAGCCAAGTTTCAAGCGAAACATCTGCAAACACCTTCTCCTTCATCACTCAGTAGAGAAAGGCTGTCACCACATCGAGTTGGTCCAGTGGCCAGTCGAAATACTTGGTGATCGCGATCACCATACGCAGCGTCACGTACTTGACCACGGGCGAGAACGTCTCTGTGTAGTCGATGCCGTACTTCTGCTTGAAGCCCTTGGCAACGAGACGCGCCTTGTATTTCTCGACCGATCCATCCGCTTTGCGCTTGATCTTGAACAGCCACTTGGTGCCGATCGCGCCTTGGCCTCTTGGCAGTTTTGCCGCACGGAAAACTCCACGAAGATGCATCGACTTGAGTTCCGCCTTCACAGCATTTCGCCAGTGAGCTTGATCAGGACCATTGATCGCGTCTTGAAAAGTCACAGGTTCTGCTAGGTCCGTTGCTTCCACTGCGTTTGCACTTGCACGCCAAAATGTTGGAGGTGTCGAGTCGTCATCTTGATCGTAGACGCTCGCATCTTCTTCGTCATCAGACATCGTTTCTGGAGCACTTGATCGTCGTTTCTGGTGACGGTTGGAGACGTGTTCCGGCGCACTTGCTTGTTCCAATCCAGTTCGAGGGCGAGCTGAACGTGACATGCCGGGTCTTGCTTCACTCTTGCGCTTGCCAGTCTGCTTGTAGACGGTTTGACGCACGTCGTCCTCGTTGATCGCCAGGAGGTCGAGGTCCAACTCCGCATCTTCATCATCGTCACTTGGTCGGTCCATCGAAAAGTCAAAAGTCGATTCGTCGAAGGTGATGTCACGACTGATCACCACTTGGTCCGCCTCAATGTCGTACACTCGATAAGCTTTTGACGCTTCTTCGTAGCCCATGAACATCCCTTCACGAGCCTTCGGGTCCCACTTCAATCGCTTCTCCCTTGGTGTCAGGATAAACGCCCGACATCCAAACACGCGCATGTGCTTGACACTTGGTTTCGACTTGTACACGATCTCGAACGGAGTCTTGTGGTCGATCTTGGGTGAAGGCAGGCGGTTCTTGATGTAGATCGCCGTCATTGCCGCTTCAGCCCAGAAACACTTCTCCAGCTTTGCATGATGCAACAAGCTGCGTCCGATCGTGACGATGGTCCTTATCGCGCGTTCTGCGGTGCCGTTGGTCTGGTGTGCATAGGGCACCGTGATATGTTGTTCGATACCATGATCTTCGTAGAAGGTCTTGATGGAGTTGGTCGCAAACTCATGCGCTCCATCGTGCCGAACAAACTTGATCTTGGTGCCAAACTGATTCTGAATCTTGATGATGTGGTTCTTGATACAGTCTTCACTCTCAGACTTGGACCGCAGACAGAAGCCCTTCATGCAACCGCTGGCTTCGTCAATCACAAGCAGTAAGTATCTGCTGCCGCCGATCGAGACTTGTTCCATTGGCCCGCAGATGTCGAAGTGCAGCAACTCGAACACACCATATTGGCGTTTGTCACGGTTGGTTGGGAATGGTTTTTGGACCATCTTTCCTTGCTGGCAACCGCGACACACACTTGGACCAGTCGAGTTGAGAGGTGCCTTGGCGTCCTTGATCATGCCGGTGGCCACCATCTTGCGCAGAACTTCGAGGGGTGCATGACCCATGCGCGCATGCAAGTCGATAGTCCCATTGCGTGTTGCTGCATTCGCCGATCGTTGAGGAGTCCGCAGCCAGTAAAGTCCATCGACGAGATCCGTTGTTGCCACGACTTGTGTGGAATTCTTGCGCTTCACTTGCATCTTGGATCCATCGAACACGACTTGGAACCTGCCACCCTTGTTGATCTGTGGCACCGAAAGCAGATTCTTGCTCATACTTGGTACGAACAGTGCGTCCTTGATCTTGATGTCACGTTCGTCACCATTGGGCAGAACCACCCGTTCCATGATGGTTCCCACACCCTTGATCGCAGCCTTGCTGCCATCAGCCACTGATAGTTCGTCTTCCTCTCGCTCATTCAGGCTTGTAAACTTGGCTTTGTCGTTGCAGATGTGGTGCGTTGCATCGCTGTCGACCGCCCACATCCCTGGCATATTCTTGCCCGTCGAAAGTCCAGCCTCCAGCGAAACCGCGAACGCAACTCGATCGAGGTTGTCGTCGTTGTTGTTGTTGGTTAGCCACTGAACGTTGCTGGCTCCGCGTCCACGAGCATTGTTGCCGCCGCGTCGAGCTCCACCTTGATTTTCATCCTTCTGCTTGGTCCAGCACCGCTCCGCCGTGTGCCCCAATTTTCCGCAGTATGTACACTGGCGAGGTTCACGCTCGGTAGTGAACGCCTTCGCCGCGTCTTCAGTCTTCACCGATGTCGTCTTGTCACCTTGCCTCTTGATGAGCTCATTCGTGAGCACTCTCACGACGTCTCGCGATCGCAGTTCCGCGCTGCTCATCTCCAAGTTGAGAACGACGTTCTCGTAGCTCTTGGGGAGGCTGCACAACAAGCAGATCGCCACGTCCTCGTCCTCCATCTTGGCGCCGATGCTGCTGAGCTTCGCGCTGATGTTGAGGACTTCGTTGCAATGATGCATCACATTGCCGCCTTCCGCCATCTCCATGCTGAACATCTGGCGCTTCAAGTAGATGCGTACAGCCTTCTGCGACCCGCCGTACAGCGTCTTCAAACGCGCCCACGCGACCCACGCCTCTTCACAGTCATCAACCACGTGATGATAATCCGCGCTCATGTGCAGCAGCATCAAGCCGAACGCAATGTTGTTCGTCTTGACGTAGTCGTCCATGGCGCGATCGTCCGCGTAGGTCGCCGACGTCTCCTGGTTCACCACGTGCCACGCCGACTTGGTCAGGAACACGCCACGCATGTAGCGGCTCCACGTCGCGTAGTTGTCGCCGTCGAACTTGTCGATGGAGATCTTGGTGGTGGCATCATGAGCAGAGGACATCGTGCTTGGGCTCATAACCTGTTGAATGGTGAAAAGTTGGACGACCGAAACTGGGAGGGATGCTGGGAGTCCGCTCGGAAGACCGGAGAAGACACTTGGGGGGTAGATGGAAGTTTGGAAAGTGATTGATTATCGGGGCTTACTACTTACTACATGATTTATATGTGGTGCACATACAAATCATGTGAAGCGTCTCATCATCCTACGCGTCTAATCAACTATGGTAATTACCGTAAGAACTACGTCGTAAATACTAAGCTGAACACGCGGTTCGGATTGGACCGGTCACGGTTACCAATACTGGTAGGAAACCGATGACCGTCAACAAGAACCTGCTCTCGGTGCCACAGATTAACAGCCATAGCAAGTTTCAAGTCGTGTTTGACGGGTCCAAGATGTATGTGACTCTCAAGAACTCACAGCAAGTGGTGGCGACAGCGGATCTCGTGGATGGACTCTACTGGCTTCGGACGACTCAACGATCAGCGAATGTGACAACAAGTAGAACCAGTTGTGCCGATCTACATGCGAGAATGGGTCATGCTCCAGTCGATGTACTTCGCAAGATGATCGCGACCAACATGATCAAGGATGTGCGAGTCCCTCTCAAGTCGGGTGGAGCAACTACATGTCGAGGATGTCAACAAGGGAAAATGGTCCAAAAACCATTTCCAAGCAACCGAGACAAGCGCAGCTACGATACGTTTGAGCTACTTCATCTGGACATCTGCGGGCCCATGGAAAAGGATTCGCTCGGTGGCAGCAAATATTTGCTGCTGATCATCGACGAAGCCAGTGGATGCATGAAGGGCTTTTGTCTACGAGTGAAGTCCGAGAGTGAAGACTACATCCGGAAATATATCACCATGGTACAGACGCAATTCTGTAAGAAGGTCAAGTTTGTGCGCCAAGACGGAGCTCGCGAGTTTGCTACGAACTCGCTTCAAGATTTCTACGAGGATGAAGGCATTGAACAGCAGACGACGGTGCCGTATGCACACCAGAACAACGGAACAGCAAGCGCGCCATCGGGACTATCGTCACGATCGGCCGCAGCATGCTTCACCATGCCAAGTTGGACAAGTGCTTCTGGGCTGAATTAGCAATGACGGTCATCTACGTCAAGAATCGCCTACCGTCACCAAAAATGTGCATAAGACCCCGTTTGAGATCGTGTACAACTCCAAGCGAAGTTTCAAGCACATGCGAGTATTCGGCTGTCAGACATACATACTGACGCCTAAAGAGAATCGACTCAAGTGGGATCCATAGGCTCGCGCTGGCATATTCGTGGGCTACGAAGAAGTGTCCAAGGCATATCGTGTATTTGACATTGAGGCGGGGCAGGTGGTTATCAGCCGCGATGTCAACTTCGACGAGTCCACCTTTGGACTTCAACTGCCGATCACTGATGAAGATGTCGATGACCTGGACTTCGAATTGCTGGATCTTGATGACGAAGAGCTGCGTCAAATGGAGTACAAGCAAACAGGCAAGCGCAAGAACCGACTCAATGATGAAGATACAGCAGCTCCACGACCGCGTGCAGTGCGTCAACGACCAGGACTAGAAGAGTCAAGCGCGCCGGAAAACAACTCGTCACGACAAGAAGAAGACGAAGAAACGAAGGATTCTGGTGATTCAACACCGCCTGTGTTTTGGCGTGCGAGTGCAAATGCCGTTGAAGCAGCAGTGGACTTATCAGAACCCTCAACATTTGAAGCAGCAGTAAGCGGCCCTGACCAAGTGCACTGGAGAAAAGCAATTCATGCAGAGCTCGAGTCAATGCGACTTCGCGGTGTGTCTCGTGCAGCCAAGCTGCCCAACGGACAACGCGCCATTGGCACAAAATGGGTGTTCAAGATCAAGCGCAAGGTGGATGGGTCAATCGAGAAGTACAAGGCACGACTTGTGGCCAAGGGTTTCCGCCAAAAGTATGGCATCGACTACACGGAGACGTTTTCGCCTGTGGTCAAGTATGTGACGCTGCGAATGGTGATCGCAATTTCCAAGCATTTTGGATGGCCCATCGACCAGCTTGATGTGGTGACAGCTTTCCTGTATGGCGTCATGAAGGAACAAGTGTTCTGCGTGATTCCTGAAGGCGTCGAACTTGACAGTACGTTCGACTGCCTGGAATTGGTGAAGTCAATTTACGGCCTCAAGCAAGCGTCGCGAGTGTGGAACGAGACGTGTTGAAAAGACAGCGGCTGTGAAGAAGACACCTCGTCAAGCTGCGTCAAGTGTTGAAGCAAGTGGAAGACCAAGCTTCGCTATACCGGTGGGTACCGGTATGTACCAGTAAGGGCGAAGTCAGGAAATGACGTCACTGGATGACGTCATGCAATGACTTCAGTGGGTGACGTCAGTGGGTGACGTCACTGGATGACGTCACTGCGAATAATAGGCTTAGAGGTAGTATTCAAAGTTGCGAACTAAGTACCTATTATAAATATATATTCACTTTGCGTTTTGCACTCGGACCAAGAAGTCTAAAGTTCATCAGGTTATGAGCCCAAGTTCGTCAGACTCTGAAACCGCCAACAATTCAAGCTTAGCTGCCATGGACGCTTCCTCCCTCCGCATCTCCAAGTTCGATGGAACTAACTTCCACGCCTGGAAGTTCAAGATGCAGATGGTGCTGGAGGAACGGGACCTATGGGAGGTCGTCAGCGGTGAGATCAAGGCGGAACAGTGCGAGACTCAGTTGGACCAAGCGACGTACAAGAGGAAGTCAAGAAAGGCGATGGCAGTGATCTGTCTAGCCATGGAAGATTCCCAGCTACCGTTGGTCCGGTCGGCAAGTGGTGCATGCGACGCATGGTCAAGGTTGGAAGACCACTTCGAGAAGAAGATTCTTGCCAACAAGCTGTTCTTGCGCCGTCGCTTCTTCACGACAATGATGGAAGAAGGCGACGATGTGCTCGAACACATCAACAAGCTCAAGACGCTGGCGGAACAGCTAGAAGCGGTGGGGGCTCCAGTCTGCGAGGACGATCTGGTGATCACACTCCTCGGCATCCTGAGTGACTCGTATCAATTCTTGATCACAGCTTTGGAGTCGCGCTCAGACACTCTTAGCTGGGAGCTCGTGACGTCTCGACTGCTTCATGAAGAAATGAAGCGGAAGGAGCAAGGAAGTAAAGGTGATGAAGCTTCGCAAGGTCAAGCGTTCATCACAAGGGACAATCAGCGCAAAGGGCGACCAGTGAAGAAGTCCTGGCCGTGCCACAATTGCGGAAAGATTGGTCACTGGATGGCGGAGTGCCCCTCGCGCATCCAAGAAAACACGGAGAGACACCGGCCACAGCGTGCTCAAGACAGCGGCGACCGCTATCGATCACAACGTGCAAACGTCGCTCAAGAAGAAGACTCGGGCGACTACCTCTTTTCGATCGGTGAAACGACATCTGCGAAATCGAGCGACATCTGGCTGGTCGACTCCGGGGCGACGCAGCACATGACGTGCTCCAAGAAGTTCATGCGGAACTACAAGGGGTTTGACGCTGTGGATGTCCATCTCGCGGATGATGGAATCGTCCAAGCAATCGGCAGTGGGGACATTGTCATGTCGATGAAGACACCCCAAGGGATGAAGAAAGGTGTGCTCACAAACGTGTGGCACATCCCAAAGTTATCCAGAAACCTGTTCTCGGTCGGCCGCTTCACCAAGGATGTCGGCCCAGTGACGTTCACGAAGGATGGGTGCTATGGAGAAGCGAAAGGGACCAAGTGGAAAATTGGTGCCCGTGAAGGTAAAGGACTGTTCAAGCTGCAAATGACTCCAGTGGCGCCGGAACAAGCAAATGCAGCCAAGTCGTCGGGATGTCAAGGGGGCACCAAGTCGTACCTCTGGCACCTTCGGCTTGGCCAGATAGGTCACGATGGACTCAATTGCATCGTGACGAAGAACATTGGAATTGGCATCGACATATCTTCGGTGAAGAAGTGGGACGTGTGTGAAGGTTGTGCTCTGGGAAAACAGACTCGAGTGCGCTTCCAATCAAACACTACAGCTCGCACCTCCAAACTCCTCGAAGTGATTCACAGCGACGTATGCGGACCGATGTCGATGGCAACTTTCAGTGGAAAACGGTACTTCGTGACATTCATTGATGACAAGTCAAGATACTGTGTCGTCTATCTGCTCAAGAGCAAATCTGAAGTTGCGGCGAAGTTCATGGAATACGCTGCGATGGCCGAAACGCAAACCGGAAAGCGCGTGAAGTACCTTCAAAGCGACAATGGGGGTGAATACAAGTCCGACAAGCTGGCACGATTCTGCGCGGAACGGGGAATACAACAAAGGTTCACACCCCCATATATTCCTCAGCTAAACGGAGTAGCTGAGAGAATGAATCGCACGCTGGTCGAGTGTGCGCGTTGCATGATGGAACACGCTGGACTGGGAAAGAGCTACTGGGGTGAAGCAGTGATGACAGCGATGTTTCTTCGAAACCGCTGTCCAACACGTGCCATTCACCAAGACAAGTCTCCATATCAAGTGTGGACGATGAAGAAACCGATTCTGGCCAACCTTAAAGTGTTTGGATGCCACGCGTATGTTCAAGTGCCTCAAGACAAACGCGCGAAGTTCGACTCCAAGTCATCACTCTGTCGTTTCCTGGGATACGCCGAACACCAGAAGTCATATCGATTTGAGGAAGTGTCAACAGGAGCGATCAAGATCAGTCGCGATGCCACATTCATGGAAGACAAGTTTGATGAAGGTCCGCGCAACTACAACGATGAGTCAAGTGTCGTTGAGTTTGATGATCATGATGAGGACGAAGAAAAAGAAGAAGGTAAAACTGACGACGACATGGACTCGAGCGACGATGACAACGAAGACACCAGGTCTTCGAAGAGCAACATCAAGAGACACACGCGCACTCAATCACTTGAGAAAGCTACCGTCATTCCAAGTCCCAAGCGAAGAACATACAGAGGTCCGTCGCTTGAGCATGTGTCAGCGGCTGCAATGGATTTTGAAGCAGCCTACATCGTTGATTCAGTGGGGGAAACGCCGACTACATTCAAGTCGGCGATGGAATCAAGCGACTCCGGCAAGTGGAAAGAAGCGTGTGACTCGGAGTTCGATTCGCTTCAGAGAAACGACACGTGGGAAATCGTGCCTCTTCCGAAAGGTCGCAAGGCCATCGGGTGCCGATGGGTTTTTCGTGTAAAGGAGAATCAAGATGGCGAAGTTGAACGTTTCAAGGCAAGACTTGTGGCCAAAGGATTCTCACAGAAATTCGGAGTTGACTATGAAGAAACTTTCGCACCGGTGGCCAAGTTCACATCGATTCGTGTGGTGCTCAGTATGGCGGCTAAGTACGGCCTAATGCTACATCAGATGGACGTCAAGACAGCGTTTCTTAACGGCTCCCTCAACGAAGACATCTACATGGACCAGCCGGACGGATACCTGGATGCAACACAGCCGGACTATGTGTGCAAGCTAAAGAGATCACTCTACGGCTTGAAGCAATCGCCTCGCATGTGGAACCAAGCAATCGATGGGTTCATGATCAAGATGGGATTCAAGAAGTGCGAATCGGACCACTGCATCTACATCAAGCGAGACGACCAAGACATGATTCTCGTGGTGCTCTACGTCGATGATCTCATCCTGGCCAGCAGCAACAACGAACTCCTCAAGTCAACCAAGATGGCGCTGAGCAAACGCTTCGAAATGACGGATCTCGGTGAGCTCGATTACTTTCTCGGCATGGAGATCAAGAACGACCGTAAGACGGGAATGGTGACTGTACAACAAACCAAGTTTCTCAAGTCCGTGTTAACCAAGTTCGGAATGGATAACAGCAAGCCAGTGAAGACGCCTCAAGATCCCGGCCTGAAGCTAACCAAGAACATGTGTGAACAAGAATGCAAGCACGAAGACACCATGTGCAACGTGCCATATCGAAGTGCTGTCGGAGGCATCATGTATCTCATGGTCGCCACACGTCCGGATCTAGCTGCTGCAGTGGGATCATTATCCCAGTTCTCGTCCGACCCATGCCCGACTCACTGGCAAGCTTTGAAGCGTGTGCTGAGATACCTGCAAGCAACGTGTAAGAAGTAGGAGTTAAGTAAAGTAAATGACTTGTATATTACCGCGCACGACGCGTTTCGGCCCCCCGCCGGGGGCCTCATCAGTGGTTTGTCAATCTACAAGTGAGAATTATCCATACGTCTAGCTGCCGTACGACCTATAATAATGCATAGAACCCTAAAGAACATTCTAGACATACCCTATCATGGGTCGAATCTCTGGAGTCGAATCCAGTGCATCATGCACTTACAACACAACGCCCAATCATGGTCTTGAGTTTACACGTGAAGAAGGAAGCCGTATCTGCGGGTACACCGACGCAGACTGGGCCGACGACATTGAGTCAAGACGAAGTACAAGCGGCTATGTGTTCATGATGAGCGGAGGATGCATCAGCTGGAAAAGCCAGAAACAACGGACGGTCGCGCTATCTTCAACAGAAGCAGAATACATGGCGCTTTCCGAAGCAACCAAAGAAGCAGTATGGCTCAAAGTGCTTTTGGGGGAACTTGGTGAGATGACAAGCGACGAAGCGATCAAGATGTATGAAGACAACCAAGGATCAATCGCTCTCGCCAAGAACCCGGAGTTCCATAAGAGAACAAAACACATCGACATACGCTACCATTTTGTGCGTGAGAAGGTGGAATCAGGTGAAGTCGTTTTGGAGTATTGCCCGACTCAAGATATGCTGGCAGACATGATGACCAAGCCGATCGCCGCTGTACAATTTGAAAACATTCGCGATCGACTTGGGATCCAAGGTGCCGCAGCTAACGAGTCGAGAGGGAGTGTTGAAAAGACAGCGGCTGTGAAGAAGACACCTCGTCAAGCTGCGTCAAGTGTTGAAGCAAGTGGAAGACCAAGCTTCGCTATACCGGTGGGTACCGGTATGTACCAGTAAGGGCGAAGTCAGGAAATGACGTCAGTGGGTGACGTCAGTGGGTGACGTCAGTGGGTGACGTCACTGCGAATAATAGGCTTAGAGGTAGTATTCAAAGTTGCGAACTAAGTACCTATTATAAATATATATTCACTTTGCGTTTTGCACTCGGACCAAGAAGTCTAAAGTTCATCAGGTTATGAGCCCAAGTTCGTCAGACTCTGAAACCGCCAACAATTCAAGCTTAGCTGCCATGGACGCCTCCTCCCTCCGCATCTCCAAGTTCGATGGAACTAACTTCCACGCCTGGAAGTTCAAGATGCAGATGGTGCTGGAGGAACGGGACCTATGGGAGGTCGTCAGCGGTGAGATCAAGGCGGAACAGTGCGAGACTCAGTTGGACCAAGCGACGTACAAGAGGAAGTCAAGAAAGGCGATGGCAGTGATCTGTCTAGCCATGGAAGATTCCCAGCTACCGTTGGTCCGGTCGACAAGTGGTGCATGCGACGCATGGTCAAGGTTGGAAGACCACTTCGAGAAGAAGAGTCTTGCCAACAAGCTGTTCTTGCGCCGTCGCTTCTTCACGACAATGATGGAAGAAGGCGACGATGTGCTCGAACACATCAACAAGCTCAAGACGCTGGCGGAACAGCTAGAAGCGGTGGGGGCTCCAGTCTGCGAGGACGATCTGGTGATCACACTCCTCGGCAGCCTGAGTGACTCGTATCAATTCTTGATCACAGCTTTGGAGTCGCGCTCAGACACTCTTAGCTGGGAGCTCGTGACGTCTCGACTGCTTCATGAAGAAATGAAGCGGAAGGAGCAAGGAAGTAAAGGTGATGAAGCTTCGCAAGGTCAAGCATTCATCACAAGGGACAATCAGCGCAAAGGGCGACCAGTGAAGAAGTCCTGGCCGTGCCACAATTGCGGAAAGATTGGTCACTGGATGGCGGAGTGCCCCTCGCGCATCCAAGAAAACACGGAGGGACACCGGCCACAGCGCGCTCAAGACAGTGGCGACCGTTATCGATCACAACGTGCAAACGTCGCTCAAGAAGAAGACTCGGGCGACTACCTCTTTTCGATCGGTGAAACGACATCTGCGAAATCGAGGGACATCTGGCTGGTCGACTCCGGGGCGACGCAGCACATGACGTGCTCCAAGAAGTTCATGCGGAACTACAAGGGGTTTGACGCTGTGGATGTCCATCTCGCGGATGATGGAACCGTCCAAGCAATCGGCAGTGGGGACATTGTCATGTCGATGAAGACACCCCAAGGGATGAAGAAAGGTGTGCTCACAAACGTGTGGCACATCCCAAAGTTATCCAGAAACCTGTTCTCGGTCGGCCGCTTCACCAAGGATGTCGGCCCAGTGACGTTCACGAAGGATGGGTGCTATGGAGAAGCGAAAGGGACCAAGTGGAAAATTGGTGCCCGTGAAGGTAAAGGACTGTTCAAGCTGCAAATGACTCCAGTGGCGCCGGAACAAGCAAATGCAGCCAAGTCGTCGGGATGTCAAGGGGGCACCAAGTCGTACCTCTGGCACCTTCGGCTTGGCCACATAGGTCACGATGGACTCAATTGCATCGTGACGAAGAACATTGGAATTGGCATCGACATATCTTCGGTGAAGAAGTGGGACGTGTGTGAAGGTTGTGCTCTGGGAAAACAGACTCGAGTGCGCTTCCAATCAAACACTACAGCTCGCACCTCCAAACTCCTCGAAGTGATTCACAGCGACGTATGCGGACCGATGTCGATGGCAACTTTTAGTGGAAAACGGTACTTCGTGACATTCATTGATGACAAGTCAAGATACTGTGTCGTCTATCTGCTCAAGAGCAAATCTGAAGTTGCGGCGAAGTTCATGGAATACGCTGCGATGGCCGAAACGCAAACCGGAAAGCACGTGAAGTACATTCAAAGCGACAATGGGGGTGAATACAAGTCCGACAAGCTGGCACGATTCTGCGCGGAACGGGGAATACAACAAAGGTTCACACCCCCATATATTCCTCAGCTAAACGGAGTAGCTGAGAGAATGAATCGCACGCTGGTCGAGTGTGCGCGTTGCATGATGGAACACGCTGGACTGGGAAAGAGCTACTGGGGTGAAGCAGTGATGACAGCGATGTTTCTTCGAAACCGCTGTCCAACACGTGCCATTCACCAAGACAAGTCTCCATATCAAGTGTGGACGATGAAGAAACCGATTCTGGCCAACCTTAAAGTGTTTGGATGCCACGCGTATGTTCAAGTGCCTCAAGACAAACGCGCGAAGTTCGACTCCAAGTCATCACTCTGTCGTTTCCTGGGATACACCGAACACCAGAAGTCATATCGATTTGAGGAAGTGTCAACAGGAGCGATCAAGATCAGTCGCGATGCCACATTCATGGAAGACAAGTTTGATGAAGGTCCGCGCAACTACAACGATGAGTCAAGTGCCGTTGAGTTTGATGATCAAGACGAGGACGAAGAAAAAGAAGAAGGTAAAACTGACGACGACATGGACTCGAGCGACGATGACAACGAAGACACCAGGTCTTCAAAGAGCAACATCAAGAGACACACGCGCACTCAATCAATTGAGAAAGGTACCGTCATTCCAAGTCCCAAGCGAAGAACGTACAGAGGTCCGTCGCTTGAGCATGTGTCAGCGGCTGCAATGGATTTTGAAGCAGCCTACATCGTTGATTCAGTGGGGGAAACGCCGACTACATTCAAGTCGGCGATGGAATCAAGCGACTCCGGCAAGTGGAAAGAAGCGTGTGACTCGGAGTTCGACTCGCTTCAGAGAAACAACACGTGGGAAATCGTGCCTCTTCCGAAAGGTCGCAAGGCCATCGGGTGCCGATGGGTTTTTCGTGTAAAGGAGAATCAAGATGGCGAAGTTGAACGTTTCAAGGCAAGACTTGTGGCCAAACGATTCTCACAGAAATTCGGAGTTGACTGTGAAGAAACTTTCGCACCGGTGGCCAAGTTCACATCGATTCGTGTGGTGCTCAGTATGGCGGCCAAGTACGGCCTAATGCTACATCAGATGGACGTCAAGACAGCGTTTCTTAACGGCTCCCTCAACGAAGACATCTACATGGACCAGCCAACCGGGTACCTGGATGCAACACAGCCGGACTATGTGTGCAAGCTAAAGAGATCACTCTACGGCTTGAAGCAATCGCCTCGCATGTGGAACCAAACAATCGATGGGTTCATGATCAAGATGGGATTCAAGAAGTGCGAATCGGACCACTGCATCTACATCAAGCGAGACGACCAAGACATGATTCTCGTGGTGCTCTACGTCGATGATCTCATCCTGGCCAGCAGCAACAACGAACTCCTCAAGTCGACCAAGATGGCACTGAGCAAACGCTTCGAAATGACGGATCTCGGTGAGCTCGATTACTTTCTCGGCATGGAGATCAAGAACGACCGTAAGACGGGAATGGTGACTGTACAACAAACCAAGTTTCTCAAGTCCGTGTTGACCAAGTTCGGAATGGATAAAAGCAAGCCAGTGAAGACGCCTCAAGATCCCGGCCTGAAGCTAACCAAGAACATGTGTGAACAAGAATGCAAGCACGAAGACACCATGTGCAACGTGCCATATCGAAGTGCTGTCGGAGGCATCATGTATCTCATGGTCGCCACACGTCCGGATCTAGCTGCTGCAGTGGGATCATTATCCCAGTTCTCGTCCGACCCATGCCCGACTCACTGGCAAGCTTTGAAGCGTGTGCTGAGATACCTGCAAGCAACGCCCAATCATGGTCTTGAGTTTACACGTGAAGAAGGAAGCCGTATCTGCGGGTACACCGACGCAGACTGGGCCGGCGACATTGAGTCAAGACGAAGTACAAGCGGCTATGTGTTCATGATGAACGGAGGATGCATCAGCTGGAAAAGCCAGAAACAACGGACGGTCGCGCTATCTTCAACAGAAGCAGAATACATGGCGCTTTCCGAAGCAACCAAAGAAGCAGTATGGCTCAAAGTGCTTTTGGGGGAACTTGGTGAGATGACAAGCGACGAAGCGATCAAGATGTATGAAGACAACCAAGGATCAATCGCTCTCGCCAAGAACCCGAAGTTCCATAAGAGAACAAAACACATCGACATACGCTATCATTTTGTGCGTGAGAAGGTGGAATCAGGTGAAGTCGTTTTGGAGTATTGCCCGACTCAAGATATGCTGGCAGACATGATGACCAAGCCGATCGCCGCTGTACAATTTGAAAACATTCGCGATCGACTTGTGTTGACGGTCATCGGTTTTCTACCAGTATTGGTAACCGTGACCGATCCAATCCGAACCGCCTGTTCAGCTTAGTATTTACGACGTAGTTCTTACGGTAATTACCATAGTTGATTAGACGCGTAGGATGATGAGACGCTTCACATGATTTATATGTACACCACATATAAATCATGTAGTAAGTAGTAAGCCCCGATAATCAATCACTTTCGAATCTTCCAACTATTGGGCAAGTGTTTTCTGCTCTACTCTCTTCGGTCTCTCCGCTCCGTTCGCTCCGCTTTCCTCGCTCCGATCTACAATGCAACAGGTTATGAGCCCAAGCGCCATGTCGTCCACCAGCAACGCCTCCATTGACAAGTTCAACGGAGACAATTACGCAACGTGGAGCCGGTACATGCGCGGTGTGTTTTTGACGAAGTCCGTCTGGCACGTCGTCAACCGTGAAGTGACTCCGACTTTCACCGACCCGCGAGCGTCCGATGACTACGTCAAGGCAAGCAACGTCGCGTTTGGTATGATGCTGCTGCACATGAACGCGGACTACCATCATGTGCTGGACAACTGCGAGGAAGCCTGGGTTGCGTGGACAAGTCTGAAGACGCTGTACGGTGGGTCGCAGAAGGCAGGACGCATCTACCTCAAGCGACAACTTTTCAGTATCAAGATGGCTGAAGGCGCGAACGTCATGCATCACTGCAACGAGGTCCTCAACATCTCCGCCAAGCTTAGCGGCATCGGTGCGAAGATGGAAGACGAAGACGTTGCAATTTGTCTGCTACTCAGTCTTCCGAAGAGCTACGAAAACGTGGTGCTCAACATGGAAATGAGCAGCACCGAGCTTCGCACTCAAGATGTGGTGAGAGTCCTGACGAATGAGCATGCCAAGCGTCAAGGAGCAAAAGGGACAACGACAGCGACTACGGTGAAGGCTGAAGATGCAAGCAAGGCATTCAGCGCCGAGCGTGAGCCCTACCAATGCACGTATTGTGGCAAGGTGGGACACACGGTGGATCGTTGCTGGACAAAGCAGAAGAACGAAGGTCGGGGAACCCGACGCGGCGGCAATGGTCGTGGACGCGGGGCTAACAATGTCCAGTGGGAACATCATGATGAAGGCAATGGCTACGATCGAGTGGCGTTTGCAGTCTCGTTCGAATGTAGAGTTTCGACGAGCAAGGACGTGTCTGGAATGGGGGCCGTCGACAGTGGTGCAACGCACCACATTTGCCACGACAAGACCAAGTTCGCAAGTTTGGCAGAGCGCAATGAGGGCGAACTCTTGGTGGCTGATGGCAACAAGGTGGCCATCAAGGGTGTGGGAACTGTTGAAAAGACAGCGGCTGTGAAGAAGACACCTCGTCAAGCTGCGTCAAGTGCTAAATCAAGTGGAAGACCAAGCTTCGCTATACCGGTGGGTACCGGTATGTACCAGTAAGGGCGAAGTCAGGAAATGACGTCATTGGATGACGTCATTGCATGACGTCAGTGGATGACGTCATTGGATGGCGTCAGTGGGTGACGTCAGTGGATGACGTCACTGCGAATAATAGGCTTAGAGGTAGTATTCAAAGTTGCGAACTAAGTACCTATTATAAATATATATTCACTTTGCGTTTTGCACTCGGACCAAGAAGTCTAAAGTTCATCAGGAACCATAATGGAAAAGGTGGTTCTGCCCAACGGTGAAGAGCGTGAGATCGAAATCAAGAACGCGCTATATGTTCCAAGTATGAGCAAGAACCTGCTCTCGGTACCACAGATTAACAGCCATGGCAAGTTTCAAGTCGTGTTTGACGGGTCCAAGATGTATGTGACTCTCAAGAGCTCACAGCAAGTGGTGGCGACAGCGGATCTCGTGGATGGACTCTACTGGCTTCGGACGACTCAACGATCAGCGAATGTGACAACAAGTGGAACCAGTTGTGCCGATCTACATGCGAGAATGGGTCATGCTCCAGTCGATGTACTTCGCAAGATGATCGCGACCAACATGATCAAGGATGTGCGAGTCCCTCTCAAGTCGGGTGGAGCAACTACATGTCGAGGATGTCAACAAGGGAAAATGGTCCAAAAACCATTTCCAAGTAACCGAGACAAGCGCAGCTACGATACGTTTGAGCTACTTCATCTGGACATCTGCGGGCCCATGGAAAAGGATTCGCTCGGTGGCAGCAAATATTTGCTGCTGATCATCGACGAAGCCAGTGGATGCATGAAGGGCTTTTGTCTACGAGTGAAGTCCGAGAGTGAAGACTACATCCGGAAATATATCACCATGGTACAGACGCAATTCTGTAAGAAGGTCAAGTTCGTGCGACACGACGGAGCTCGCGAGTTTGCAACCAACTCGCTTCAACTGTTCTACGAAGACGAAGGCATTGAACAGCAGACAACGGTGCCGTATGCACATCAAACAAACGGAACAGCAGAGCGTGCCATTAGGACTATTGTCACGATCGGCCGCAGCATGCTTCATCATGCCAAACTGGACAAGTGTTTCTGGGCCGAAGCAGCGATGACGGCCATCTACGTCAAGAATCGACTGCCGTCACCTAAAGTCGTGCACAAGATCCCGTTTGAGATCGTGTACAACTCGAAGCCAAGTGTCAAGCACATGCGAGTATTCGGCTGTCAGACATTTATACTGACTCCGAAGGAGAAGCGACTCAAGTGGGATCCGAAGGCTCGCGCTGGCATATTCGTGGGCTACGAAGAAGTTTCGAAGGCATATCGTGTTTATGACATCGAGGCGGGGCAGGTGGTTATCAGCCGCGATGTCAACTTCGACGAGTCCACCTTTGGACTTCAACTGCCGATCACTGATGAAGATGTCGATGACCTGGACTTCGAATTGCTGGATCTTGATGACGAAGAGCTGCGTCAAATGGAGTACAAGCAAACAGGCAAGCGCAAGAACCGACTCAATGATGAAGATACAGCAGCTCCACGACCGCGTGCAGTGCGTCAACGACCAGGACTAGAAGAGTCAAGCGCGCCGGAAAACAACTCGTCACGACAAGAAGAAGACGAAGAAACGAAGGATTCTGGTGATTCAACACCGCCTGTGTTTTGGCGTGCGAGTGCAAATGCCGTTGAAGCAGCAGTGGACTTATCAGAACCCTCAACATTTGAAGCAGCAGTAAGCGGCCCTGACCAAGTGCACTGGAGAAAAGCAATTCATGCAGAGCTCGAGTCAATGCGACTTCGCGGTGTGTTTCGTGCAGCCAAGCTGCCCAACGGACAACGCGCCATTGGCACAAAATGGGTGTTCAAGATCAAGCGCAAGGCGGATGGATCCATCGAGAAGTACAAGGCACGTCTCGCGGCAAAGGGCTTTCGCTCGAAGTATGGAATCGACTACACGGAGACGTTTTCTCCCGTGGTCAAGCATGTGACGCTGAGAATGGTGATCGCAATTTCCAAGCATTTTGGATGGCCCATCGACCAGCTTGATGTGGTGACAGCTTTCCTGTATGGCGTCATGAAGGAACAAGTGTTCTGCGTGATTCCTGAAGGCGTCGAACTTGACAGTACGTTCGACTGTCTCGAATTGGTGAAGGCAATTTACGGCCTGAAGCAAGCTTTGCGAGTATGGAACGAGACTTTCACGAGACTTTTGACGAGTGTGTGTTCCATTGGATTTCAAGTGTCAGGCTTCGACCCATGTCTCTACATCAAGACTTCGGACGGCCATTGCGTGTTTATACTGGTCTATGTGGATGACGTGTTGGTGACAGGAAGCTCACCCAAGTTGATTGCACACACCAAGGAAGACCTGAAGACACGCTTCGAAATGACTGATAGCGGCAAGTGTGCATTTGTTCTTGGGATCGAGCCTTTGGACGGTGAAGATGGCAGTGTGACACTATGTCAGCGTCGGTATGTCGATGATATCCTCAAGCGCTTTGGCATGGATGATTGCAAGGCAGTCGCAAGTCCAGTCGACATGAGCTCTCGACTTGTTTCAAGTGATGCAACTACCAAGGTCGATGCTCCTTTTCGCGAAGCTGTTGGTGCGTTGATGCACCTGACCACTGCAACGCGTCCGGACATTGCGTTTGCTGTGGGCTATGTGTCGCGGTTCATGGAAAATCCCCAAGAAGAACACTGGGTTGCAGTTAAGCGTATCTTTCGCTACCTACAAGGCACCAAGACGCATGGAATTTGCTACAAGCCAAGTGCAAGGATCGACTTCCGTGGATATTCGGATGCGGATTGGGCTGGTGATCTTACCGACCGCAAGTCAACATCGGGGTACACGTTCATGCTACTCGGTGCACCAGTCAGTTGGGGCAGCAAGAAGCAGCCAAGTGTTTCGTTGTCCACGAGTGAAGCCGAATACATCGCACTCAGCTTGGCGATTCAAGAGGGCAAGTGGATTCATCGTCTGCTTTGTGAGATCGTGATGGCTGCCAATGAAGAAGGACCGGAACTCATGATCCATGAAGACAATCAGTCGTGTATCAAGATGACGAAGAACCCAGTCAACCACGGCCGTGCCAAGCACATTGATATCAAGTACCATCACATCCGTGATGAGGTCAAGCGCGGTGAAGTGAAGCTCAAGTACTGTGAAACTGCGGTGATGTTAGCGGACATCATGACGAAGGGACTTCACGGGCCACGCCACAAGGAGATGACGGCGACTCTCTGGATTCGTGAGCATTCGGATTGAGGGGGCGTGTTGACGGTCATCGGTTTTCTACCAGTATTGGTAACCGTGACCGATCCAATCCGAACCGCCTGTTCAGCTTAGTATTTACGACGTAGTTCTTACGGTAATTACCATAGTTGATTAGACGCGTAGGATGATGAGACGCTTCACATGATTTATATGTACACCACATATAAATCATGTAGTAAGTAGTAAGCCCCGATAATCAATCACTTTCGAATCTTCCAACTATTGGGCAAGTGTTTTCTGCTCTACTCTCTTCGGTCTCTCCGCTCCGTTTGCTCCGCTTTCCTCGCTCCGATCTACAATGCAACAGGTTATGAGCCCAAGCGCCATGTCGTCCACCAGCAACGCCTCCATTGACAAGTTCAACGGAGACAATTACGCAACGTGGAGCCGGTACATGCGCGGTGTGTTTTTGACGAAGTCCGTCTGGCACGTCGTCAACCGTGAAGTGACTCCGACTTTCACCGACCCGCGAGCGTCCGATGACTACGTCAAGGCAAGCAACGTCGCGTTTGGTATGATGCTGCTGCACATGAACGCGGACTACCATCATGTGCTGGACAACTGCGAGGAAGCCTGGGTTGCGTGGACAAGTCTGAAGACGCTGTACGGTGGGTCGCAGAAGGCAGGACGCATCTACCTCAAGCGACAACTTTTCAGTATCAAGATGGCTGAAGGCGCGAACGTCATGCATCACTGCAACGAGGTCCTCAACATCTCCGCCAAGCTTAGCGGCATCGGTGCGAAGATGGAAGACGAAGACGTTGCAATTTGTCTGCTACTCAGTCTTCCGAAGAGCTACGAAAATGTGGTGCTCAACATGGAAATGAGCAGCACCGAGCTTCGCACTCAAGATGTGGTGAGAGTCCTGACGAATGAGCATGCCAAGCGTCAAGGAGAAAAAGGGACAACGACAGCGACTACGCTGAAGGCTGAAGATGCAATCAAGGCATTCAGCACCGAGCGTGAGCCTTACCAATGCACATATTGTGGCAAGGTGGGACACACGGTGGATCGTTGCTGGACAAAGCAGAAGAACGAAGGTCGGGGAGCCCGACGCGGCGGCAATGGTCGTGGACGCGGGGCTAACAATGTCCAGTGGGGACATCATGATGAAGGCAATGGCTACGATCGAGTGGCGTTTGCAGTCTCGTTCGAATGTGGAGTTTCGACGAGCAAGGACGTGTCTGGAATGTGGGCCGTCGACAGTGGTGCAACGCACCACATTTGCCACGACAAGACCAAGTTCGCAAGTTTGGCAGAGCGCAATGAGGGCGAAATCTTGGTGGCTGATGGCAACAAGGTGGCCATCAAGGGTGTGGGAACTGTTGAAAAGACAGCGGCTGTGAAGAAGACACCTCGTCAAGCTGCGTCAAGTGCTAAATCAAGTGGAAGACCAAGCTTCGCTATACCGGTGGGTACCGGTATGTACCAGTAAGGGCGAAGTCAGGAAATGACGTCATTGGATGACGTCATTGCATGACGTCAGTGGATGACGTCATTGGATGGCGTCAGTGGGTGACGTCAGTGGATGACGTCACTGCGAATAATAGGCTTAGAGGTAGTATTCAAAGTTGCGAACTAAGTACCTATTATAAATATATATTCACTTTGCGTTTTGCACTCGGACCAAGAAGTCTAAAGTTCATCAGGAACCATAATGGAAAAGGTGGTTCTGCCCAACGGTGAAGAGCGTGAGATCGAAATCAAGAACGCGCTATATGTTCCAAGTATGAGCAAGAACCTGCTCTCGGTACCACAGATTAACAGCCATGGCAAGTTTCAAGTCGTGTTTGACGGGTCCAAGATGTATGTGACTCTCAAGAGCTCACAGCAAGTGGTGGCGACAGCGGATCTCGTGGATGGACTCTACTGGCTTCGGACGACTCAACGATCAGCGAATGTGACAACAAGTGGAACCAGTTGTGCCGATCTACATGCGAGAATGGGTCATGCTCCAGTCGATGTACTTCGCAAGATGATCGCGACCAACATGATCAAGGATGTGCGAGTCCTTCTTGTTGAAAAGACAGCGGCTGTGAAGAAGACACCTCGTCAAGCTGCGTCAAGTGTTGAAGCAAGTGGAAGACCAAGCTTCGCTATACCGGTGGGTACTGGTATGTACCAGTAAGGGCGAAGTCAGGAAATGACATCACTGGATGACGTCATTGCATGACGTCAGTGGGTGACGTCAGTGGGTGACGTCACTGGATGACGTCACTGCGAATAATAGGCTTAGAGGTAGTATTCAAAGTTGCGAACTAAGTACCTATTGTAAATATATATTCACTTTGCGTTTTGCACTCGGACCAAGAAGTCTAAAGTTCATCAGGTTATGAGCCCAAGTTCGTCAGACTCTGAAACCGCCAACAATTCAAGCTTAGCTGCCATGGACGCCTCCTCCCTCCGCATCTCCAAGTTCGATGGAACTAACTTCCACGCCTGGAAGTTCAAGATGCAGATGGTGCTGGAGGAACGGGACCTATGGGAGGTCGTCAGCGGTGAGATCAAGGCGGAACAGTGCGAGACTCAGTTGGACCAAGCGACGTACAAGAGGAAGTCAAGAAAGGCGATGGCAGTGATCTGTCTAGCCATGGAAGATTCCCAGCTACCGTTGGTCCGGTCGACAAGTGGTGCATGCGACGCATGGTCAAGGTTGGAAGACCACTTCGAGAAGAAGAGTCTTGCCAACTAGCTGTTCTTGCGCCGTCGCTTCTTCACGACAATGATGGAAGAAGGCGACGATGTGCTCGAACACATCAACAAGCTCAAGACGCTGGCGGAACAGCTAGAAGCGGTGGGGGCTCCAGTCTGCGAGGACGATCTGGTGATCACACTCCTCGGCAGCCTGAGTGACTCGTATCAATTCTTGATCACAGCTTTGGAGTCGCGCTCAGACACTCTTAGCTGGGAGCTCGTGACGTCTCGACTGCTTCATGAAGAAATGAAGCGGAAGGAGCAAGGAAGTAAAGGTGATGAAGCTTCGCAAGGTCAAGCGTTCATCACAAGGGACAATCAGCGCAAAGGGCGACCAGTGAAGAAGTCCTGGCCGTGCCACAATTGCGGAAAGATTGGTCACTGGATGGCGGAGTGCCCCTCGCGCATCCAAGAAAACACGGAGGGACACCGGCCACAGCGCGCTCAAGACAGTGGCGACCGCTATCGATCACAACGTGCAAACGTCGCTCAAGAAGAAGACTCGGGCGACTACCTCTTTTCGATCGGTGAAACGACATCTGCGAAATCGAGGGACATCTGGCTGGTCGACTCCGGGGCGACGCAGCACATGACGTGCTCCAAGAAGTTCATGCGGAACTACAAGGGGTTTGACGCTGTGGATGTCCATCTCGCGGATGATGGAACCGTCCAAGCAATCGGCAGTGGGGACATTGTCATGTCGATGAAGACACCCCAAGGGATGAAGAAAGGTGTGCTCACAAACGTGTGGCACATCCCAAAGTTATCCAGAAACCTGTTCTCGGTCGGCCGCTTCACCAAGGATGTCGGCCCAGTGACGTTCACGAAGGATGGGTGCTATGGAGAAGCGAAAGGGACCAAGTGGAAAATTGGTGCCCGTGAAGTTAAAGGACTGTTCAAGCTGCAAATGACTCCAGTGGCGCCGGAACAAGCAAATGCAGCCAAGTCGTCGGGATGTCAAGGGGGCACCAAGTCGTACCTCTGGCACCTTCGGCTTGGCCACATAGGTCACGATGGACTCAATTGCATCGTGACGAAGAACATTGGAATTGGCATCGACATATCTTCGGTGAAGAAGTGGGACGTGTGTGAAGGTTGTGCTCTGGGAAAACAGACTCGAGTGCGCTTCCAATCAAACACTACAGCTCACACCTCCAAACTCCTCGAAGTGATTCACAGTGACGTATGCGGACCGATGTCGATGGCAACTTTCAGTGGAAAACGGTACTTCGTGACATTCATTGATGACAAGTCAAGATACTGTGTCGTCTATCTGCTCAAGAGCAAATCTGAAGTTGCGGCGAAGTTCATGGAATACGCTGCGATGGCCGAAACGCAAACCGGAAAGCGCGTGAAGTACCTTCAAAGCGACAATGGGGGGTGAATACAAGTCCGACAAGCTGGCACGATTCTGCGCGGAACGGGGAATACAACAAAGGTTCACCCCCCATATACTCCTCAGCTAAACGGAGTAGCTGAGAGAATGAATCGCACGCTGGTCGAGTGTGCGCGTTGCATGATGGAACACGCTGGACTGGGAAAGAGCTACTGGGGTGAAGCAGTGATGACGGCGATGTTTCTTCGAAACCGCTGTCCAACACGTGCCATTCACCAAGACAAGTCTCCATATCAAGTGTGGACGATGAAGAAACCGATTCTGGCCAACCTTAAAGTGTTTGGATGCCACGCGTATGTTCAAGTGCCTCAAGACAAACGCGCGAAGTTCGACTCCAAGTCATCACTCTGTCGTTTCCTGGGATACGCCGAACACCAGAAGTCATATCGATTTGAGGAAGTGTCAACAGGAGCGATCAAGATCAGTCGCGATGCCACATTCATGGAAGACAAGTTTGATGAAGGTCCGCGCAACTACAACGATGAGTCAAGTGTCGTTGAGTTTGATGATCATGATGAGGACGAAGAAAAAGAAGAAGGTAAAACTGACGACGACATGGACTCGAGCGACGATGACAACGAAGACACCAGGTCTTCAAAGAGCAACATCAAGAGACACACGCGCACTCAATCACTTGAGAAAGCTACCGTCATTCCAAGTCCCAAGCGAAGAACATACAGAGGTCCGTCGCTTGAGCATGTGTCAGCGGCTGCAATGGATTTTGAAGCAGCCTACATCGTTGATTCAGTGGGGGAAACGCCGACTACATTCAAGTCGGCGATGGAATCAAGCGACTCCGGCAAGTGGAAAGAAGCGTGTGACTCGGAGTTCGATTCGCTTCAGAGAAACAACACGTGGGAAATCATGCCTCTTCCGAAAGGTAGCAAGGCCATCGGGTGCCGATGGGTTTTTCGTGTAAAGGAGAATCAAGATGGCGAAGTTGAACGTTTCAAGGCAAGACTTGTGGCCAAAGGATTCTCACAGAAATTCGGAGTTGACTATGAAGAAACTTTCGCACCGGTGGCCAAGTTCACATCGATTCGTGTGGTGCTCAGTATGGCCGCTAAGTACGGCCTAATGCTACATCAGATGGACGTCAAGACAGCGTTTCTTAACGGCTCCCTCAACGAAGACATCTACATGGACCAGCCGGACGGATACCTGGATGCAACACAGCCGGACTATGTGTGCAAGCTAAAGAGATCACTCTACGGCTTGAAGCAATCGCCTCGCATGTGGAACCAAACAATCGATGGGTTCATGATCAAGATGGGATTCAAGAAGTGCGAATCGGACCACTGCATCTACATCAAGCGAGACGACCAAGACATGATTCTCGTGGTGCTCTACGTCGATGATCTCATCCTGGCCAGCAGCAACAACGAACTCCTCAAGTCAACCAAGATGGCGCTGAGCAAACGCTTCGAAATGACGGATCTCGGTGAGCTCGATTACTTTCTCGGCATGGAGATCAAGAACGACCGTAAGACGGGAATGGTGACTGTACAACAAACCAAGTTTCTCAAGTCCGTGTTAACCAAGTTCGGAATGGATAACAGCAAGCCAGTGAAGACGCCTCAAGATCCCGGCCTGAAGCTAACCAAGAACATGTGTGAACAAGAATGCAAGCACGAAGACACCATGTGCAACGTGCCATATCGAAGTGCTGTCGGAGGCATCATGTATCTCATGGTCGCCACACGTCCGGATCTAGCTGCTGCAGTGGGATCATTATCCCAGTTCTCGTCCGACCCATGCCCGACTCACTGGCAAGCTTTGAAGCGTGTGCTGAGATACCTGCAAGCAACGCCCAATCATGGTCTTGAGTTTACACGTGAAGAAGGAAGCCGTATCTGCGGGTACACCGACGCAGACTGGGCCGGCGACATTGAGTCAAGACGAAGTACAAGCGGCTATGTGTTCATGATGAGCGGAGGATGCATCAGCTGGAAAAGCCAGAAACAACGGACGGTCGCGCTATCTTCAACAGAAGCAGAATACATGGCGCTTTCCGAAGCAACCAAAGAAGCAGTATGGCTCAAAGTGCTTTTGGGGGAACTTGGTGAGATGACAAGTGACGAAGCGATCAAGATGTATGAAGACAACCAAGGATCAATCGCTCTCGCCAAGAACCCGGAGTTCCATAAGAGAACAAAACACATCGACATACGCTACCATTTTGTGCGTGAGAAGGTGGAATCAGGTGAAGTCGTTTGGAGTATTGCCCGACTCAAGATATGCTGGCAGACATGATGACCAAGCCGATCGCCGCTGTACAATTTGAAAACATTCGCGATCGACTTGGGATCCAAGGTGCCGCAGCTAACGAGTCGAGAGGGAGTGTTGAAAAGACAGCGGCTGTGAAGAAGACACCTCGTCAAGCTGCGTCAAGTGTTGAAGCAAGTGGAAGACCAAGCTTCGCTATACCGGTGGGTACCGGTATGTACCAGTAAGGGCGAAGTCAGGAAATGACGTCAGTGGGTGACGTCAGTGGGTGACGTCAGTGGGTGACGTCACTGCGAATAATAGGCTTAGAGGTAGTATTCAAAGTTGCGAACTAAGTACCTATTATAAATATATATTCACTTTGCGTTTTGCACTCGGACCAAGAAGTCTAAAGTTCATCAGGTTATGAGCCCAAGTTCGTCAGACTCTGAAACCGCCAACAATTCAAGCTTAGCTGCCATGGACGCCTCCTCCCTCCGCATCTCCAAGTTCGATGGAACTAACTTCCACGCCTGGAAGTTCAAGATGCAGATGGTGCTGGAGGAACGGGACCTATGGGAGGTCGTCAGCGGTGAGATCAAGGCGGAACAGTGCGAGACTCAGTTGGACCAAGCGACGTACAAGAGGAAGTCAAGAAAGGCGATGGCAGTGATCTGTCTAGCCATGGAAGATTCCCAGCTACCGTTGGTCCGGTCGACAAGTGGTGCATGCGACGCATGGTCAAGGTTGGAAGACCACTTCGAGAAGAAGAGTCTTGCCAACAAGCTGTTCTTGCGCCGTCGCTTCTTCACGACAATGATGGAAGAAGGCGACGATGTGCTCGAACACATCAACAAGCTCAAGACGCTGGCGGAACAGCTAGAAGCGGTGGGGGATCCAGTCTGCGAGGACGATCTGGTGATCACACTCCTCGGCAGCCTGAGTGACTCGTATCAATTCTTGATCACAGCTTTGGAGTCGCGCTCAGACACTCTTAGCTGGGAGCTCGTGACGTCTCGACTGCTTCATGAAGAAATGAAGCGGAAGGAGCAAGGAAGTAAAGGTGATGAAGCTTCGCAAGGTCAAGCGTTCATCACAAGGGACAATCAGTGCAAAGGGCGACCAGTGAAGAAGTCCTGGCCGTGCCACAATTGCGGAAAGATTGGTCACTGGATGGCGGAGTGCCCCTCGCGCATCCAAGAAAACACGGAGAGAGACACCGGCCACAGCGTGCTCAAGACAGCGGCGACCGCTATCGATCACAACGTGCAAACGTCGCTCAAGAAGAAGACTCGGGCGACTACCTCTTTTCGATCGGTGAAACGACATCTGCGAAATCGAGCGACATCTGGCTGGTCGACTCCGGGGCGACGCAGCACATGACGTGCTCCAAGAAGTTCATGCGGAACTACAAGGGGTTTGACGCTGTGGATGTCCATCTCGCGGATGATGGAATCGTCCAAGCAATCGGCAGTGGGGACATTGTCATGTCGATGAAGACACCCCAAGGGATGAAGAAAGGTGTGCTCACAAACGTGTGGCACATCCCAAAGTTATCCAGAAACCTGTTCTCGGTCGGCCGCTTCACCAAGGATGTCAGCCCAGTGACGTTCACGAAGGATGGGTGCTATGGAGAAGCGAAAGGGACCAAGTGGAAAATTGGTGCCCGTGAAGGTAAAGGACTGTTCAAGCTGCAAATGACTCCAGTGGCGCCGGAACAAGCAAATGCAGCCAAGTCGTCGGGATGTCAAGGGGGCACCAAGTCGTACCTCTGGCACCTTCGGCTTGGCCACATAGGTCACGATGGACTCAATTGCATCGTGACGAAGAACATTGGAATTGGCATCGACACATCTTCGGTGAAGAAGTGGGACGTGTGTGAAGGTTGTGCTCTGGGAAAACAGACTCGAGTGCGCTTCCAATCAAACACTACAGCTCGCACCTCCAAACTCCTCGAAGTGATTCACAGCGACGTATGCGGACCGATGTCGATGGCAACTTTCAGTGAAAAACGGTACTTCGTGACATTCATTGATGACAAGTCAAGATACTGTGTCGTCTATCTGCTCAAGAGCAAATCTGAAGTTGCGGCGAAGTTCATGGAATACGCTGCGATGGCCGAAACGCAAACCGGAAAGCGCGTGAAGTACCTTCAAAGCGACAATGGGGGTGAATACAAGTCCGACAAGCTGGCACGATTCTGTGCGGAACGGGGAATACAACAAAGGTTCACACCCCCATATACTCCTCAGCTAAACGGAGTAGCTGAGAGAATGAATCGCACGCTGGTCGAGTGTGCGCGTTGCATGATGGAACACGCTGGACTGGGAAAGAGCTACTGGGGTGAAGCAGTGATGACGGCGATGTTTCTTCGAAACCGCTGTCCAACACGTGCCATTCACCAAGACAAGTCTCCATATCAAGTGTGGACGATGAAGAAACCGATTCTGGCCAACCTTAAAGTGTTTGGATGCCACGCGTATGTTCAAGTGCCTCAAGACAAACGCGCGAAGTTCGACTCCAAGTCATCACTCTGTCGTTTCCTGGGATACGCCGAACACCAGAAGTCATATCGATTTGAGGAAGTGTCAACAGGAGCGATCAAGATCAGTCGCGATGCCACATTCATGGAAGACAAGTTTGATGAAGGTCCGCGCAACTACAACGATGAGTCAAGTGTCGTTGAGTTTGATGATCATGATGAGGACGAAGAAAAAGAAGAAGGTAAAACTGACGACGACATGGACTCGAGCGACGATGACAACGAAGACACCAGGTCTTCAAAGAGCAACATCAAGAGACACACGCGCACTCAATCACTTGAGAAAGCTACCGTCATTCCAAGTCCCAAGCGAAGAACATACAGAGGTCCGTCGCTTGAGCATGTGTCAGCGGCTGCAATGGATTTTGAAGCAGCCTACATCGTTGATTCAGTGGGGGAAACGCCGACTACATTCAAGTCGGCGATGGAATCAAGCGACTCCGGCAAGTGGAAAGAAGCGTGTGACTCGGAGTTCGATTCGCTTCAGAGAAACAACACGTGGGAAATCATGCCTCTTCCGAAAGGTAGCAAGGCCATCGGGTGCCGATGGGTTTTTCGTGTAAAGGAGAATCAAGATGGCGAAGTTGAACGTTTCAAGGCAAGACTTGTGGCCAAAGGATTCTCACAGAAATTCGGAGTTGACTATGAAGAAACTTTCGCACCGGTGGCCAAGTTCACATCGATTCGTGTGGTGCTCAGTATGGCCGCTAAGTACGGCCTAATGCTACATCAGATGGACGTCAAGACAGCGTTTCTTAACGGCTCCCTCAACGAAGACATCTACATGGACCAGCCGGACGGATACCTGGATGCAACACAGCCGGACTATGTGTGCAAGCTAAAGAGATCACTCTACGGCTTGAAGCAATCGCCTCGCATGTGGAACCAAACAATCGATGGGTTCATGATCAAGATGGGATTCAAGAAGTGCGAATCGGACCACTGCATCTACATCAAGCGAGACGACCAAGACATGATTCTCGTGGTGCTCTACGTCGATGATCTCATCCTGGCCAGCAGCAACAACGAACTCCTCAAGTCAACCAAGATGGCGCTGAGCAAACGCTTCGAAATGACGGATCTCGGTGAGCTCGATTACTTTCTCGGCATGGAGATCAAGAACGACCGTAAGACGGGAATGGTGACTGTACAACAAACCAAGTTTCTCAAGTCCGTGTTAACCAAGTTCGGAATGGATAACAGCAAGCCAGTGAAGACGCCTCAAGATCCCGGCCTGAAGCTAACCAAGAACATGTGTGAACAAGAATGCAAGCACGAAGACACCATGTGCAACGTGCCATATCGAAGTGCTGTCGGAGGCATCATGTATCTCATGGTCGCCACACGTCCGGATCTAGCTGCTGCAGTGGGATCATTATCCCAGTTCTCGTCCGACCCATGCCCGACTCACTGGCAAGCTTTGAAGCGTGTGCTGAGATACCTGCAAGCAACGCCCAATCATGGTCTTGAGTTTACACGTGAAGAAGGAAGCCGTATCTGCGGGTACACCGACGCAGACTGGGCCGGCGACATTGAGTCAAGACGAAGTACAAGCGGCTATGTGTTCATGATGAGCGGAGGATGCATCAGCTGGAAAAGCCAGAAACAACGGACGGTCGCGCTATCTTCAACAGAAGCAGAATACATGGCGCTTTCCGAAGCAACCAAAGAAGCAGTATGGCTCAAAGTGCTTTTGGGGGAACTTGGTGAGATGACAAGTGACGAAGCGATCAAGATGTATGAAGACAACCAAGGATCAATCGCTCTCGCCAAGAACCCGGAGTTCCATAAGAGAACAAAACACATCGACATACGCTACCATTTTGTGCGTGAGAAGGTGGAATCAGGTGAAGTCGTTTTGGAGTATTGCCCGACTCAAGATATGCTGGCAGACATGATGACCAAGCCGATCGCCGCTGTACAATTTGAAAACATTCGCGATCGACTTGGGATCCAAGGTGCCGCAGCTAACGAGTCGAGAGGGAGTGTTGAAAAGACAGCGGCTGTGAAGAAGACACCTCGTCAAGCTGCGTCAAGTGCTAAATCAAGTGGAAGACCAAGCTTCGCTATACCGGTGGGTACCGGTATGTACCAGTAAGGGCGAAGTCAGGAAATGACGTCATTGGATGACGTCAGTGGGTGACGTCACTGGATGACGTCAGTGGGTGACGTCACTGGATGACGTCACTGCGAATAATAGGCTTAGAGGTAGTATTCAAAGTTGCGAACTAAGTACCTATTATAAATATATATTCACTTTGCGTTTTGCACTCGGACCAAGAAGTCTAAAGTTCATCACCTCTCAAGTCGGGTGGAGCAACTACATGTCGAGGATGTCAACAAGGGAAAATGGTCCAAAAACCATTTCCAAGCAACCGAGACAAGCGCAGCTACGATACGTTTGAGCTACTTCATCTGGACATCTGCGGGCCCATGGAAAAGGATTCGCTCGGTGGCAGCAAATATTTGCTGCTGATCGTCGACGAAGCTGTTGACGGTCATCGGTTTTCTACCAGTATTGGTAACCGTGACCGATCCAATCCGAACCGCCTGTTCAGCTTAGTATTTACGACGTAGTTCTTACGGTAATTACCATAGTTGATTAGACGCGTAGGATGATGAGACGCTTCACATGATTTATATGTACACCACATATAAATCATGTAGTAAGTAGTAAGCCCCGATAATCAATCACTTTCGAATCTTCCAACTATTGGGCAAGTGTTTTCTGCTCTACTCTCTTCGGTCTCTCCGCTCCGTTTGCTCCGCTTTCCTCGCTCCGATCTACAATGCAACAGGTTATGAGCCCAAGCGCCATGTCGTCCACCAGCAACGCCTCCATTGACAAGTTCAACGGAGACAATTACGCAACGTGGAGCCGGTACATGCGCGGTGTGTTTTTGACGAAGTCCGTCTGGCACGTTGTCAACCGTAAAGTGACTCCGACTTTCACCAACCCGCGAGCGTCCGATGACTACGTCAAGGCAAGCAACGTCGCGTTTGGTATGATGCTGCTGCACATGAACGCGGACTACCATCATGTGCTGGACAACTGCGAGGAAGCCTGGGTTGCGTGGACAAGTCTGAAGACGCTGTACGGTGGGTCGCAGAAGGCAGGACGCATCTACCTCAAGCGACAACTTTTCAGTATCAAGATGGCTGAAGGCGCGAACGTCATGCATCACTGCAACGAGGTCCTCAACATCTCCGCCAAGCTTAGCGGCATCGGTGCGAAGATGGAAGACGAAGACGTTGCAATTTGTCTGCTACTCAGTCTTCCGAAGAGCTACGAAAATGTGGTGCTCAACATGGAAATGAGCAGCACCGAGCTTCGCACTCAAGATGTGGTGAGAGTCCTGACGAATGAGCATGCCAAGCGTCAAGGAGAAAAAGGGACAACGACAGCGACTACGGTGAAGGCTGAAGATGCAAGCAAGGCATTCAGCGCCGAGCGTGAGCCCTACCAATGCACGTATTCTGGCAAGGTGGGACACACGGTGGATCGTTGCTGGACAAAGCAGAAGAACGAAGGTCGGGGAGCCCGACGCGGCGGCAATGGTCGTGGACGCGGGGCTAACAATGTCCAGTGGGGACATCATGATGAAGGCAATGGCTACGATCGAGTGGCGTTTGCAGTCTCGTTCGAATGTGGAGTTTCGACGAGCAAGGACGTGTCTGGAATGTGGGCCGTCGACAGTGGTGCAACGCACCACATTTGCCACGACAAGACCAAGTTCGCAAGTTTGGCAGAGCGCAATGAGGGCGAACTCTTGGTGGCTGATGGCAACAAGGTGGCCATCAAGGGTGTGGGAACCATCATGGAAAAGGTGGTTCTGCCCAACGGTGAAGAGCGTGAGATCGAAATCAAGAACGCGCTATATGTTCCAAGTATGAGCAAGAACCTGCTCTCGGTGCCACAGATTAACAGCCATGGCAAGTTTCAAGTCGTGTTTGACGGGTCCAAGATGTATGTGACTCTCAAGAACTCACAGCAAGTGGTGGCGACAGCGGATCTCGTGGATGGACTCTACTGGCTTCGGACGACTCAACGATCAGCGAACGTGACAACAAGTAGAACCAGTTGTGCCGATCTACATGCGAGAATGGGTCATGCTCCAGTCGATGTACTTCGCAAGATGATCGCGACCAACATGATCAAGGATGTGCGAGTCCCTCTCAAGTCGGGTGGAGCAACTACATGTCGAGGATGTCAACAAGGGAAAATGGTCCAAAAACCATTTCCAAGCAACCGAGACAAGCGCAGCTACGATACGTTTGAGCTACTTCATCTGGACATCTGCGGGCCCATGGAAAAGGATTCGCTCGGTGGCAGCAAATATTTGCTGCTGATCATCGACGAAGCCAGTGGATGCATGAAGGGCTTTTGTCTACGAGTGAAGTCCGAGAGTGAAGACTACATCCGGAAATATATCACCATGGTACAGACGCAATTCTGTAAGAAGGTCAAGTTCGTGCGACACGACGGAGCTCGCGAGTTTGCAACCAACTCGCTTCAACTGTTCTACGAAGACGAAGGCATTGAACAGCAGACAACGGTGCCGTATGCACATCAAACAAACGGAACAGCAGAGCGTGCCATTAGGACTATTGTCACGATCGGCCGCAGCATGCTTCATATGCCAAACTGGACAAGTGTTTCTGGGCCGAAGCAGCGATGACGGCCATCTATGTCAAGAATCGACTGCCGTCACCTAAAGTCGTGCACAAGACCCCGTTTGAGATCGTCTACAACTTGAAACCAAGCGTCAAGCACATGCGAACATTCGGGTGTCAAACATACATACTGACGCCTAAAGAGAATCGACTCAAGTGGGATCCGAAGGCTCGCGCTGGCATATTCGTGGGCTACGAAGAAGTTTCGAAGGCATATCGTGTTTATGACATCGAGGCGGGGCAGGTGGTTATCAGCCGCGATGTCAACTTCGACGAGTCCACCTTTGGACTTCAACTGCCGATCACTGATGAAGATGTCGATGACCTGGACTTCGAATTGCTGGATCTTGATGACGAAGAGCTGCGTCAAATGGAGTACAAGCAAACAGGCAAGCGCAAGAACCGACTCAATGATGAAGATACAGCAGCTCCACTACCGCGTGCAGTGCGTCAACGACCAGGACTAGAAGAGTCAAGCGCGCCGGAAAACAACTCGTCACGACAAGAAGAAGACGAAGAAACGAAGGATTCTGGTGATTCAACACCGCCTGTGTTTTGGCGTGCGAGTGCAAATGCCGTTGAAGCAGCAGTGGACTTATCAGAGCCCTCAACATTTGAAGCAGCAGTAAGCGGCCCTGACCAAGTGCACTGGAGAAAAGCAATTCATGCAGAGCTCGAGTCAATGCGACTTCGCGGTGTGTTTCGTGCAGCCAAGCTGCCCAACGGACAACGCGCCATTGGCACAAAATGGGTGTTCAAGATCAAGCGCAAGGCGGATGGGTCAATCGAGAAGTACAAGGCACGACTTGTGGCCAAGGGTTTCCGCCAAAAGTATGGCATCGACTACACGGAGACGTTTTCGCCTGTGGTCAAGTATGTGACGCTGCGAATGGTGATCGCAATTTCCAAGCATTTTGGATGGCCCATCGACCAGCTTGATGTGGTGACAGCTTTCCTGTATGGCGTCATGAAGGAACAAGTGTTCTGCGTGATTCCTGAAGGCGTCGAACTTGACAGTACGTTCGACTGCCTGGAATTGGTGAAGTCAATTTACGGCCTCAAGCAAGCGTCGCGAGTGTGGAACGAGACGTTCGACGAGTATGTGTGCTCCATCGGATTTCAAGTATCGGACTTCGACCCATGTCTCTACATCAAGACTTCGGACGGCCATTGCGTGTTTATACTGGTATACGTGGACGACGTCTTGGTGACTGGAAGCTCGCTCGAGCTGATTGCACAAACCAAGAACGACCTGAAGACGCGGTTCGAAATGACGGACAGCGGCAAGTGTGCGTTTGTTCTTGGGATCGAGCTTTTGGACGGTGAAGATGGCAGTGTGACACTATGTCAGCGTCGGTATGTCGATGATATCCTCAAGCGCTTTGGCATGGATGATTGCAAGGCAGTCGCAAGTCCAGTCGACATGAGCTCTCGACTTGTTTCAAGTGATGCAACTACCAAGGTCGATGCTCCTTTTCGCGAAGCTGTTGGTGCGTTGATGCACCTGACCACTGCAACGCGTCCGGACATTGCGTTTGCTGTGGGCTATGTGTCGCGGTTCATGGAAAATCCCCAAGAAGAACACTGGGTTGCAGTTAAGCGTATCTTTCGCTACCTACAAGGCACCAAGACGCATGGAATTTGCTACAAGCCAAGTGCAAGGATCGACTTCCGTGGATATTCGGATGCGGATTGGGCTGGTGATCTTACCGACCGCAAGTCAACATCGGGGTACACGTTCATGCTACTCGGTGCGCCAGTCAGTTGGGGCAGCAAGAAGCAGCCAAGTGTTTCGTTGTCCACGAGTGAAGCCGAATACATCGCACTCAGCTTGGCGATTCAAGAGGGAAAGTGGATTCATCGTCTGCTTTGTGAGATCGTGATGGCTGCCAATGAAGAAGGACCGGAACTCATGATCCATGAAGACAATCAGTCGTGTATCAAGATGACGAAGAACCCAGTCAACCACGGCCGTGCCAAGCACATTGATATCAAGTACCATCACATCCGTGATGAGGTCAAGCGCGGTGAAGTGAAGCTCAAGTACTGTGAAACTGCGGTGATGTTAGCGGACATCATGACGAAGGGACTTCACGGGCCACGCCACAAGGAGATGACGGCGACTCTCGGGATTCGTGAGCATTCGGATTGAGGGGGCGTGTTGACGGTCATCGGTTTTCTACCAGTATTGGTAACCGTGACCGATCCAATCCGAAACCGCCTGTTCAGCTTAGTATTTACGACGTAGTTCTTACGGTAATTACCATAGTTGATTAGACGCGTAGGATGATGAGACGCTTCACATGATTTATATGTACACCACATATAAATCATGTAGTAAGTAGTAAGTCCCGATAATCAATCACTTTCGAATCTTCCAACTATTGGGCAAGTGTTTTCTGCTCTACTCTCTTCGGTCTCTCCGCTTTCCTCGCTCCGATCTACAATGCAACATTGTGGAACCGGGTTAGAAGAAGCAAGTGCCCCGGATGACTTTGAATCGCACCAAGCGAAGCGACGGTCAAGCGCTCGAGCCAATATGGACGAAGAGCGAAAGGGCAGTGACGAAGATAACGAGGATGCTACACCTCAAGTCTTTTGGAGAGCGAGTGCCAACACAGTCGAATTTACTGACATTTCCGAGCCGACAACGTTTGAAGATGCTGTTGGTGGACCAGATCAAGTGCATTGGCGTAAAGCAATCTGTGCCGAGCTGGACTCGATGAAACTTCGTGGCGTGTTTTGAGCGACCAAACTGCCAGATGGACAGCATACCATTGGCATCAACCCTGGGTATTCAAGATAAAAAGGAAAGCTGATGGATCCATCGAGAAATGCAAGGCGCGTCTCGTGGCAAAAGGGTTCAAGCAGAAATATGGCATCGACTACACGGAGACGTTTTCGCCGGTGGTCAAGTACGTGACGCTGCGCATGGTGGTTGCAATCACGAAGTACTTTGACTGGACACTGGACCAACTGGACGTGGTGACAGCTTTCCTATACGGAGAAATGAAGGAAAAGGTATTCTGCGCGATCCCAGAAGGGGTCGAAGTTGATGAAGGCTTTGACTGCTTTGAACTGGTCAAGGCGATCTACGGACTAAAACAAGTATCGCGTGTATGGAACGAGACTTTCCATGAGTTCGTCTGCTCCATTGGATTTCAAGTATCCGATTTTGACCCGTGTCTTTATCTCAAGATTACAAGTGGCGAGTGCGTGCTTTTGCTGGTATACGTCAATGATGTGCTGGTGACTGGCAGCTCGACCGAACTGATTATGCGCACCAAGAGTGACTTAAAGGCGCGTTTCGAAATGACCGACAGCGGCAAGTGCGCATTCGTGTTGGGCTTCGAGCTGGTGGACAACGACAACGGTAGCGTGACGATGTGCCGGCGACGCTACGTGGAAGATGTCCTCAAACGTTTTGGCATGAGCGACTGCAAAGCCGTCACCAGCCCAACAGACATCAGTTCTCGACTCATACCAAGCACCGCAGCAATGAAGTTCTCCACATCAGCGCGAGGGTCAGCATTATCGGTGCCAAGATGGAGGATGAGGACGCGGCGATCTGCTTGTTGTGCAGTCTCCCCAAGAGCTACGAGAATGTCGTGCTGAACTTGGAGATGAGCAGCGTAGAACTGCGGACGCAAGACGCCGTGAAAGAGCTGACGAGTGAGCACATCAAGAGACAAGGAAACAAGGAAACAAGACGACGTCGGTATAAAAATGAACAAGTGACCAAGGCCTTCAGTACCGAGCGTGAGGTTCGTCAGTGTACGTTCTGTGGAAAATTGGGGCACACGGTCGAAAAGTGCTGGACCAAGCAGAAAGAAGACAATCGGGGAGCTCGACGCGGCGGCAATGCTGGTGGACGCGGAGCGAATCAAGTTCAGTGGAAAGGCTACAACGGCAACAACAACTATGACCATGATTGAGTGGCGTTTTCTGTTTTGCCGGAATGCGGACTTTCAACGACCAGGAGCATGTCTGGAATGTGGGCGATTGACAGCGGTACAACACATCACATCTGCTATGACAAGTCCAAGTTCGAAGTTATGGACGAGCGCAATGAAGGTGAAGTGTTGGTTGCAGAGGCGAGCAAGGCTGCGATCAACGGTGTTGGGACGATCGTCGAAAAGGTGGTCCTGTCCAATGGTGAAGAGCGCGAAGTCTAGATCAAGAACGCGCTTTACGTCCCAAGCATGAACAAGAACTTGCTGTCGATACCACAAATCAACAAAAGCGGCAAGTTTCAAGTGGTGTTTGATGTTGACGAGATGAAGATTTCGCACAAAGGCTCCAAGCAAGTAATGGCGATGGCCGATCTTGTGGATGGCCTCCACTGGCTTCGTACATGTTGACGGTCATCGGTTTCCTACCAGTGTTGGTAACCGTGACCGGTCCAATCCGAACCGCCTGTTCAGCTTAGTATTTACGACGTAGTTCTTACGGTAATTACCATACTTGATTAGAAACGTAGGATGATGAGACGCTTCACATGATTTATATGTACACCACATATAAATCATGTAGTAAGTAGTAAGTCCCGATAATCAATCACTTTTCAATCTTCCATCTACCCCCAAGTGTCTTCTCCGGTCTTCCGAGTGGACTCCCAGCATCCCTCCCAGTTTCGGTCGTCAAGCTTTTCACCATTCAACACAGAAGGAAGACAATCGGGGAGCTCGACGCGGCGGCAATGCTCGTGGACGCGGAGCGAATCAAGTTCAGTGGCAAGGCTACAACGGCAACAACAACTATGACCGTGATTGAGTGGCGTTTTCTGTTTTGCTGGAATGCGGACTTTCAACGACCAGGAGCATGTCTGGAATGTGGGCGATTGACAGCGGTACAACACATCACATCTGCTATGACAAGTCCAAGTTCGAAGTTATGGACGAGCGCAATGAAGGTGAAGTGTTGGTTGCAGAGGCGAGCAAGGCTGCGATCAACGGTGTTGGGACGATCGTCGAAAAGGTGGTCCTTTCCAATGGTGAAGAGCGCGAAGTCTAGATCAAGAACGCGCTTTACGTCCCAAGCATGAACAAGAACTTGCTGTCGATACCACAAATCAACAAAAGCGGCAAGTTTCAAGTGGTGTTTGATGTTGACGAGATGAAGATTTCGCACAAAGGCTCCAAGCAAGTAATGGCGATGGCCGATCTTGTGAATTGTTGACGGTCATCGTTTTTCTACCAGTATTGGTAACCGTGACCGATCCAATCCGAACCGCCTGTTCAGCTTAGTATTTACGACGTAGTTCTTACGGTAATTACCATAGTTGATTAGACGCGTAGGATGATGAGACGCTTCACATGATTTATATGTACACCACATATAAATCATGTAGTAAGTAGTAAGCCCCGATAATCAATCACTTTCGAATCTTCCAACTATTGGGCAAGTGTTTTCTGCTCTACTCTCTTCGGTCTCTCCGCTCCGTTTGCTCCGCTTTCCTCGCTCCGATCTACAATGCAACAGGCAGTACAGACGCAGTTTAACTTCAAGGTCAAGTTCATCGACATCATGGCAGTACAGACGCAGTTTAACTACAAGGTCAAGTTCATCGACACGATGGTGCACGGAAATTTTCGACAGCATCGCTCAAGGCATTCTACGACGATCAAGGAATCGAGCAGCAAGTTGCCGTTCCACATGCGCATCAGACTAACGGCACAGCGGAACGGGCAATTCGGACCATTGTGACGATCGGGCGCAGCATGCTTCACTACGCCAAGCTGGACAAGTGTTTTTAGGCTGAAGCAGCAATGACGGCGATCAACATCAAGAATCGCTTACCATCGCCCAAGTGCCAAGATCAAACCCCGTTCGAGATCGTCAACGGATTTCGACCAAGTATGAAAGAAGCGCATGCGGGTTTTCGGCTGCAGAAAGTTTGTGCTGACACCTAAGGAAAAGAGATCGAAATGGGATCCGAAGGCTCGTGAAGGACTATTCATGGGGTACGAAGAAGTGTCAAAGGTATATCGCGGTCTTGCGATGTCACATTCGACGAATCGACGTTTGGTTTCTCGCTGACACTACCACAAGCAATTGTTGATGACACTTGTTGCATTGTAGATCGGAGCGAGGAAAGCGGAGCGAACGGAGCGGAGAGACCGAAGAGAGTAGAGCAGAAAACACTTGCCCAATAGTTGGAAGATTCGAAAGTGATTGATTATCGGGGCTTACTACTTACTACATGATTTATATGTGGTGTACATATAAATCATGTGAAGCGTCTCATCATCCTACGCGTCTAATCAACTATGGTAATTACCGTAAGAACTACGTCGTAAATACTAAGCTGAACAGGCGGTTCGGATTGGATCGGTCACGGTTACCAATACTGGTAGAAAAACGATGACCGTCAACACGCCCCCTCAATCCGAATGCTCACGAATCCCGAGAGCCGTCGTCATCTCCTTGTGGCGTGGTCCATGAAGTCCCTTCGTCATGATGTCCGCTAACATCACCGCAGTTTCACAGTACTTGAGCTTCACTTCACCGCGCTTGACCTCATCACGGATGTGATGGTACTTGATATCAATGTGCTTGGCACGGCCGTGGTTGACTGGGTTCTTCGTCATCTTGATACACGACTGATTGTCTTCATGGATCATGAGTTCCGGTCCTTCTTCATTGGCAGCCATCACGATCTCACAAAGCAGACGATGAATCCACTTGCCCTCTTGAATTGCCAAGCTGAGTGCGATGTATTCGGCTTCACTCGTGGACAACGAAACACTTGGCTGCTTCTTGCTGCCCCAACTGACTGGCGCACCGAGTAGCATGAACGTGTACCCCGATGTTGACTTGCGGTCGGTAAGATCACCAGCCCAATCCGCATCCGAATATCCACGGAAGTCGATCCTTGCACTTGGCTTGTAGCAAATTCCATGCGTCTTGGTGCCTTGTAGGTAGCGAAAGATACGCTTAACTGCAACCCAGTGTTCTTCTTGGGGATTTTCCATGAACCGCGACACATAGCCCACAGCAAACGCAATGTCCGGACGCGTTGCAGTGGTCAGGTGCATCAACGCACCAACAGCTTCGCGAAAAGGAGCATCGACCTTGGTAGTTGCATCACTTGAAACAAGTCGAGAGCTCATGTCGACTGGACTTGCGACTGCCTTGCAATCATCCATGCCAAAGCGCTTGAGGATATCATCGACATACCGACGCTGACATAGTGTCACACTGCCATCTTCACCGTCCAAAAGCTCGATCCCAAGAACAAACGCACACTTGCCGCTGTCCGTCATTTCGAACCGCGTCTTCAGGTCGTTCTTGGTTTGTGCAATCAGCTCGAGTGAGCTTCCAGTCACCAAGACGTCGTCCACGTAGACCAGTATAAACACGCAATGGCCGTCCGAAGTCTTGATGTAGAGACATGGGTCGAAGTCCGATACTTGAAATCCGATGGAGCACACATACTCGTCGAACGTCTCGTTCCACACTCGCGACGCTTGCTTGAGGCCGTAAATTGACTTCACCAATTCCAGGCAGTCGAACGTACTGTCAAGTTCGACGCCTTCAGGAATCACGCAGAACACTTGTTCCTTCATGACGCCATACAGGAAAGCTGTCACCACATCAAGCTGGTCGATGGGCCATCCAAAATGCTTGGAAATTGCGATCACCATTCGCAGCGTCACATACTTGACCACAGGCGAAAACGTCTCCGTGTAGTCGATGCCATACTTTTGGCGGAAACCCTTGGCCACAAGTCGTGCCTTGTACTTCTCGATTGACCCATCCGCCTTGCGCTTGATCTTGAACACCCATTTTGTGCCAATGGCGCGTTGTCCGTTGGGCAGCTTGGCTGCACGAAACACACCGCGAAGTCGCATTGACTCGAGCTCTGCATGAATTGCTTTTCTCCAGTGCACTTGGTCAGGGCCGCTTACTGCTGCTTCAAATGTTGAGGGTTCTGATAAGTCCACTGCTGCTTCAACGGCATTTGCACTCGCACGCCAAAACACAGGCGGTGTTGAATCACCAGAATCCTTCGTTTCTTCGTCTTCTTCTTGTCGTGACGAGTTGTTTTCCGGCGCGCTTGACTCTTCTAGTCCTGGTCGTTGACGCACTGCACGCGGTAGTGGAGCTGCTGTATCTTCATCATTGAGTCGGTTCTTGCGCTTGCCTGTTTGCTTGTACTCCATTTGACGCAGCTCTTCGTCATCAAGATCCAGCAATTCGAAGTCCAGGTCATCGACATCTTCATCAGTGATCGGCAGTTGAAGTCCAAAGGTGGACTCGTCGAAGTTGACATCGCGGCTGATAACCACCTGCCCCGCCTCGATGTCATAAACACGATATGCCTTCGAAACTTCTTCGTAGCCCACGAATATGCCAGCGCGAGCCTTTGGATCCCACTTGAGTCGATTCTCTTTAGGCGTCAGTATGCATGTCTGACACCCGAATGTTCGCATGTGCTTGACGCTTGGTTTCAAGTTGTAGACGATCTCAAACGGGGTCTTGTGCACGACTTTAGGTGACGGCAGTCGATTCTTGACGTAGATGGCCGTCATCGCTGCTTCGGCCCAGAAACACTCGTCCAGTTTGGCATGATGAAGCATGCTGCGGCCGATCGTGACAATAGTCCTAATGGCACGCTCTGCTGTTCCGTTTGTTTGATGTGCATACGGCACCGTTGTCTGCTGTTCAATGCCTTCGTCTTCGTAGAACAGTTGAAGCGAGTTGGTTGCAAACTCGCGAGCTCCGTCGTGTCGCACGAACTTGACCTTCTTACAGAATTGCGTCTGTACCATGGTGATATATTTCCGGATGTAGTCTTCACTCTCGGACTTCACTCGTAGACAAAAGCCCTTCATGCATCCACTGGCTTCGTCGATGATCAGCAGCAAATATTTGCTGCCACCGAGCGAATCCTTTTCCATGGGCCCGCAGATGTCCAGATGAAGTAGCTCAAACGTATCGTAGCTGCGCTTGTCTCGGTTGCTTGGAAATGGTTTTTGGACCATTTTCCCTTGTTGACATCCTCGACATGTAGTTGCTCCACCCGACTTGAGAGGGACTCGCACATCCTTGATCATGTTGGTCGCGATCATCTTGCGAAGTACATCGACTGGAGCATGACCCATTCTCGCATGTAGATCGGCACAACTGGTTCCACTTGTTGTCACATTCGCTGATCGTTGAGTCGTCCGAAGCCAGTAGAGTCCATCCACGAGATCCGCTGTCGCCACCACTTGCTGTGAGTTCTTGAGAGTCACATACATCTTGGACCCGTCAAACACGACTTGAAACTTGCCATGGCTGTTAATCTGTGGCACCGAGAGCAGGTTCTTGCTCATACTTGGAACATATAGCGCGTTCTTGATTTCGATCTCACGCTCTTCACCGTTGGGCAGAACCACCTTTTCCATGATGGTTCCCACACCCTTGATGGCCACCTTGTTGCCATAAGCCACCAAGAGTTCGCCCTCATTGCGCTCTGCCAAACTTGCGAACTTGGTCTTGTCGTGGCAAATGTGGTGCGTTGCACCACTGTCGACGGCCCACATTCCAGACACGTCCTTGCTCGTCGAAACTCCACATTCGAACGAGACTGCAAACGCCACTCGATCGTAGCCATTGCCTTCATCATGATGTCCCCACTGGACATTGTTAGCCCCGCGTCCACGACCATTGCCGCCGCGTCGGGCTCCCCGACCTTCGTTCTTCTGCTTTGTCCAGCAACGATCCACCGTGTGTCCCACCTTGCCAGAATACGTGCATTGGTAGGGCTCACGCTCGGCGCTGAATGCCTTGCTTGCATCTTCAGCCTTCACCGTAGTCGCTGTCGTTGTTGTTGCATTGTAGATCGGAGCGAGGAAAGCGGAGCAAACGGAGCGGAGAGACCAAAGAGAGTAGAGCAGAAAACACTTGCCCAATAGTTGGAAGATTCGAAAGTGATTGATTATCGGGGCTTACTACTTACTACATGATTTATATGTGGTGTACATATAAATCATGTGAAGCGTCTCATCATCCTACGCGTCTAATCAACTATGGTAATTACCGTAAGAACTACGTCGTAAATACTAAGCTGAACAGGCGGTTCGGATTGGATCGGTCACGGTTACCAATACTGGTAGAAAAACGATGACCGTCAACACGCCCCCTCAATCCGAATGCTCACGAATCCCGAGAGCCGTCGTCATCTCCTTGTGGCGTGGTTTATGAAGTCCCTTCGTCATGATGTCCGCTAACATCACCGCAGTTTCACAGTACTTGAGCTTCACTTCACCGCGCTTGACCTCATCACGGATGTGATGGTACTTGATATCAATGTGCTTGGCACGGCCGTGGTTGACTGGGTTCTTCGTCATCTTGATACACGACTGATTGTCTTCATGGATCATGAGTTCCGGTCCTTCTTCATTGGCAGCCATCACGATCTCACAAAGCAGACGATGAATCCACTTGCCCTCTTGAATTGCCAAGCTGAGTGCGATGTATTCGGCTTCACTCGTGGACAACGAAACACTTGGCTGCTTCTTGCTGCCCCAACTGACTGGCGCACCGAGTAGCATGAACGTGTACCCCGATGTTGACTTGCGGTCGGTAAGATCACCAGCCCAATCCGCATCCGAATATCCACGGAAGTCGATCCTTGCACTTGGCTTGTAGCAAATTCCATGCGTCTTGGTGCCTTGTAGGTAGCGAAAGATACGCTTAACTGCAACCCAGTGTTCTTCTTGGGGATTTTCCATGAACCGCGACACATAGCCCACAGCAAACGCAATGTCCGGACGCGTTGCAGTGGTCAGGTGCATCAACGCACCAACAGCTTCGCGAAAAGGAGCATCGACCTTGGTAGTTGCATCACTTGAAACAAGTCGAGAGCTCATGTCGACTGGACTTGCGACTGCCTTGCAATCATCCATGCCAAAGCGCTTGAGGATATCATCGACATACCGACGCTGACATAGTGTCACACTGCCATCTTCACCGTCCAAAAGCTCGATCCCAAGAACAAACGCACACTTGCCGCTGTCCGTCATTTCGAACCGCGTCTTCAGGTCGTTCTTGGTTTGTGCAATCAGCTCGAGCGAGCTTCCAGTCACCAAGACGTCGTCCACGTAGACCAGTATAAACACGCAATGGCCGTCCGAAGTCTTGATGTAGAGACATGGGTCGAAGTCCGATACTTGAAATCCGATGGAGCACACATACTCGTCGAACGTCTCGTTCCACACTCGCGACGCTTGCTTGAGGCCGTAATTGACTTCACCAATTCCAGGCAGTCGAACGTACTGTCAAGTTCGACGCCTTCAGGAATCACGCAGAACACTTGTTCCTTCATGACGCCATACAGGAAAGCTGTCACCACATCAAGCTGGTCGATGGGCCATCCAAAATGCTTGGAAATTGCGATCACCATTCGCAGCGTCACATACTTGACCACAGGCGAAAACGTCTCCGTGTAGTCGATGCCATACTTTTGGCGGAAACCCTTGGCCACAAGTCGTGCCTTGTACTTCTCGATTGACCCATCCGCCTTGCGCTTGATCTTGAACACCCATTTTGTGCCAATGGCGCGTTGTCCGTTGGGCAGCTTGGCTGCACGAAACACACCGCGAAGTCGCATTGACTCGAGCTCTGCATGAATTGCTTTTCTCCAGTGCACTTGGTCAGGGCCGCTTACTGCTGCTTCAAATGTTGAGGGTTCTGATAAGTCCACTGCTGCTTCAACGGCATTTGCACTCGCACGCCAAAACACAGGCGGTGTTGAATCACCAGAATCCTTCGTTTCTTCGTCTTCTTCTTGTCGTGACGAGTTGTTTTCCGGCGCGCTTGACTCTTCTAGTCCTGGTCGTTGACGCACTGCACGCGGTCGTGGAGCTGCTGTATCTTCATCATTGAGTCGGTTCTTGCGCTTGCCTGTTTGCTTGTACTCCATTTGACGCAGCTCTTCGTCATCAAGATCCAGCAATTCGAAGTCCAGGTCATCGACATCTTCATCAGTGATCGGCAGTTGAAGTCCAAAGGTGGACTCGTCGAAGTTGACATCGCGGCTGATAACCACCTGCCCCGCCTCGATGTCATAAACACGATATGCCTTCGAAACTTCTTCGTAGACCACGAATATGCCAGCGCGAGCCTTTGGATCCCACTTGAGTCGATTCTCTTTAGGCGTCAGTATGTATGTCTGACACCCGAATGTTCGCATGTGCTTGACGCTTGGTTTCAAGTTGTAGACGATCTCAAACGGGGTCTTGTGCACGACTTTAGGTGACGGCAGTCGATTCTTGACGTAGATGGCCGTCATCGCTGCTTCGGCCCAGAAACACTTGTCCAGTTTGGCATGATGAAGCATGCTGCGGCCGATCGTGACAATAGTCCTAATGGCACGCTCTGCTGTTCCGTTTGTTTGATGTGCATACGGCACCGTTGTCTGCTGTTCAATGCCTTCGTCTTCGTAGAACAGTTGAAGCGAGTTGGTTGCAAACTCGCGAGCTCCGTCGTGTCGCACGAACTTGACCTTCTTACAGAATTGCGTCTGTACCATGGTGATATATTTCCGGATGTAGTCTTCACTCTCGGACTTCACTCGTAGACAAAAGCCCTTCATGCATCCACTGGCTTCGTCGATGATCAGCAGCAAATATTTGCTGCCACCGAGCGAATCCTTTTCCATGGGCCCGCAGATGTCCAGATGAAGTAGCTCAAACGTATCGTAGCTGCGCTTGTCTCGGTTACTTGGAAATGGTTTTTGGACCATTTTCCCTTGTTGACATCCTCGACATGTAGTTGCTCCACCCGACTTGAGAGGGACTCGCACATCCTTGATCATGTTGGTCGCGATCATCTTGCGAAGTACATCGACTGGAGCATGACCCATTCTCGCATGTAGATCGGCACAACTGGTTCCACTTGTTGTCACATTCGCTGATCGTTGAGTCGTCCGAAGCCAGTAGAGTCCATCCACGAGATCCGCTGTCGCCACCACTTGCTGTGAGTTCTTGAGAGTCACATACATCTTGGAACCGTCAAACACGACTTGAAACTTGCCATGGCTGTTAATCTGTGGCACCGAGAGCAGGTTCTTGCTCATACTTGGAACATATAGCGCGTTCTTGATTTCGATCTCACGCTCTTCACCGTTGGGCAGAACCACCTTTTCCATGATGGTTCCCACACCCTTGATGGCCACCTTGTTGCCATCAGCCACCAAGAGTTCGCCCTCATTGCGCTCTGCCAAACTTGCGAACTTGGTCTTGTCGTGGCAAATGTGGTGCGTTGCACCACTGTCGACGGCCCACATTCCAGACACGTCCTTGCTCGTCGAAACTCCACATTCGAACGAGACTGCAAACGCCACTCGATCGTAGCCATTGCCTTCATCATGATGTCCCCACTGGACATTGTTAGCCCCGCGTCCACGACCATTGCCGCCGCGTCGGGCTCCCCCGACCTTCGTTCTTCTGCTTTGTCCAGCAACGATCCACCGTGTGTCCCACCTTGCCAGAATACGTGCATTGGTAGGGCTCACGCTCGGCGCTGAATGCCTTGCTTGCATCTTCAGCCTTCACCGTAGTCGCTGTCGTTGTCCCTTTTTCTCCTTGACGCTTGGCATGCTCATTCGTCAGGACTCTCACCACATCTTGAGTGCGAAGCTCGGTGCTGCTCATTTCCATGTTGAGCACCACATTTTCGTAGCTCTTCGGAAGACTGAGTAGCAGACAAATTGCAACGTCTTCGTCTTCCATCTTCGCACCGATGCTGTAACGGGGTGAATCGTTACATAACAATTTATAAGAAATTGTTAATAGAATATAACTATAAGAGTTATATTCTCAGAATATTGTCATAAGGACAAATATTCTGTAGCACTTCCAAGTAGTTCCTAATTGGTTGATATAGGCCATTATATCAACCAACGAAGACGCTCCACGACAGACGCACGCAATGAGTGGTGAGCAGATAACTGATTTACACATTTGTATTTAGACATAGTTAGATGAAGATAAATAGTGATTTATTGCAGACATTAACTATTATAAATACAGTTCTACTTTTTACTCTAACCAAGTACTCGCTTCTTCTTACCGTCTTCCTCTGCACGTACGAGTGTACGTGAAGTTACGAGGCACCGCCTTATTCTGTTATCAGAATAAGTAGCTTGTACTGTCACCAGTACAAGCTTCAGGGTGCCCCGTTACACCTGGTAGCACTTCGTAGTCCGTCCAAGGACCGCGTTCACATCCAACATGAATATGTTGGATGATGAAGATGACCAAAGCTTTCACGCTACGCGTGACGGCTACTCCCATTTGAGTGATGTCGAATGGGATGCGGTTGAACGAATGGGTTCGACCATGGGCATCCATGCTGTTAGCGTCATGCTAGAGGCTCTCAATAGAGATGCCCAACATGCTACTATCGCCAAGTTCATTCAAAATGAACTTGACGCAGAACGCGAGAAAGTAGCCTTGCTTCACCAACAAGGTTCTCAACAAGCAGAGTTGTTGAGAGAACAAGATGCTCAACAGTTTGAACTGTTGAGACAGCAGCAGGCTGCTGCTGGTGGGTCGATGCACTCGCGTCGACCCGAGACCTTGACAATTGACATCTCAAAGTATAGGGGGGTCGAAGAAGACTCCCTCTTGAGATGGTTCGTCGAATTGGATGACGCCATAAGGGCGCGTCGCATCGACGACGGGGATATGCAAGTTGCATTTGCCCAGTCAAATCTGGCAGGACGTGCCAAGACTTGGGCACTGGGGCTCAAGCTGCACGACCCATATGCGTTTGGGTCGTTGGAAGTCTTCAAGTCGCGGCTCAGACAAACGTTTGAACCGCCTAGAGCTGAGTTCAGAGCTCGAACCGAACTCTTGAAGCTCAAGCAGGGTAAGCGTGATGTGCACGCTTACGCTCAACACATACGACATCTTACGAGTTGTATAAGTTCCAATCCAGTGGATGAACACACGTTGGTTTCGGTGTTCATGCAGGGTCTTGCGGATGGTCCCGTCAAGACTCACCTGTTCCGGCTTGAACTAGATTCACTAGAACAAGCCATTTCCATTGCGGAGCAGGAAGACTTCAGTCTGAGACAGGCTCGCGCCAGCTCGACATCATATCGTCAACCGAGACGATATGACAACGAAGGTCCAGAGCCGATGGAACTCTGTTATGTAGAGAGCGAGAAGGCTCGCTCTACAGGCTACAAGAAGTTGCAGAGATGCAACAGATGTCAAAAGACAGGACACTACGCTTACGAGTGTAGTGCCCCTCGTCCAGTGTCTCGCGACACTGGGCGTAGTGACCGTCCACCCATGAGAAAGGGGCAGGGACGAGGGTCCGCAGTTGGTGCAAAGACGCAACAACGGGATGGACCGTCAAAAAACGGACAGGATCAGTAGGTGCGGAGCACCCTACTGATCCAGCAACGTCAAGAGAATTTGTAGGCCTCTTGATGAAGGTTGCTCCCAACACACAGACGTTGTGCGTTGCTGCTCTAGGTAATGAGATCTCACTCATTACCTTGAATCTCGAAGTGACGAACAAGTTGTCCCTTCGAGCTCTAGTCGATTGTGGGGCGTCCAACAATTTTGTGCGACGCCAATCGCTAGAAGATGGTCACTTTAAATTCAGTGAATGTGACACACCTCCTACGAGGATGACGGTACGTCTTGCGACAGGCGCATCCGTAACCGTCATGAAGCGTATAGTGAAGATTCACTATACGCTAGAAGATACCCAATACGACGATGACTTTATCGTATTGGATTTGGATGACAAATTTGATGTCATCCTTGGAATACCGTGGCTCAGAAGGTACGAACCACGGGTAGACTGGCAACATCGGACAGTAACGATGCCTGCCGCTTGTTCATCAGATGGCCATCTGATGAACGTTTTGGAGCGTCCACAAGCGTGTGGATGTACTATGAGTGAGTGCGATGGCCTCACTTGTGGTACGGTCGTTAGTACGACTGCACGAAACCTTAGAGTACCAAACGGTTACACTTCGGAGCAAAGTTCCGGCGGCTGTGAGGAAACACCACTCGAATAAGTCGGGTGGACTGGGACAAAGATGTATCCCTAGAGGGGAACATCTAGAAGAGAAACAATCGATCGCTCAGGTTAAGCGAAACGATAATCCTAGATCGACTGGAGAGTCTTTCGTAGAGGATCTCGCTGTGGTTGCGCAACCCCAGCTAGAGGAAGTAAAGGGAATAAGTCCCAAGATTACAAATACGGCGGAAATAAGTTCCCCGAAACCCGCGGGAATAAGTCCCCGGGAAGACGAAGGAATAAGTCCTTCGAAGCCTGAGGGAATAAGTCCCCAGGAAATGACAGAGACATTGAATGTCATAGTCAATAACGGATCATGTGTAGGCGCTTATACACTTGATCTGATTGCGCCTCCGAAGTTAACTTCGGAGATCACTCAGTTGCCAACGCTCGAACATAAAAGGTTCTTGCGTGATCTGCGTAGTGGCAAAGTCAAGCAGATCTGCATACTCGTCGCTGACGACGAGTATGTAACCGACATAAGGTCAGCAACAGTGTTTACTGAGAACGAGAGAGTTCTCAGTAGTTCATCTATGGACGAGAGTGTCCTAGATGAAAAGACACGAATTGAGCGATATGAGTCCCAATCATGGGAATCGCTCAAGGAAAATCCTCTCTATGAAGATTTGGTTGAATTCAAGGATGTATTCCCTGAAACTGTTCCGTGCGAATTACCGAAGGATAAAGGTATTCGACACGAAGTCGAGCTTAAACCAGGCTCGAAGTACTGTGTCATGAAGCAGTGGCCACTGCCTCGTGAACAAGTACTTGCGATCGACAAGTTCTTTGCCGATCGTTTAGCAGCGGGCCATGTGAGGGAATCAACTTCCCCACATAGCTCTCCGACCTTCTGTGTGCGAAAAGCAACAGGAGGGTGGCGGATAGTGCACGCGTTTAACAAACTGAACGCTGCAACGGTACCGGCTCAGACGCCGATACCGAGGAAGGACGTAATCATTGATGGTATGTCAAAGAGTACCATCTTTTCGTCCATGGATTTGATGGATGGCTTCTATCAAATCCTAATGCGGGAACGGGATATACCCTATACCGCAGTTAGCACGCCTAGCGGCATGCTCTGGGAATGGCTAGTAATGCCACAAGGGCTCAGTAATGCCCCTGCCACGTTCAACAGGTGTGTATCACATCTGTTGAGGCCAGTACGAGAATTCGCGCCGAGTTATTTCGATGACGTATTCATCCATAGTCGAGCTATGGATGGAAAGTCGGACGTTGAGGTTCACAAGTACCACGTCCGACAAGTTCTTACAATCATGCGAAAGCATCAATTGTATGCAAACCTCAAGAAGTGTATATTTGCAGCAAGCGAAATACCACTTCTTGGGTGCATCGTTGGTAAGAACGGTGTACGTCCTGATCCCGAAAAGATCAAGGCGATCACCGACTGGCCTGTGCCGGTCGATGTCAAAGGTCTTCGAAAATTCCTTGGGCTAGCGGCGTATTTGCATAAGTATTCACGCAATTACGCCGAGATGACTGTACACCTCTCTCGTTTGTTGAAAAAGAACGAGAGGTGGTTATGGAACGCTGAATGTCAACGCTCCTTTGAGGGTATCAAGCAGAGCTTGATACAATCCCCAGTCCTAGCAATAGCCGATCAGGACAGGCCATTTCATGTGGTCTGTGATGCCAGCGATTTCGCAATCGGCTGTGCATTAATGCAGTACGACCTTGAAGGCGTTGAACGCGTCGTCTGCTATCAGTCGCGTCAGCTGCAACCAGCTGAGCGGAACTATCCAGTGCATGACAAGGAACTCCTTGCCATGAAGTATGCGTTCGCGAAGTTCAGAGTCTATCTATTAGGAGATAGACCCTTCGTTGTTTACACTGACCATGCGTCCTTACGCACGGCAGTGAACAGCCCGCACCTTTCACAACGAATGGCGCGGTGGTTGTCATTCTTTGCAGAATACAACTTTACGGTCGAGTACAAACCAGGACGACTTAATGTCGTCGCTGATGCACTCTCACGTCGTCCCGACTTTGAAACAGTCGCGAAACCCAACAGTGAGACAGTCACTGTTGCGGTTATGACGTCCTCAGTTCCATCTACAACGTTGTATGATGATGTGAGGCGGGCTTACGCCCAAGATGGTGAGATTGTGAAGTTGTTGTCACATCTCTCCCAACCATCCCGAGAATCGTTGAAACGATTGTCGTCTACGTATCGATCAGCATCAGATCGATACACTACTCGTAACGGGTTACTGTACTATACAGCCGTTTCTGGTGACACACCACGTGTTGTCATTCCAGATGATACTGATCTGCGTTTGCGGATCATGTTCAAGTATCACGATGCTCCTATAGGAGGACATCGTGGCCGAGAGAAAACATATCTCACGGTAAGTCGAGACTTTTACTGGCCCCGCCAGTATCAGTTTGTGCGAAAGTATGTTCGCGCATGCGAAGTCTGCCAACGAGTGAAGTCAAGTCCTTCACTGCGTGCACCTTTACAGCCTCTACCAGTTCCGGCTGAGTGCTGGGAATCCATCTCAATGGATTTCGTCTTCGGGTTACCCAAAGACGCACGCGGGAATACGGGTATTCTCGTATTTGTTGACAGATTCAGCAAAATGGTACACCTTGTGGCTGTACCAGAGACAATCACGGCAAGTGGCTGTGCTTGTGTCTTTATTGACACCATCTTCCGACTTCATGGGTTGCCCCGTGAACTCGTATCAGACAGAGATCCACGATTCACTGCTGATTTCTGGCGTTCCGTGTTCAAATCACTCGGAACGCGCTTGAAGATGTCAACATCTGATCATCCAGAGTCAGATGGTCAGACGGAACGTGCCAATCGTGTCCTTGAAGAGATACTTCGAGGATACGTACACTCCTTTAAAAGTTGGAGTGAGTTTTTGCCAATGGTAGAGTTTGCCATTAACAACTCGGTGCATGCGTCCACGACACATACACCGTTTTACGTGAATGGCTTGCGCCATCCGCGTGTACCCACCTTACTAGAGTGTAACTCTGGTTTAAGGGGGGGAGGGACTCGCGAGAGCAAAAACCGATTTGGTTCACGCTCATCACGCTCTGACGAAGAAGTCATTGCGTTTGATGCCGATATCGATAACATCGATATCGAAGAAGATGATGCCAGTGAGAGTGCGGAAGCCCTCACTGAAGACAATGATCCCAGTGAGAGTGCGGAAGCCCTCACTGAAGAAAAGGTTGTTGTCGCTGCAGTGCGCTCACAGCACACTGAAGCTAACGAGTCATCAGATGAGTTCATACTGGCTCGTGAAACGGTAGTCCGTTTTGTGCAAGACTCCATCGCCGAAGCGGTGGATAAGCAAAAGCAAAACGCTGACAAGAATGGAAGGGCAAACACTCTTTTATTTAGTAAAGGTGACTTAGTCCTACTGTCTACGGTTAATATACCAAAGCATGTAGTGACTAACTTGGGTAGCAGTAAACTACTACCCAAGTACATTGGCCCATTTCGTGTATTGCACCGCCTAGGCAATGCATACACGATCGAGTTACCACGTAAGATGCGAACGCATCCCACGTTTTACGTTGGTCGGCTTAAGCCGTACCATCAGTACGCTGCTTCTTCCGATGAAGAACGCCCTTGCGCTCAAGCATCTCGCAGAGAGCCTTGTGCTCCCGATGGTGGGCATCAACAAGGGTCTGAAGAGCAGTTATCTCAGCCCGAGACCGATCAACAATCCCACGAGCTACCCTTAGCTCGTCACGAAGAGATGTCAGAGATCTCTCGTTCTCAAGCTGAGCAAAGGCAAACTCAGCTCGATGCTTCGAGGCAGTGTCCACCATCTGGAGACGCCTATTCCGCTCATGCTCGAGATCGTCGCGTAACCCTTGCGTTACGCGATCAAAGAAGCTCCGGGAACACACCGATCCACATGATCGTGTGGAGAGCGTCTTTCCTCCTCCTCCACCTCCATTAGAGGACTCTCGCGGTGGCCAGCGCTATCTAGTTGAGCAGCTGTTGAACCACCGCGACGTGAACGGACGTCGGACGAGTTACCTCGTCCGGTGGCGCGGCTATCCCCCGTCCTGGGATTCTTGGGAGCCCCGCTCCCAATTGATGGTTGACGTACTGGGTCTGGTCGAGCAGTACGACGCGACACATCCTGTGCCGCAGAAGGACCGCCGGAGAAAGTCTTCCCGGCACGGTCGTAAAGGGATTTCAGGTTGTCAATCCCTTCGTACATCTCAGTAGAGACACGTACGCGCCACCACGGGCTGGTAAGGAGGTAAGCCTCCTTAGGTGCTCGTGCAGAGTTGTTCACACAACATGGGCACGAGTCTCCCCAAGAGAGGCAGGGTAATCCTTTCTCCCTTGACAGACGATGCAGCTTGTAGCGTGCACCTGTCGGGGTTCGCTTTTCAAACTTATCACGAGCTTTGATAAGTTTGTCGTTCCAAGCGTCACGACCTACATCCTCGAGATTATGGATGTAGGCGTTCCACGCCTGAAGTAGTGAGGGACCATCACGTTTGTGATTCCCACTGTACCATCGATGTCTGAAGAAAGCATCGATGAAGAACTCATGTTCAGCGCGATAGTCTTTCGCGCTGGGGTCAAGGTGATGGATCCTTGACGAATCGAACAATCGTGTTCGATAACGATCACTCGTCGTCGCCGACAAGTGATCCATGACAGATTTAGGAGGCATCCATGCCTTCTTCTCGGGAGCGAGACGCAAGACATTGCGATCCCGCTCTTCCTGCGATGTGCCGACAGAAGTACTGGCACCTCGTTGCGAAGTGGTGTCTATAGGAGAACCGACACCACTGTTAGCGCCCGAGTCTCGCGACCTCGAGCGCCTTCGCTTCGGCGATGGTTCATCTGACTCATCAGATGAACCAAAGATGCTGCGACGCAAAGCATCGTCCATGCCACGCTTGGCAGGCGGCTTAGATTCAATCGCCGTCGATACGGATCCGTCATCCGTATCAGGAGAGTACGAGACACCGAGCTCGTACTCTGTGAAGACACGAGTGTCTTCATGACCAGCGCCTGCGTCACCAAGTGACACAGGCTGGGTCTCTTCAGCAACCGATGGGACATCAGTTGCTGTTGTTTCTGCTTCGGCGTCCGCACAGAGACGTGCAGACGCGCTCTCGGCGGCCTTAGCTCGCGCATCGCATGGGCTTGTTTACCATGCGATGAGATGTTGGAAAGTGGACGCGGACCTACAAGTGCAAACCCCGTCCCAAATGATTTGGGACGAGTATCCATTTAGTCAATCAGTCACTAAAGTGACTGATGGTTAAGGGGGGGGTGATGTAACGGGGTGAATCGTTACATAACAATTTATAAGAAATTGTTAATAGAATATAACTATAAGAGTTATATTCTCAGAATATTGTCATAAGGACAAATATTCTGTAGCACTTCCAAGTAGTTCCTAATTGGTTGATATAGGCCATTATATCAACCAACGAAGACGCTCCACGACAGACGCACGCAATGAGTGGTGAGCAGATAACTGATTTACACATTTGTATTTAGACATAGTTAGATGAAGATAAATAGTGATTTATTGCAGACATTAACTATTATAAATACAGTTCTACTTTTTACTCTAACCAAGTACTCGCTTCTTCTTACCGTCTTCCTCTGCACGTACGAGTGTACGTGAAGTTACGAGGCACCGCCTTATTCTGTTATCAGAATAAGTAGCTTGTACTGTCACCAGTACAAGCTTCAGGGTGCCCCGTTACAGATGCCGCTAAGCTTGGCGGAGATGTTGAGGACCTCGTTGCAGTGATGCATGACGTTCGCGCCTTCAGCCATCTTGATACTGAAAAGTTGTCGCTTGAGGTAGATGCGCCCTGCCTTCTGCGACCCACCGTACAGCGTCTTCAGACTTGTCCACGCAACCCAGGCTTCCTCGCAGTTGTCCAGCACATGATGGTAGTCCGCGTTCATGTGCAGCAGCATCATACCAAACGCGACGTTGCTTGCCTTGACGTAGTCATCGGACGCTCGCGGGTCGGTGAAAGTCGGAGTCACTTCACGGTTGACAACGTGCCAGACGGACTTCGTCAAAAACACACCGCGCATGTACCGGCTCCACGTTGCGTAATTGTCTCCGTTGAACTTGTCAATGGAGGCGTTGCTGGTGGACGACATGGCGCTTGGGCTCATAACCTGTTGCATTGTAGATCGGAGCGAGGAAAGCGGAGCGAACGGAGCGGAGAGACCGAAGAGAGTAGAGCAGAAAACACTTGCCCAATAGTTGGAAGATTCGAAAGTGATTGATTATCGGGGCTTACTACTTACTACATGATTTATATGTGGTGTACATATAAATCATGTGAAGCGTCTCATCATCCTACGCGTCTAATCAACTATGGTAATTACCGTAAGAACTACGTCGTAAATACTAAGCTGAACAGGCGGTTCGGATTGGATCGGTCACGGTTACCAATACTGGTAGAAAACCGATGACCGTCAACAGTTGTCCCTTTTTCTCCTTGACGCTTGGCATGCTCATTCGTCAGGACTCTCACCACATCTTGAGTGCGAAGCTCGGTGCTGCTTGTAAGAAGTAAGAGTTAAGTAAAGTAAATGACTTGTATATTACCGCGCACCAGACGCGTTTCGCCCCCCCGCCGGGGGGCCTCATCAGTGGTTTGTCAATCTACAAGTGAGAACTATCCATACGTCTAGCTGCCGTACGACCTATAATAATGCATAGAACCCTACTGAACATTCTAGACATACCCTATCATGGGTCGAATCTCTGGAGTCGAATCCAGTGCATCATGCACTTACAACACTGCTCATTTCCATGTTGAGCACCACATTTTCGTAGCTCTTCGGAAGACTGAGTAGCAGACAAATTGCAACGTCTTCTGTTGACGGTCATCGGTTTTCTACCAGTATTGGTAACCGTGACCGATCCAATCCGAACCGCCTGTTCAGCTTAGTATTTACGACGTAGTTCTTACGGTAATTACCATAGTTGATTAGACGCGTAGGATGATGAGACGCTTCACATGATTTATATGTACACCACATATAAATCATGTAGTAAGTAGTAAGCCCCGATAATCAATCACTTTCGAATCTTCCAACTATTGGGCAAGTGTTTTCTGCTCTACTCTCTTCGGTCTCTCCGCTCCGTTTGCTCCGCTTTCCTCGCTCCGATCTACAATGCAACAGGTTATGAGCCCAAGCGCCATGTCGTCCACCAGCAACGCCTCCATTGACAAGTTCAACGGAGACAATTACGCAACGTGGAGCCGGTACATGCGCGGTGTGTTTTTGACGAAGTCCGTCTGGCACGTTGTCAACCGTGAAGTGACTCCGACTTTCACCGACCCGCGAGCGTCCGATGACTACGTCAAGGCAAGCAACGTCGCGTTTGGTATGATGCTGCTGCACATGAACGCGGACTACCATCATGTGCTGACAACTGCGAGGAAGCCTGGGTTGCGTGGACAAGTCTGAAGACGCTGTACGGTGGGTCGCAGAAGGCAGGACGCATCTACCTCAAGCGACAACTTTTCAGTATCAAGATGGCTGAAGGCGCGAACGTCATGCATCACTGCAACGAGGTCCTCAACATCTCCGCCAAGCTTAGCGGCATCGGTGCGAAGATGGAAGACGAAGACGTTGCAATTTGTCTGCTACTCAGTCTTCCGAAGAGCTACGAAAATGTGGTGCTCAACATGGAAATGAGCAGCACCGAGCTTCGCACTCAAGATGTGGTGAGAGTCCTGACGAATGAGCATGCCAAGCGTCAAGGAGAAAAAGGGACAACGACAGCGACTACGGTGAAGGCTGAAGATGCAAGCAAGGCATTCAGCGCCGAGCGTGAGCCCTACCAATGCACGTATTGTGGCAAGGTGGGACACACGGTGGATCGTTGCTGGACAAAGCAGAAGAACGAAGGTCGGGGAGCCCGACGCGGCGGCAATGGTCGTGGACGCGGGGGCTAACAATGTCCAGTGGGGACATCATGATGAAGGCAATGGATACGATCGAGTGGCGTTTGCAGTCTCGTTCGAATGTGGAGTTTCGACGAGCAAGGACGTGTCTGGAATGTGGGCCGTCGACAGTGGTGCAACGCACCACATTTGCCACGACAAGACCAAGTTCGCAAGTTTGGCAGAGCGCAATGAGGGCGAACTCTTGGTGGCTGATGGCAACAAGGTGGCCATCAAGGGTGTGGGAACCATCATGGAAAAGGTGGTTCTGCCCAACGGTGAAGAGCGTGAGATCGAAATCAAGAACGCGCTATATGTTCCAAGTATGAGCAAGAACCTGCTCTCGGTGCCACAGATTAACAGCCATGGCAAGTTTCAAGTCGTGTTTGACGGGTCCAAGATGTATGTGACTCTCAAGAACTCACAGCAAGTGGTGGCGATAGCGGATCTCGTGGATGGACTCTACTGGCTTCGGACGACTCAACGATCAGCGAATGTGACAACAAGTGGAACCAGTTGTGCCGATCTACATGCGAGAATGGGTCATGCTCCAGTCGATGTACTTCGCAAGATGATCGCGACCAACATGATCAAGGATGTGCGAGTCCCTCTCAAGTCGGGTGGAGCAACTACATGTCGAGGATGTCAACAAGGGAAAATGGTCCAAAAACCATTTCCAAGTAACCGAGACAAGCGCAGCTACGATACGTTTGAGCTACTTCATCTGGACATCTGCGGGCCCATGGAAAAGGATTCGCTCGGTGGCAGCAAATATTTGCTGCTGATCATCGACGAAGCCAGTGGATGCATGAAGGGCTTTTGTCTACGAGTGAAGTCCGAGAGTGAAGACTACATCCGGAAATATATCACCATGGTACAGACGCAATTCTGTAAGAAGGTCAAGTTCGTGCGACACGACGGAGCTCGCGAGTTTGCAACCAACTCGCTTCAACTGTTCTACGAAGACGAAGGCATTGAAAAGCAGACAACGGTGCCGTATGCACATCAAACAAACGGAACAGCAGAGCGTGCCATTAGGACTATTGTCACGATCGGCCGCAGCATGCTTCATCATGCCAAACTGGACAAGTGTTTCTGGGCCGAAGCAGCGATGACGGCCATCTACGTCAAGAATCGACTGCCGTCACCTAAAGTCGTGCACAAGACCCCGTTTGAGATCGTGTACAACTCCAAGCCAAGTGTCAAGCACATGCGAGTATTCGGCTGTCAGACATTTATACTGACTCCGAAGGAGAAGCGACTCAAGTGGGATCCAAAGGCTCGCGCTGGCATATTCGTGGTCTACGAAGAAGTTTCGAAGGCATATCGTGTTTATGACATCGAGGCGGGGCAGGTGGTTATCAGCCGCGATGTCAACTTCGACGAGTCCACCTTTGGACTTCAACTGCCGATCACTGATGAAGATGTCGATGACCTGGACTTCGAATTGCTGGATCTTGATGACGAAGAGCTGCGTCAAATGGAGTACAAGCAAACAGGCAAGCGCAAGAACCGACTCAATGATGAAGATACAGCAGCTCCACGACCGCGTGCAGTGCGTCAACGACCAGGACTAGAAGAGTCAAGCGCGCCGGAAAACAACTCGTCACGACAAGAAGAAGACGAAGAAACGAAGGATTCTGGTGATTCAACACCGCCTGTGTTTTGGCGTGCGAGTGCAAATGCCGTTGAAGCAGCAGTGGACTTATCAGAACCCTCAACATTTGAAGCAGCAGTAAGCGGCCCTGACCGAGTGCACTGGAGAAAAGCAATTCATGCAGAGCTCGAGTCAATGCGACTTCGCGGTGTGTTTCGTGCAGCCAAGCTGCCCAACGGACAACGCGCCATTGGCACAAAATGGGTGTTCAAGATCAAGCGCAAGGCGGATGGGTCAATCGAGAAGTACAAGGCACGACTTGTGGCCAAGGGTTTCCGCCAAAAGTATGGCATCGACTACACGGAGACGTTTTCGCCTGTGGTCAAGTATGTGACGCTGCGAATGGTGATCGCAATTTCCAAGCATTTTGGATGGCCCATCGACCAGCTTGATGTGGTGACAGCTTTCCTGTATGGCGTCATGAAGGAACAAGTGTTCTGCGTGATTCCTGAAGGCGTCGAACTTGACAGTACGTTCGACTGCCTGGAATTGGTGAAGTCAATTTACGGCCTCAAGCAAGCGTCGCGAGTGTGGAACGAGACGTTTGACGAGTGTGTGTTCCATTGGATTTCAAGCGTCAGGCTTCGACCCATGTCTCTACATCAAGACTTCGGACGGCCATTGCGTGTTTATACTGGTCTACGTGGACGACGTCTTGGTGACTGGAAGCTCACTCGAGCTGATTGCACAAACCAAGAACGACCTGAAGACGCGGTTCGAAATGACGGACAGCGGCAAGTGTGCGTTTGTTCTTGGGATCGAGCTTTTGACGGTGAAGATGGCAGTGTGACACTATGTCAGCGTCGGTATGTCGATGATATCCTCAAGCGCTTTGGCATGGATGATTGCAAGGCAGTCGCAAGTCCAGTCGACATGAGCTCTCGACTTGTTTCAAGTGATGCAACTACCAAGGTCGATGCTCCTTTTCGCGAAGCTGTTGGTGCGTTGATGCACCTGACCACTGCAACGCGTCCGGACATTGCGTTTGCTGTGGGCTATGTGTCGCGGTTCATGGAAAATCCCCAAGAAGAACACTGGGTTGCAGTTAAGCGTATCTTTCGCTACCTACAAGGCACCAAGACGCATGGAATTTGCTACAAGCCAAGTGCAAGGATCGACTTCCGTGGATATTCGGATGCGGATTGGGCTGGTGATCTTACCGACCGCAAGTCAACATCGGGGTACACGTTCATGCTACTCGGTGCGCCAGTCAGTTGGGGCAGCAAGAAGCAGCCAAGTGTTTCGTTGTCCACGAGTGAAGCCGAATACATCGCACTCAGCTTGGCAATTCAAGAGGGCAAGTGGATTCATCGTCTGCTTTGTGAGATCGTGATGGCTGCCAATGAAGAAGGACCGGAACTCATGATCCATGAAGACAATCAGTCGTGTATCAAGATGACGAAGAACCCAGTCAACCATGGCCGTGCCAAGCACATCGACATTAAGTACCATCACATTCGTGATGAGGTCAAGCGCGGCAAAGTCAAGCTCAAGTACTGTGAGACTGCGGTGATGTTAGCAGATATCATAACCAAGGGACTTCATAAACCACGCCACAAGGAGATGACGACGGCTCTCGGGATTCGTGAGCATTCGGATTGAGGGGGCGTGTTGACGGTCATCGGTTTTCTACCAGTATTGGTAACCGTGACCGATCCAATCCGAACCGCCTGTTCAGCTTAGTATTTACGACGTAGTTCTTACGGTAATTACCATAGTTGATTAGACGCGTAGGATGATGAGACGCTTCACATGATTTATATGTACACCACATATAAATCATGTAGTAAGTAGTAAGCCCCGATAATCAATCACTTTCGAATCTTCCAACTATTGGGCAAGTGTTTTCTGCTCTACTCTCTTCGGTCTCTCCGCTCCGTTTGCTCCGCTTTCCTCGCTCCGATCTACAATGCAACAACAACGACAGCGACTACGGTGAAGGCTGAAGATGCAAGCAAGGCATTCAGCGCCGAGCGTGAGCCCTACCAATGCACGTATTGTGGCAAGGTGGGACACACGGTGGATCGTTGCTGGACAAAGCAGAAGAACGAAGGTCGGGGAGCCCGACGCGGCGGCAATGGTCGTGGACGCGGGGCTAACAATGTCCAGTGGGGACATCATGATGAAGGCAATGGCTACGATCGAGTGGCGTTTGCAGTCTCGTTCGAATGTGGAGTTTCGACGAGCAAGGACGTGTCTGGAATGTGGGCCGTCGACAGTGGTGCAACGCACCACATTTGCCACGACAAGACCAAGTTCGCAAGTTTGGCAGAGCGCAATGAGGGCGAACTTTGGTGGCTGATGGCAACAAGGTGGCCATCAAGGGTGTGGGAACCATCATGGAAAAGGTGGTTCTGCCCAACGGTGAAGAGCGTGAGATCGAAATCAAGAACGCGCTATATGTTCCAAGTATGAGCAAGAACCTGCTCTCGGTGCCACAGATTAACAGCCATGGCAAGTTTCAAGTCGTGTTTGACGGGTCCAAGATGTATGTGACTCTCAAGAACTCACAGCAAGTGGTGGCGACAGCGGATCTCGTGGATGGACTCTACTGGCTTCGGACGACTCAACGATCAGCGAATGTGACAACAAGTGGAACCAGTTGTGCCGATCTACATGCGAGAATGGGTCATGCTCCAGTCGATGTACTTCGCAAGATGATCGCGACCAACATGATCAAGGATGTGCGAGTCCCTCTCAAGTCGGGTGGAGCAACTACATGTCGAGGATGTCAACAAGGGAAAATGGTCCAAAAACCATTTCCAAGCAACCGAGACAAGCGCAGCTACGATACGTTTGAGCTACTTCATCTGGACATCTGCGGGCCCATGGAAAAGGATTCGCTCGGTGGCAGCAAATATTTGCTGCTGATCATCGACGAAGCCAGTGGATGCATGAAGGGCTTTTGCCTACGAGTGAAGTCCGAGAGTGAAGACTACATCCGGAAATATATCACCATGGTACAGACGCAATTCTGTAAGAAGGTCAAGTTCGTGCGACACGACGGAGCTCGCGAGTTTGCAACCAACTCGCTTCAACTGTTCTACGAAGACGAAGGCATTGAACAGCAGACAACGGTGCCGTATGCACATCAAACAAACGGAACAGCAGAGCGTGCCATTAGGACTATTGTCACGATCGGCCGCAGCATGCTTCATCATGCCAAACTGGACAAGTGTTTCTGGGCCGAAGCAGCGATGACGGCCATCTACGTCAAGAATCGACTGCCGTCACCTAAAGTCGTGCACAAGACCCCGTTTGAGATCGTCTACAACTTGAAACCAAGCGTCAAGCACATGCGAACATTCGGGTGTCAGACATACATACTGACGCCTAAAGAGAATCGACTCAAGTGGGATCCAAAGGCTCGCGCTGGCATATTCGTGGTCTACGAAGAAGTTTCGAAGGCATATCGTGTTTATGACATCGAGGCGGGGCAGGTGGTTATCAGCCGCGATGTCAACTTCGACGAGTCCACCTTTGGACTTCAACTGCCGATCACTGATGAAGATGTCGATGACCTGGACTTCGAATTGCTGGATCTTGATGACGAAGAGCTGCGTCAAATGGAGTACAAGCAAACAGGCAAGCGCAAGAACCGACTCAATGATGAAGATACAGCAGCTCCACGATCGCGTGCAGTGCGTCAACGACCAGGACTAGAAGAGTCAAGCGCGCCGGAAAACAACTCGTCACGACAAGAAGAAGACGAAGAAACGAAGGATTCTGGTGATTCAACACCGCCTGTGTTTTGGCGTGCGAGTGCAAATGCCGTTGAAGCAGCAGTGGACTTATCAGAACCCTCAACATTTGAAGCAGCAGTAAGCGGCCCTGACCAAGTGCACTGGAGAAAAGCAATTCATGCAGAGCTCGAGTCAATGCGACTTCGCGGTGTGTTTCGTGCAGCCAAGCTGCCCAACGGACAACGCGCCATTGGCACAAAATGGGTGTTCAAGATCAAGCGCAAGGCGGATGGGTCAATCGAGAAGTACAAGGCACGACTTGTGGCCAAGGGTTTCCGCCAAAAGTATGGCATCGACTACACGGAGACGTTTTCGCCTGTGGTCAAGTATGTGACGCTGCGAATGGTGATCGCAATTTCCAAGCATTTTGGATGGCCCATCGACCAGCTTGATGTGGTGACAGCTTTCCTGTATGGCGTCATGAAGGAACAAGTGTTCTGCGTGATTCCTGAAGGCGTCGAACTTGACAGTACGTTCGACTGCCTGGAATTGGTGAAGTCAATTTACGGCCTCAAGCAAGCGTCGCGAGTGTGGAACGAGACGTTCGACGAGTATGTGTGCTCCATCGGATTTCAAGTATCGGACTTCGACCCATGTCTCTACATCAAGACTTCGGACGGCCATTGCGTGTTTATACTGGTCTACGTGGACGACGTCTTGGTGACTGGAAGCTCACTCGAGCTGATTGCACAAACCAAGAACGACCTGAAGACGCGGTTCGAAATGACGGACAGCGGCAAGTGTGCGTTTGTTCTTGGGATCGAGCTTTTGGACGGTGAAGATGGCAGTGTGACACTATGTCAGCGTCGGTATGTCGATGATATCCTCAAGCGCTTTGGCATGGATGATTGCAAGGCAGTCGCAAGTCCAGTCGACATGAGCTCTCGACTTGTTTCAAGTGATGCAACTACCAAGGTCGATGCTCCTTTTCGCGAAGCTGTTGGTGCGTTGATGCACCTGACCACTGCAACGCGTCCGGACATTGCGTTTGCTGTGGGCTATGTGTCGCGGTTCATGGAAAATCCCCAAGAAGAACACTGGGTTGCAGTTAAGCGTATCTTTCGCTACCTACAAGGCACCAAGACGCATGGAATTTGCTACAAGCCAAGTGCAAGGATCGACTTCCGTGGATATTCGGATGCGGATTGGGCTGGTGATCTTACCGACCGCAAGTCAACATCGGGGTACACGTTCATGCTACTCGGTGCGCCAGTCAGTTGGGGCAGCAAGAAGCAGCCAAGTGTTTCGTTGTCCACGAGTGAAGCCGAATACATCGCACTCAGCTTGGCAATTCAAGAGGGCAAGTGGATTCATCGTCTGCTTTGTGAGATCGTGATGGCTGCCAATGAAGAAGGACCGGAACTCATGATCCATGAAGACAATCAGTCGTGTATCAAGATGACGAAGAACCCAGTCAACCACGGCCGTGCCAAGCACATTGATATCAAGTACCATCACATCCGTGATGAGGTCAAGCGCGGTGAAGTGAAGCTCAAGTACTGTGAAACTGCGGTGATGTTAGCGGACATCATGACGAAGGGACTTCATGGACCACGCCACAAGGAGATGACGACGGCTCTCGGGATTCGTGAGCATTCGGATTGAGGGGGCGTGTTGACGGTCATCGGTTTTCTACCAGTATTGGTAACCGTGACCGATCCAATCCGAACCGCCTGTTCAGCTTAGTATTTACGACGTAGTTCTTACGGTAATTACCATAGTTGATTAGACGCGTAGGATGATGAGACGCTTCACATGATTTATATGTACACCACATATAAATCATGTAGTAAGTAGTAAGCCCCGATAATCAATCACTTTCGAATCTTCCAACTATTGGGCAAGTGTTTTCTGCTCTACTCTCTTCGGTCTCTACGCTCCGTTTGCTCCGCTTTCCTCGCTCCGATCTACAATGCAACATCTTCGTCTTCCATCTTCGCACCGATGCCGCTAAGCTTGGCGGAGATGTTGAGGACCTCGTTGCAATGATGCATGACGTTCGCGCCTTCAGCCATCTTGATACTGAAAAGTTGTCGCTTGAGGTAGATGCGTCCTGCCTTCTGCGACCCACCGTACAGCGTCTTCAGACTTGTCCACGCAACCCAGGCTTCCTCGCAGTTGTCCAGCACATGATGGTAGTCCGCGTTCATGTGCAGCAGCATCATACCAAACGCGACGTTGCTTGCCTTGACGTAGTCATCGGACGCTCGCGGGTCGGTGAAAGTCGGAGTCACTTCACGGTTGACAACGTGCCAGACGGACTTCGTCAAAAACACACCGCGCATGTACCGGCTCCACGTTGCGTAATTGTCTCCGTTGAACTTGTCAATGGAGGCGTTGCTGGTGGACGACATGGCATTTGGGCTCATAACCTGTTGCATTGTAGATCGGAGCGAGGAAAGCGGAGCAAACGGAGCGGAGAGACCGAAGAGAGTAGAGCAGAAAACACTTGCCCAATAGTTGGAAGATTCGAAAGTGATTGATTATCGGGGCTTACTACTTACTACATGATTTATATGTGGTGTACATATAAATCATGTGAAGCGTCTCATCATCCTACGCGTCTAATCAACTATGGTAATTACCGTAAGAACTACGTCGTAAATACTAAGCTGAACAGGCGGTTCGGATTGGATCGGTCACGGTTACCAATACTGGTAGAAAACCGATGACCGTCAACATGACCACCGGCGAAAACGTCTCCGTGTAGTCGATGCCATATTTCTGCTTGAACCCTTTTGCCACGAGACGCGCCTTGCATTTCTCGATGGATCCATCAGCTTTCCTTTTTATCTTGAATACCCAGGGTTGATGCCAATGGTATGCTGTCCATCTGGCAGTTTGGTCGCTCAAAACACGCCACGAAGTTTCATCGAGTCCAGCTCGGCACAGATTGCTCTACGCCAATGCACTTGATCTAGTCCACCAACAGCATCTTCAAACGTTGTCGGCTCGGAAATGTCAGTAAATTCGACTGTGTTGGCACTCGCTCTCCAAAAGACTTGAGGTGTAGCATCCTCGTTATTGTTGACGGTCATCGGTTTTCTACCAGTATTGGTAACCGTGACCGATCCAATCCGAACCGCCTGTTCAGCTTAGTATTTACGACGTAGTTCTTACGGTAATTACCATAGTTGATTAGACGCGTAGGATGATGAGACGCTTCACATGATTTATATGTGCACCACATATAAATCATGTAGTAAGTAGTAAGCCCCGATAATCAATCACTTTCGAATCTTCCAACTATTGGGCAAGTGTTTTCTGCTCTACTCTCTTCGGTCTCTCCGCTCCGTTTGCTCCGCTTTCCTCGCTCCGATCTACAATACAACAGGTTATGAGCCCAAGCGCCATGTCGTCCACCAGCAACGCCTCCATTGACAAGTTCAACGGAGACAATTACGCAACGTGGAGCCGGTACATGCGCGGTGTGTTTTTGACGAAGTCCGTCTGGCACGTTGTCAACCGTGAAGTGACTCCGACTTTCACCGACCCGCGAGCGTCCGATGACTACGTCAAGGCAAGCAACGTCGCGTTTGGTATGATGCTGCTGCACATGAACGCGGACTACCATCATGTGCTGGACAACTGCGAGGAAGCCTGGGTTGCGTGGACAAGTCTGAAGACGCTGTACGGTGGGTCGCAGAAGGCAGGACGCATCTACCTCAAGCGACAACTTTTCAGTATCAAGATGGCTGAAGGCGCGAACGTCATGCATCACTGCAACGAGGTCCTCAACATCTCCGCCAAGCTTAGCGGCATCGGTGCGAAGATGGAAGACGAAGACGTTGCAATTTGTCTGCTACTCAGTCTTCCGAAGAGCTACGAAAATGTGGTGCTCAACATGGAAATGAGCAGCACCGAGCTTCGCACTCAAGATGTGGTGAGAGTCCTGACGAATGAGCATGCCAAGCGTCAAGGAGAAAAAGGGACAACGACAGCGACTACGGTGAAGGCTGAAGATGCAAGCAAGGCATTCAGCGCCGAGCGTGAGCCCTACCAATGCACGTATTGTGGCAAGGTGGGACACACGGTGGATCGTTGCTGGACAAAGCAGAAGAACGAAGGTCGGGGAGCCCGACGCGGCGGCAATGGTCGTGGACGCGGGGGCTAACAATGTCCAGTGGGGACATCATGATGAAGGCAATGGCTACGATCGAGTGGCGTTTGCAGTCTCGTTCGAATGTGGAGTTTCGACGAGCAAGGACGTGTCTGGAATGTGGGCCGTCGACAGTGGTGCAACGCACCACATTTGCCACGACAAGACCAAGTTCGCAAGTTTGGCAGAGCGCAATGAGGGCGAACTCTTGGTGGCTGATGGCAACAAGGTGGCCATCAAGGGTGTGGGAACTGATGAACTTTAGACTTCTTGGTCCGAGTGCAAAACGCAAAGTGAATATATATTTATTATAGGTACTTAGTTCGCAACTTTCAATACTACCTCTAAGCCTATTATTCGCAGTGACGTCATCCAGTGACGTCACCCACTGACGTCACCCACTGACGTCATTGCATGACGTCATCCAGTGACGTCATTTCCCTGACTTCGCCCTTACTGGTACATACCGGTACCCACCGGTATAGCGAAGCTTGGTCTTCCACTTGCTTCAACACTTGACGCAGCTTGACGAGGTGTCTTCTTCACAGCCGCTGTCTTTTCAACACTCCCTCTCGACTCGTTAGCTGCGGCACCTTGGATCCCAAGTCGATCGCGAATGTTTTCAAATTGTACAGCGGCGATCGGCTTGGTCATCATGTCTGCCAGCATATCTTGAGTCGGGCAATACTCCAAAACGACTTCACCTGATTCCACCTTCTCACGCACAAAATGGTAGCGTATGTCGATGTGTTTTGTTCTCTTATGGAACTCCGGGTTCTTGGCAAGAGCGATTGATCCTTGGTTGTCTTCATACATCTTGATTGCTTCTGTTGAAGATAGCGCGACCGTCCGTTGTTTCTGGCTTTTCCAGCTGATGCATCCTCCGCTCATCATGAACACATAGCCGCTTGTACTTCGTCTTGACTCAATGTCGCCGGCCCAGTCTGCGTCGGTGTACCCGCAGATACGGCTTCCTTCTTCACGTGTAAACTCAAGACCATGATTGGGCGTTGCTTGCAGGTATCTCAGCACACGCTTCAAAGCTTGCCAGTGAGTCGGGCATGGGTCGGACGAGAACTGGGATAATGATCCCACTGCAGCAGCTAGATCCGGACGTGTGGCGACCATGAGATACATGATGCCTCCGACAGCACTTCGATATGGCACGTTGCACATGGTGTCTTCGTGCTTGCATTCTTGTTCACACATGTTCTTGGTTAGCTTCAGGCCGGGATCTTGAGGCGTCTTCACTGGCTTGCTGTTATCCATTCCGAACTTGGTTAACACGGACTTGAGAAACTTGGTTTGTTGTACAGTCACCATTCCCGTCTTACGGTCGTTCTTGATCTCCATGCCGAGAAAGTAATCGAGCTCACCGAGATCCGTCATTTCGAAGCGTTTGCTCAGCGCCATCTTGGTTGACTTGAGGAGTTCGTTGTTGCTGCTGGCCAGGATGAGATCATCGACGTAGAGCACCACGAGAATCATGTCTTGGTCGTCTCGCTTGATGTAGATGCAGTGGTCCGATTCGCACTTCTTGAATCCCATCTTGATCATGAACCCATCGATTGTTTGGTTCCACATGCGAGGCGATTGCTTCAAGCCGTAGAGTGATCTCTTTAGCTTGCACACATAGTCCGGCTGTGTTGCATCCAGGTATCCGTCCGGCTGGTCCATGTAGATGTCTTCGTTGAGGGAGCCGTTAAGAAACGCTGTCTTGACGTCCATCTGATGTAGCATTAGGCCGTACTTAGCCGCCATACTGAGCACCACACGAATCGATGTGAACTTGGCCACCGGTGCGAAAGTTTCTTCATAGTCAACTCCGAATTTCTGTGAGAATCCTTTGGCCACAAGTCTTGCCTTGAAACGTTCAACTTCGCCATCTTGATTCTCCTTTACACGAAAAACCCATCGGCACCCGATGGCCTTGCGACCTTTCGGAAGAGGCACGATTTCCCACGTGTCGTTTCTCTGAAGCGAATCAAACTCCAAGTCACACGCTTCTTTCCACTTGCCGGAGTCGCTTGATTCCATCGCCGACTTGAATGTAGTCGGCGTTTCCCCCACTGAATCAACGATGTAGGCTGCTTCAAAATCCATTGCAGCCGCTGACACATGCTCAAGCGACGGACCTCTGTATGTTCTTCGCTTGGGACTTGGAATGACGGTAGCTTTCTCAAGTGATTGAGTGCGCGTGTGTCTCTTGATGTTGCTCTTCGAAGACCTGGTGTCTTCGTTGTCATCGTCGCTCGAGTCCATGTCGTCGTCAGTTTTACCTTCTTCTTTTTCTTCGTCCTCATCATGATCATCAAACTCAACGACACTTGACTCATCGTTGTAGTTGCGCGGACCTTCATCAAACTTTTCTTCCATGAATGTGGCATCGCGACTGATCTTGATCGCTCCTGTTGACACTTCCTCAAATCGATATGACTTCTGGTGTTCGGCGTATCCCAGGAAACGACAGAGTGATGACTTGGAGTCGAACTTCGCGCGTTTGTCTTGAGGCACTTGAACATACGCGTGGCATCCAAACACTTTAAGGTTGGCCAGAATCGGTTTCTTCATCGTCCACACTTGATATGGAGACTTGTCTTGGTGAATGGCACGTGTTGGACAGCGGTTTCGAAGAAACATCGCCGTCATCACTGCTTCACCCCAGTAGCTCTTTCCCAGTCCAGCGTGTTCCATCATGCAACGCGCACACTCGACCAGCGTGCGATTCATTCTCTCAGCTACTCCGTTTAGCTGAGGAGTATATGGGGGTGTGAACCTTTGTTGTATTCCCCGTTCCGCGCAGAATCGTGCCAGCTTGTCGGACTTGTATTCACCCCCATTGTCGCTTTGAAGGTACTTCACGCGCTTTCCGGTTTGCGTTTCGGCCATCGCAGCGTATTCCATGAACTTCGCCGCAACTTCAGATTTGCTCTTGAGCAGATAGACGACACAGTATCTTGACTTGTCATCAATGAATGTCACGAAGTACCGTTTTCCACTGAAAGTTGCCATCGACATCGGTCCGCATACGTCGCTGTGAATCACTTCGAGGAGTTTGGAGGTGCGAGCTGTAGTGTTTGATTGGAAGCGCACTCGAGTCTGTTTTCCCAGAGCACAACCTTCACACACGTCCCACTTCTTCACCGAAGATATGTCGATGCCAATTCCAATGTTCTTCGTCACGATGCAATTGAGTCCATCGTGACCTATGTGGCCAAGCCGAAGGTGCCAGAGGTACGACTTGGTGCCCCCTTGACATCCCGACGACTTGGCTGCATTTGCTTGTTCCGGCGCCACTGGAGTCATTTGCAGCTTGAACAGTCCTTTACCTTCACGGGCACCAATTTTCCACTTGGTCCCTTTCGCTTCTCCATAGCACCCGTCCTTCGTGAACGTCACTGGGCCGACATCCTTGGTGAAGCGGCCGACCGAGAACAGGTTTCTGGATAACTTTGGGATGTGCCACACGTTTGTGAGCACACCTTTCTTCATCCCTTGGGGTGTCTTCATCGACATGACAATGTCCCCACTGCCGATTGCTTGGACGATTCCATCATCCGCGAGATGGACATCCACAGCGTCAAACCCCTTGTAGTTCCGCATGAACTTCTTGGAGCACGTCATGTGCTGCGTCGCCCCGGAGTCGACCAGCCAGATGTCGCTCGATTTCGCAGATGTCGTTTCACCGATCGAAAAGAGGTAGTCGCCCGAGTCTTCTTCTTGAGCGACGTTTGCACGTTGTGATCGATAGCGGTCGCCGCTGTCTTGAGCACGCTGTGGCCGGTGTCTCTCCGTGTTTTCTTGGATGCGCGAGGGGCACTCCGCCATCCAGTGACCAATCTTTCCGCAATTGTGGCACGGCCAGGACTTCTTCACTGGTCGCCCTTTGCACTGATTGTCCCTTGTGATGAACGCTTGACCTTGCGAAGCTTCATCACCTTTACTTCCTTGCTCCTTCCGCTTCATTTCTTCATGAAGCAGTCGAGACGTCACGAGCTCCCAGCTAAGAGTGTCTGAGCGCGACTCCAAAGCTGTGATCAAGAATTGATACGAGTCACTCAGGCTGCCGAGGAGTGTGATCACCAGATCGTCCTCGCAGACTGGAGCCCCCACCGCTTCTAGCTGTTCCGCCAGCGTCTTGAGCTTGTTGATGTGTTCGAGCACATCGTCGCCTTCTTCCATCATTGTCGTGAAGAAGCGACGGCGCAAGAACAGCTTGTTGGCAAGACTCTTCTTCTCGAAGTGGTCTTCCAACCTTGACCATGCGTCGCATGCACCACTTGCCGACCGGACCAACGGTAGCTGGGAATCTTCCATGGCTAGACAGATCACTTCCATCGCCTTTCTTGACTTCCTCTTGTACGTCGCTTGGTCCAACTGAGTCTCGCACTGTTCCGCCTTGATCTCACCGCTGACGACCTCCCATAGGTCCTGTTCCTCCAGCACCATCTGCATCTTGAACTTCCAGGCGTGGAAGTTAGTTCCATCAAACTTGGAGATGCGGAGGGAGGAGGCGTCCATGGCAGCTAAGCTTGAATTGTTGGCGGTTTCAGAGTCTGACGAACTTGGGCTCATAACCTGATGAACTTTAGACTTCTTGGTCCGAGTGCAAAACGCAAAGTGAATATATATTTATAATAGGTACTTAGTTCGCAACTTTGAATACTACCTCTAAGCCTATTATTCGCAGTGACGTCATCCAGTGACGTCATTTCCTGACTTCGCCCTTACTGGTACATACCGGTACCCACCGGTATAGCGAAGCTTGGTCTTCCACTTGCTTCAACACTTGACGCAGCTTGACGAGGTGTCTTCTTCACAGCCGCTGTCTTTTCAACACCGTTGACCTCTATCCATCATACGACATGCTATCTTCCGTCCCTTGCAGTCCTGCCAACTGCCTCTTCTACTCTCCACCATGTGACCACTTGAGTATCTGGGGGATGCTAGAGTGACCATTTTTCCGTTGCGACTCAATGCGCCGCCACTTCAGCACCAGATTTACACGATACTTACTGAGCGACAGCGCACTCGTCCACAATACGCGCAAACTTGTGAATGTGGTTGATAAAGAACTCACCCGTGCGCTGGTTGCTTGCCTCTTTGTCGACAAGAACGACGTTGTTGTTCAGGAAAAAGTGCACATCTGACTTCAGACGCGAGCCGCTGACCTTCAAAGCCATAAGTTCGGCGCGCGCGACCTCGACATCAACCCCAAGAAAAGTCGCCAGCTTTTCCACATCAATGGAGCGGTAGAGCTTGATATACGAGCGCACAGCAGGAATGTGCTGTTGACGGGCCACCATATCGCTAAAGGCTTTTTGCTGCCGCTGCGAAGCCTCGGCGCTACAATGAACAACGGCTTCACCCTCGACGGCCACAGCAGGCAAGATAAACTTGGGACAAGAGAAGCCAAACAGTTCGCTGAGAGCAGACACGTCACCTTTTTGTAACTTGCTTTGGTTGTCACCATACTTCTCACGGATGAGCGAATGGATCTGATCGTTAACACGCTGGCCCGGACATAGAAACAGAACAATAGCGAGCAGCGCTATCGCCTTTTCTGTCAGCTTATGTAGCTGTTCGTAATCGGCAAAACGCGAGTAGTAGTTCCGATTGCGGTTCACTTGCAAGATGATGGTCGAAAAGGACCGGATCGCCGCGGAAAAGTCCTCGAGCATGAGCTGCACAAAGCCCATGTGGTAGAACACCGAGACGTGGCAGCCCGGCGACTTTTCATGGATCTGCGCTGTTGTCTTGGCCTCGCCGCGTGCACTCTTGTTGAACAGATCAATAGGTTCCAGCAGCTTGAGTGACGTATAGTAGTCTCCAAACAGCACGTGGGCACGGGCCAGCATGATAAGGCTAAAGTACCCCAGCTCCTTGACAACAGTCGAAGGCCCTTGCACGTCTGGCCCGTCCTTTAAAATCTCCACAATCTTTGAGTGACGAACGAGAGCGTGCAAGTAACCAAGCACTTTTCTCGTGTCCCAGATGAAGAGATTCTCCTGGTACGAAGCGATCTCGGCCTCGCCCTTTGTGGCAACTTTAGCCCGGAATTGGCTGTACGACTGATATTGATAGACAAACTCGCCCACAATGTCAAAGATCCACTGGGAGGGAAGTGCTTTGAGCTCCAAGGAGCCGTCCAGGATGCCTTCGAAAATGGCCACGTACGTCTCCCAAGACGCTACTTTCATGTCCATCCCTGGCTGCAGGCGAGAAAAGAGATGGCGGAAGTAAATTTGCTTGTACAGCAGCAGGAACGTCGGATCTTCGTGTACGAGCAGCTTGATCGCGCTCGCCTCTGGCCAAGACGCTTGCTTGAAGTAGTTGTTCGTCAGGTTGGGGAACTCGCGGTCGTACAGACGCGCCATCTCCGCCACGTTGCCGCCCATCAAGTGCGTGTGCATGTGGGAGAACCAGCTCTTGACGGTCTCGGGGAGCAGAAAGTCCGCGGGTTTGTCGTCGCGACGGTCCGCCATAGTTGCGGCGGCTTTGACGTGTCGCTCGACTCGATGCAGCGTCAAAAAAGCCTTTAGCGATATGGTGGCCCGTCAACAGCACATTCCTGCTGTGCGCTCGTACATCAATGGAGCGGTAGAGCTTTGATATACGAGCGCACAGCAGGAATGTGCTGTTGACGGGCCACCATATCGCTAAAGGCTTTTTGCTGCCGCTGCAAAGCCTCGGCGCTACAATGAACAACGGCTTCACCCTCGACGGCCACAGCGGGCAAGATAAACTTGGGACAAGAGAAGCCAAACAGTTCGCTGAGAGCAGACACGTCACCGTTTTGTAACTTGCTTTGGTTGTCACCATACTTCTCACGGATGAGCGAATGGATCTGATCGTTAACACGCTGGCCCGGACATAGAAACAGAACAATAGCGAGCAGCGCTATCGCCTTTTCTGTCAGCTTATGTAGCTGTTCGTAATCGGCAAAACGCGAGTAGTAGTTCCGATTGCGGTTCACTTGCAAGATGATGGTCGAAAAGGACCGGATCGCCGCGGAAAAGTCCTCGAGCATGAGCTGCGCAAAGCCCATGTGGTAGAACACCGAGACGTGGCAGCCCGGCGACTTTTCATGGATCTGCGCTGTTGTCTTGAAGAGGCGCTTGATGTGTATCATGGCAGACTTGGGCAGACTAAATTACAGTGTGTTCGGTCAAACGATGTCCCTAGACGGTCATTCCATGTTCTCATGCTGCGAGATGGATGGGTAAAGGCAAGGACGGGATTCGATACTACGATCTTGCGGTCATTGCAATACGATACAGATTTAAGCCGTCTGAGAAAAATATGAGATTGCTCGACTACCGAGGTGGTTGATACCAGTTCAATGGCGCTGTATTTCAGTACATGAATAATGGTTGACTTGACTGTGATGCATGCAAAGACGATGCGCACGCATAGAATTACGCGAGCTCACGAGCTGAAACCATACAAGGCGAAAGCGGCATCAATATACGCTTTACGTAGTGTAAGTCCTAGACCTCCTTCGAATTCGCCACTAACCAAAGATTAAGCATACGGAATCTGGTTTGACGTACAAGTATCTTGTGTATGTTCATTTCGATGCGGGTTGCGACATTGGCATGACAACGAATTTTGCAGCTCATTCTGCGGTGTAAGAGAAGACCTGACAAACAAATGAATTCGAGACTAAAACGGGGCAGATTGCTAAGCATACGAAATCGTACACTAGACGAGCACAAGATCTTGTGTATCAAGCAGCTAGTTTGAGTGAAGGGTACAAAGGAACATGACATTAAATACACGCAGCTCATCTGCGGGTGTTAATCTTGATCCAACTATTTTAATCTGCATTGGAGTATGACGTGAACCGGCTCACCACTCATTGCGCCACTAGCAGCGATTGGTGGCAAGCTATGGTCGATATGTCTTCTAATCTGCCAATGCTTCTAGCAGTGCGCATGTGATTTTTAAAAAAAGGAACTGTATTCCTTTACAGTATTACCTATCTCAACATCATTGTCAGGATCTTGTCACGCCAATATTTTAATCTGCATTGTCGTATGACGATCAATGCTCATGTAATTGCGCTACCTAGCAGCGATTGGTGGCAAGCTATGGTCGATATGATACGTTCTATTAACCAATGGAAAGCAGAATACATGAATATTTTTACAAGGAGGATAACATTCCAAAAGTATTACCTTCTCGGGTGACATTGTCATCTAGATTTGTCACGCTAGACAATCTTCCTATTGACACTGTTTGGTGTCAATATCATGTAACGGGCTACCCCGTTACAAGTGGAGAACCTTAATATTAGCGGCCTTTTCGATACGTTGAAGAAGTCGTGGTCGAGCAGAATACAGAAGCTCTACAACGATTTGCCAGAAAATGAGAAATCGGTTACGTGATCCGCTTTCTCA